TTTTTTAAGCCCTTATTTATTTTATAGGACTTTAAATAATATAAATATATAAAGTTATAGCAAAACTTTACAGTATACTTGTATTTATAAAAATAAATTAATTTATTATTAATTAATACCCAGGAAGGTTTATTAATAAAAAAACCTTTAATATTTAAATTACTAGTAAAGGGTTAATTTAACTTTTTAGCAAGCATAGTAAAGGTTATTTCTTTTATAAAGGTTTTAGCAAAGCTATTAGTAGTAAAAAAATACTATTAAAACTTAAAAATAAAGGTAAGATAATTAGTTTTACTAAATTTTTTATAATTTAATTAATCTGCATGGTGCTTTATATAGGCTATTAAGTATTTATTAATAGCCTTTAAAAATATTATATTAGCTATTTTATTATTAGCCTTAGGTTACTTAAGGTGTAAAATTTTTTAATAAGCATGCTTGTAATTTTAAAGCTACTAGGTAACTTTTTTTTATTAAATTAATATAGTAAGGGCAGTAATATAGCTATTAAAGGCCTTAAGTTTAATCTTAAAATTAGTAAAAGTAAGTTATTACTTTAGTTTAATAAAAACCTTTACAATAAGCTTATCCTTAATAAGTTACTAAATAAAAAGTATAATTAACTTTTGTATAGTATTATTAATATTTTAAATTTTTAAAAGGACATGCTTAGCGTGGTTTTATTTTTAATTAAATATTTTAAATACTTTTTTATTAGCATTGTTTTTAAAAAGTTAAAAAAGCTTAAAAAAAAAAAGTCTGGTAAGTTACTTTTAAATTAAGATACTTTTAAACTTTTATAATAATTATAGTATATAAAATATAGCTATATTATACCGGCTAGTCCTCCCTAAATTTTAAAAAAACTATTATATTTAAGGTACTGGTAGTAAAGCTTATAATAACTTTTAAATTAATAAATTAAGTATAAAAGTTAAAGTTTAATTAATATTTAACTTTTTAGGTATAAAAAATAATTAACTATAAAAGGCCTTTATATAATAAAAGGGCTAATACTTAGGAAATATAAATAATTTTAAAAAGTTTAAAAAAAGTAAAAAAATTTAATAAACTAAATTATTAAGTGGTTTTCCGGGCTTATAACTATAAGGCCTTTTAAATATTATATAAAAAAAAGCTATTAATTATATAAATACTAAAAAATTAAATAAAAAACATGATAATATTTAAAAGCTAGAGCTAACTAGGGTTTATATAAATAATTTAAGCTTTTAAAAATAATAAAAATTTTAAATACTTTTATTAATACTTTGTAATATTTAAAAAACTATAAATATTATAATTATATAGGCAAGTAATTTAGTGGTAGGCGTTGCAGTATTTTAATTAAGACTGCCTGAGGCGCCTGAGCGCTGTTAAAGCGCTGCAGCGCTTCCTCATTGAACTAAGCGAACTCCACCATTGGCTGACACCGGGCGTAGGTAGACGTCCTTAGTCGCGCTCTACCCTCGGCAAGTGGGAAAGATTATCACGGCCAATACGGAGTACTGGGCCTTGAGGACGCCCCCGGTCGGGTTGCAGGTATATACGGAGTACGTCGGTTGTATACCTACTTTAGTTAGGGCTATAGCAACAGTGTACGTCGCGATTAGGTTTGACTATCTAGTGTCTACTCGTGCTAGTAGGGCTGTGGATACCGTTGGCGGTCCCTATCGTGTCGATGGGTACTTGCCACTGGGTTCTCCGTCCCTGGCTGGCTGCGTATGAGATCCGGATCTAGAAGAGTCCGGCGTGTTTGCTTTTTCCTCGGCGGCTGTCCTCTTGCCGGGGCGTCCAGGCGGTGCTCAACCTTCAAGCTTCCGTGACGCCGTATATCGAGCAAGCTCCGTGCATGCTCAAGGGGAGATGTATGTAGAAACTAGACATGCAAGAGGCGCCATGCTGGGTACCTGGGCTATGGTAGGTGATCCATGTAGAGCCCCGGCGACGGGGCGGGCTTCCATCCAGGAGAGTGGAGGTGTATCGGGGACGGACACGGCCAACGGGTAGATCTTGGCTCGGGCAGTTATTTCTGCCTCTGACGGTTTGAGCTGGCCAGTGTTAGATGGACAAACACGAAACGGTATAAGCGGCTATGGCATACGTTGTCATGGCGTCCTTATATATATTCTCTTGCATTTGGGTCCCGTTGCCGGACATATTTTGTCGCGAGAGAACTTGGGAACACTGGAATCTCTTCGATGGGAGTCTCGCTGCACTTTACTGAGTGTATATTATTCCGCAGGAAAGATATAGATGGGGGTTAACCACCATACCTGGTGTTATTGATGAACCGTGCATTTCGAATCAGGATGATAGGGTTGGATCTTAGTCTTATAAGTTTAAAAAACGAGCAACATATAACAACAAATCCTCGATGGTCTAACGGTCATGATTTCCGCTTGTCACTTCTCGCAAGAACAAGCGCGGGAGACCTGGGTTCGACTCCCAGTCGGGGAGATTCCTTTTTTGTTTTTCTTCCACTATCCCCTGCATGCATTCTACGCATTTACCGCAGAATGCCTCGCCCCCAAGCCCGGTAGCCGAGAGCCGTGGGTACCTAAAGAGCTACAATGCCTACGGGCGCTGTTGCGTGCGATATACAATGTCCCACAGACCTCTGCATGGCAAACAGCCACATACCTCATTAAAATCCTATGCTCGTACGCATAACCATATCGGTTCGCTGCATCGTACACGGATCCTGCCGCCCGGGCCCTGCCTGACTCGCCGACTCGATACAAGTTCGCACTTGTCTCACTCTGCCACGTCCAAGCGCGAACCGAGATCGAGAATAGCAGTGAAACTAAACTGCGGACGGGCGTAAACAAGCTCAGATCTTGTGTGGGATAGATTGAGCGAGGACGGATTTAGAAGCATGTAGCCTGCAGCCTGCTCCAGGTGGGAGGTTTATCTTCTAGATTGTGGTGGTTGTTGGTGATGCCAAAGAGCGGTGCGGTCCCGCTCGGATTCCGCGGACCTGGCACTCGTGATCAGCGTCCGCGGAATAGGGGCAGGAGGCCACGAGGTTGCGTTTGCGTCTGTGGGGTGACGGTTCGATGAGAGTTGCTGAAATGCAACGGTCAAGCTTCTGCCATCAGGGACGCAGATTGCGATCAACGCGCAAGATCTTCAGATCAGCTGGAGAGGGATGGCATGGAAGCCGGATGGAAATTGATGGTTGCGTTTGGGAGATTGGTATCGCGAAGGCTCGATAGACTGCAGTATGAATGTGGAGAGAGAGAGCATACTGCGTTACACTCGGTACTTTTGTCATGATACTCGACTGTCTGTCCAGCTGAGACGGCATCCGCCGTGAAATGAGCGATCTTGGTTCGTCGCACTTGGACCAGTTGGTGTCGCACGCAGGTTTCAGACGTTCAGGTTCAGGCTTCAGCACATGGCAGGGCAGTTTGACTCGAGATGGAACGCTGGGGTTGCTCCAAGGCAAAACCTGATGGACCTGGTGTCTGGCACTGCCGAGGACTGATCCACCGTTCGCGGGCTCTGTTGTGTCGGAAATTAGCTTGGCGACCAAAGCAAACCAGGGATGGAACAGAGAGTTATAACATATGGATGAAAGCAATGCCGTTGCAATATTACAGATACGAGGCAAGATGCAGCGTGATACACTTCGTATCCGGTGGCCAGAGATAGGCTGCATCTGCATCTGCATCTTATCTCAGCCACGATGGCGTTGGCGACAATGACGAGTGGTGGCCCCGGTGGCCGTTTCACCAGCGACGCTTTCTTTCCATTGGATCGGGAGAGTTTCAGTCCCCTCCATCCTTGTGTAGTCCAAGGTTGGGTTTGGCTGCCCCTGGAGATCAGTGCCATCCAATTTCTGGGTGTGGAGATGCCAGTGGACACTGCCTCCCTTGGTCTTCTTGCTCTCTCTTGGCCCCTGTGATGGTAAAAATGTCGAACCGTGAAAGAGCCCCTGATTATTGTTATTGAGACGGCGAGATGCAGACCCCCGATGAGCTCAGTGGCGCTCTCGGATCAAATACTGTATAGAATATTTGGATCGTCTAGTGTAGGGAGTCAATACTAATAGTGCCGCCGGTTAGTCTTCAACCGTTAAGCGGGGAGTACGGAGGAGAGGGATGGATCTCATTGATATCTCTTGGTTAGAATCAAGTGATTGGCTGCTGGATGGAAACTGTTTGACCATTTCTTGCCCCTCTCCCCTCCATATTCCTTCATCTTAAGTTCTTAACGGCGCTTACACTACGTTGACTCCTTCGCTCATTTACTTCAATCTTCCTTTTCTCCTCTCCATCTCTCCTTTCTTTGCTTCCCAGTCTCTCCTTTACACGCCTGCTCGAGGGCGGCCTGTTGTAAGAGCTCAGGTACGCTCACATTGCCGAGTCCCTGGATTCCTCGTCCTGTCTAACACTGCTCGCAGGTCGCATCCAGTTCGGCCGGCTCAACGCCATTTATCGCTAGGTACGTCTATATTTCGGTTTCTTCGGCTTCTTTTGTGCCTTGATCGGATCCGAATCCGTCTCTACCTATCTCCCACCTTTCTGCCTCAGTCTGCGCTCTGAAGGGTCGGTCGCTCTGGTGGCTTCCCACTACCTCGTGGCTTGCAGGGGTGTCGGCTCCATTCCGCGACTGCAAGGAGCCTCCCTTGCCTGCACCTCGCAGCCAATAGTGGCCTCGATTCTGAATCGCGACTTCTTTTTCTACTGGCTACCGGTGGCCGAACCCCTCCTTTGTCTTGCTCGAGTCTTGGAGATCGTCCGGAGAATGCGCTCCATCTTCCTTTGTTGTTCTCCTGTTTCATATACTGCCCGGCGCAGTGTTACCCTTCCTTATACGCGACAACCCCACGACACTAACTCCCGCGCATTCGCTTTACGCTATGTTCTGATTGAATCTAACCACCGAGGCGACAGCAACGCGACTGAGTCGTGAAGACGCAACGTCAACACATTTCGCTCCTTAAACAAACAACCCACTTTCGTCACTCCTTTATCCTACCGATACGATCGATCATGCCTTCGAAGATGCGCCTCAATACTAGCCTGGTAGCTAGTCTGGCCGCCTTCCTAGGCGTCGCTGATGCCTTCTGGCGTCTTCCTTGCCGTGGCCGAAGCGGCCTTGCTCGAATGGACCCCTTGGTCTCCCCCGGCGAGGCTTCTTACCACGTTCACACGATTCATGGATCTAAAGGTTAGCCCGCTGGCTGGAATTACCCGGCGTTCTGCCGCTGAACTTTGACAGGATTCGGACTGGATGCGGACATGGAGTCTTTGCTTGGAGGTAGCTGCACGTCGTGCGAGGTCAAGCAGGACAAGTCTGCCTACTGGACCCCTGCTCTGTACTTCGTCGACAGCTCCACCGGCGACTCTGAGCTTGTGGATCAAGTTGGAGGAATGCTTGCGTGGGTGACAGGTCGACACTGAATCTCAGGCCATGACTAACACCGTGCCAGGTACTACCTTCTATACGGAGACGATGTGCAGGCGTTCCCCGACGACTTCCGCATGATTGCCGGCGACCCCTTCCTGCGAAACTTCACCTGGCCTGTTCCTGACCCTCCCAAGTCCGAATGGACCGGCGACCAAGCTAGCCAGGCTGCTCTGAAGCAGAAGGCTCTCGGCTTTAACTGCCTGAACTACAACAAGGCTGCCGAACCGTCTCTCGGTCGTCACTTCCTGCCCGAGAAGTCATACCTCGACGAGCACTGCACTGATGGTGTCCGTTTCGAAATCATGTTCCCCTCTTGCTGGAACGGCAAGGATGCCGATTCGGACGACCACATGTCCCACGTTGCCTACCCCTCGCTGGTCATGGACGGTACCTGCCCCGAGGGCTTCGAGACCCGTGTTGTCTCGCTCTTCTTCGAGACCATCTGGAACACCTACGCCTTCAAGGACCGCGACGGATACTTTGCCCTTTCCACTGGTGACCCTACTGGATTCGGTTACCACGCCGACTTCATGCACGGTTGGGAGTCTGGTGTTCTCGAGGAGGCTGTCAAGACTTGCACCAACGCCTCCGGCGAGGTCGAGGACTGCCCCATCTTCGAACTCCAGTCTGAGCTTGAGCAAGGCCTCTGCTCTTTCGACCTCCCTAGCATCCTTGCCGGTGAGGATGTCACCAAGGTCAAGGGCAGCCTTCCCAACAAGATCGCCGTCGAATGGGGTCCCGAGTACGCCTTCCCTATCAAGTACGTCGGCGAAGACTCGACTTCGACTCCAGCTTCGACCTCCGCTGCGGCATCCTTTGCAGCATCCGCTACCGCTGATGCGGGTCTCAGCCTTTCCATCGGCCTCGGCGACTTCGCTGGTAAGGTCCTTGCGGCTGATACAAAGGCTGCCGACACCAGCTCGACTACCAGCTCAACCACCGAGCCCCCGACCACTACCACTACTTCGACCTCCACCTCCACATGGACCCCGACACCCACCACCTCTTACGTGGAGAGCACCGTCACACAGGAGACCGTCTGGGTGGAACAGGAAGTTGTCGTTATGGTCGATGAGAACGGTAACCCTCTGAAGACCGAGGTCGGCGGCGTCGACGTTGTCTCGACCGACTACAACACCGTTACCCGCACCGTTTCCTCGGTCGTTTCGATCCCCACTGCTCCCGCCGAGCAGCCGGCCAAGCGCCACCACGACCACCTCGCCGCGCACAAGCGCCACCAGCACGGCCACGGCCACTAACTGGAAGCAAACCGCAAATGGTACCGTTATGACTCCATCCACGACAGGCTAGGCGTTCTGAGATGAAATCCTATTCTTTCCGGCTGGAGGAAGACCAACAACGTCGCTTGCGAATGTACCTATATACATACCATACCCAAATACCCAGTTTTGATTTCATTTCGCCCATTTGGTTTCTTTTGGTTTCGGCCGGATCATGACCTGATACACTCGCTTGCTTCTTACCCCGGCTATGGTCCGTCGGCGCCCTTTTGATTTCGCTTCTCGAATATATTTTTGATAGCTACCACTTACTTCTTTTCTCTATCTCCATACCTCCTCTTGTCCATCTCTCGTCTCTCCGCCATACCCCACCTTATTTGATCCGATGTACATGCTATGCTTCGGTAGCCCATTTCTTGCTTGGGCAACGGAACAGAACAAGTGAGCTAGCAAGCATGAAGCATGCATACATGATCTAGTCTACGTGCACGAACGTCGCTGATTTTTGCCTCACCTTGACCTCTCTTGATGAGAAGGCTCTTAGCCGCGATGATCAATGATCGATTTAGACATCCAGTGCCTACGTACTTGGTTAGAAAATAAACCCATCCAGCCTCATCTTATCTTCTCATATGATTCCCATGTCAAGCTCTAGGTACCATGCTTGGCACTTCGCATTCCCTTCTTATCCGTCTTAGACTCCTAGCATTAGTACCTCAGGATCGACTGCTCTCCAATTCCCAAGTGTATTGCTACTGCTGTCACCGCTAGATTCAACCCGCCATACCCTTCATCTTCCAAACCAGAAAGTCTGTCTCCACGATGCAGATGCACGATCTCCAACCCTACTAGTTATATAGCTAGATACTCACCTACGTCCTCCATCACCAGCGTCTACAGTTGAGTAGAGTCCATCAGCATAGCACGAACTCAAGACCCGGTTTCCAATGGTACTAGGCCAATCCCATCCAGATAGCCGGGTATGATTCTCAAGCGAGGCTGAGTGACTCGTACCGTGCGCTCTTTAATGTTTAATTCCTCGTTTGTACCACTTGCACTAGCCTATCAATCAATCTCGTACGGATGGGATGGGATGGGAGTACAGACTACAGAAGCTCTGCTGAAACATAACAGCGCGGAACCTAGACATCCACTGAGGCTGTCGGTGTGGAGTTACGCTACTGGTCTGGAATGCACTGATACCGAAGATAAGCTGCATATATCCAGCCTGAGCTTATGATCCAAGGCCTTGTTATTGTCTATTCTATTCCATGATCCACCGAAAATGACCGCGATCTCTAAAAGCTAACTCAACTTCTAAGTGCTGTTCAAAAGCCTAAAGGTTAATATTGAAGACCGGAAACCCCTAAAGCACTGCCGCAAAAACACCCATCGTAAACGCCTGATGCAAGCCCACATGCCGTTGACTCCACATCTCCTTGAGATACCGCTCCGCGGCGCGATCATAGTCCTTCCCCCGGCTGTCGAAGAGCGCGGGCTTCACGCTCCAGCTGCGGATGAGCCGGTTGCAGTTGCAGCTTGTGCTGGTGCCTGTCGCTGTTCCTGAGATCGGGCTTGTGGATGTGGCGATGGAGGGGCCGATGCCTGCGCTTAGCGGGGAGAGGTCGGGGGTGTCCTTCCATGCAGCCCAGTATTCGTCCAGGGGGTGGGAGAAGAGGCATTTGTCTGTGCTTGTGCTTGTGCTTGTATCGGCGCTGGCGGCGTCCAGGTCCATGTGGTGGGTGTAGTGGCAGCATTCGTTTTGCGGAGTCAGGAGGAGCTTTGCTAGGTTCCGCGGGCTCTGGTTGAGGATGAACCAGGAGATAACGCTGTACTCGTTTCTTGTGTCTCTGTGCCAGAATTTTGGGCCGTGGCGGAGAAGCATGCGTTCTAGGAGTTCGCGGAGCATGCGGAGGGTGCAGTGGAGGTCGACCTCGAGTTTGTCGGTGAGGTGCTTGGTGCGGAACTCGAGGCGGCGCTTGCCGATTTCGAATTCGGTGTAGCCGGACTGCAGGAGGGTCGTGAGATGGTTCTTTGTGTGGCTGTGTTCATGATTCAGTGGGGATGAGGATGGGACAATCAGATGGTTTTGTTTGCCCTTGCTTCTTGTCCCCTTTTTGCCCTTGTTGAGCGGAAAGGCAAAGGTGAAGTCGGAGTCGAAGTCGTTGTAATCTTCTAGAAGCTTGGCGAGAACGCCCAAACTGTCTGGGACGGAGGAAGAGGTGGCCAAGATCTTTTGGTGAGACTCCGGGTCTCGTTTGACGTCGCGTGAGATGTCGGCCATGTGGAAGAGCACATGGAGGCCTCGTTCTAGGCGCCTAGCGAGCCTGAGTTCTGCTTCAAAGTCCATTTCCGCCTTGTCATCGTCATAGAATGGCCCCCATACGGTAGGAACGATATGGAGGGACAGCCGGCGTGCGAGCTCATGGCGGTACAAAGACCTCACGAGTGTGTGTACTGTCAGCGCGGTTTCCTTGCCCGTCCCTGAGTTCAGGGAGGGAATAGAACCGAAGGTATCGACGCCATGGAGGCGCACGAACCATCGGCAGATGTGCGGCTCAAGGACCTTGATCGTATCATATGTGGCTTTGTTAAGGAGGCAGAGACTCAAGACGGTGCTCGCTTCAACATTGATGATGATTTGGAAGAGGATATCGGCGATAGATCCGAATGGTAGAGCTGATTGAGGGTGGCCTGATCTCTAAGAAGCAAACAGAGTTAGTGTCGCGTGATATTTCTCCGGTCTTGGTCTCCCACTCACCATGATTCCGACCTCATCCGACTCGCATTGCGTTTTGGGGGTAGAGAGTAGGATGGTCCATTGAAGGATTCTTCCAGTTTTGTTCCCCCCCTCTCCGTGAAAACAATGTACAATATATAGAAATTCCCGCAAGTGCTAACGTGGGATAGGAGGTATCATGTGCAACGGTATGACGCGTTTGCCGGATCGTCTGCCCTTCCTGCGACGCAGACCGGAGCACCAAGAAGCGGAGTATGCAGGATGCAGGGCCCAAGGGCCAACGGGGGATATCGCGGGATTATATCTCATACGTGGAGTGGTACCATCCCTACCGTCTCGTCCCCTCCCTGCAGAATCGGGGGACGTGCCCTGACATACTCCGTAGTATCCTTGGTCGAGCACCCGGCTGACGCCCAGGTCACACAGGATTCAGAAAACCAAGCCACTGCCGCGATGGCCTTCAGGGAGGAAAATAGTATGGAATCTGTGAGTGGCCTGTAGATAAGATCAGCAGGTTCCCTGGACCACTAGTTCTCCGCTGCGCCAATAGTGCTGGCTTACTAGTGGCTGTGGTGGTGGTGTCATAGCGACAGGCACACCGCCAGGTACAATCAAGCTCTGGAAGAGGGAACGAAGATCTCGACGATCAGGTCAGGTCAGGTCCAGGCAGTTCGGCAATTATGCATAATCGGCATAACCTCCTGGGTCGCCAGGGACAGGAACTCGTCATTGCGATGTGAGAAGAGGGAGAGGGAGAACAACTCCGCAGTCTCCCCAGACTCCAAGTCGGACCCCACCGGCCCAAGAGTTTGTCCGCCAGAAATTTCTCGACACAGCGACCGTCATGCCTCCCAACTGACAACAACTCTGTCTCAGGCTCTGGATAACCCAGCCGCTTTTCGCTCACATGTTATTGGACTTATCTTACTAGAATTCCCGCCTCCGCAGTCGTCAGCTCGCGCCGACTCGCCCACTACCCCCCGAAACATTCCCGGTCTGCCCCTCCTCTGCAATTCTACCCGATAGAAAGAATGCCACCTACGCGGAGTCTCCCCCTCCCCGAGGGCTGGACGGATCCGGACGCCTACGTCGAAGCCTTGCTATCGTTTGCTACCTCGTCTGACCTGTTTAGGCACCTCTGCGGGGGTGTGCACATGCTGGACTTTCTGACGCGCGAGCCCGATCTCTATACCACGCTTCTGCCCGAAGACTGGAGACAATTTTTCGAACACCACAGCATCGCGCACATCATCGACTTACTCCTCAGAGACGACATCGAACCGCTGTTAGCGGCCTATACACAGGGAAACGTTGCAGCGCAGGAGTGGAGAGGCGTGGCGGTTCTGCCCCCGCTGACTTTGCTAGAGTTCATCCGCCAAATCCGCCGACTCACTCTGCGCCGAGACTTTACGCCTCATGACTCGAGCAAGGCCACCATACCACCGCGGATTGCGGTTGGGATGAAAGTGAAGAAATATCACGAGGTCGCTCATTTCTCGAAATACGTCCACTCGCTATGCAATACCGTACACCAGGAGCGGGGAGAGGAAATAACGCATATCGTGGACTTTGGTTCTGGGCAGAACTACCTTGGGCGGACGCTGGCTAGTCCTCCGTATAACAGAAACATTGTTGCGATCGAACGGAAACACCAGTTCATCAACGGGGCCAACCGTATGGATGTCTACGCGAACATGGTTGAGAAGAAGAAGGTGCGGATGTACAATAAGAAGCTGGAAAAATGCAAAGTCTGCGAGGATACAGAGTCCGCAGTGGACAGAACGGACTCGCTACAGGAGCCGACGAGCGTTGACGCAGATAAGGAAGAGGTTGAAGACGACGAGGAGGGTGTTGCGGAGATCAGTATCTTCCGGGACATCAGTGTGACTCCTGATGAGCTGGGCACTTTTCCTAAAAACGGTGGCCCTACTCAGAAACACGTCACAAAAAGCGACAACCAAACCCCACGAGGTGCGATGGACTACATTGAACATGAGATCAAGGACGGCTACCTGGAGCCGATCATCAAAGATGTCGTCGCACCGGCTAGCCAAAGCCCGGAAACTAAAAATGGCTTAGAGCAAGCCGAGCAGGCCTCGGATGCGAATGTCATGGTGGTCTCGCTGCACTCGTGCGGAAACCTCGTCCACCACGGTGTTCGAGCGTTGGTCCTGAACCCGTCGGTCAAGGCGATTGCAATGATTGGGTGTTGCTACAACCTAATGACTGAACGGCTTGGGCCTGCCACTTATAAAATTCCTGTCCTGCGAACCATGCACCCACGTTTATCGAAAGACGCTGCCGCGTACGACCCTCATGGCTTTCCTATGTCAAAACGCCTGGAGGAATTTGAGCACGACGGCGGGACTGGCGTGAAGCTAAACATCACCGCCAGGTCAATGGCCGTCCAAGCCCCCTACAACTGGGGTACAGACGACGCAGAAGACTTCTTTACCCGCCACTACTACCGCACACTCCTCCAGCGAGTGCTGGTGGACAAGGGAGTCGTGCCGAAACCTTCCATACCCAAGGATCTCTACGGCACCGAGCCTGAGAAACCGGAAGACGTGGGAAACCCTGTTATTGTTGGATCCCTGCGCAAGGCAGCCTTCACTTCCTTCCAAGCGTATTTCCGCGCGGCAGTCGTAAAGCTGAGTCGCGACCCGGTCTACGGACAAAAGGTGAAAGACGATATGGTTGACATTACCGACGAAGAGCTGGATCGATATGCCACCGAGTACTGGCCCACGAAGAAGAGGCTGAGCGTGACCTGGACTCTGATGTCGTTCTGCGCCTCCGTGGCCGAAGCCATTATCGCCGTCGATCGATGGCAATATCTTCGTGAACAGGACTGCGTAAAGGAGTGTTGGGTGGAGCCTGTGTTTGACTATGGCTTGAGTCCCAGGAACCTAGCTGTCATTGGAATCAAGAAATGAGCAACCACTCAAACTTCCTTGGATACGTTGATCCCCGGTTTGACGAAGACCTGGAGACAGTCCCCATTTACCCAGAAACACGGTTTTCGGTCGACGGCCACGCAATTCTGGCAAGGACAATATTCTGGTACGACAACCACGATGCTTTACATTAATGACTTGCTTCTAGAACTTTTTAGAGCGATATCTAGATCTTAGACTATACCCGGAGCCTTCAGAAGCTCCACACCTAGACGACAGAAGGTTTGATAGAATTCAAAAGCCCACCATCGCATAACCTATGTATGTTTCCGGAAGGAGTCATTTGGCACAATTTACCCAATTCCCAGGCCCCGGCCTTGTCTCAATCCTTCCCATACGATCGGGTTTAGCACGTGATGAGGTACATAGTACCGGTACCGACTTTCTGCGGGACTCTCGATCACCACTCTCTTCCCACTATCGGGCCACTTCGCGGCACTCAGTTTACCTTTTGAGGCACAAGGTCCGAACCCTGAAAAATGATCATTTGCCTGTTTTGTCTAGCACTTGAAACTTGAAGAAGTACGATAATCGTTCGAGGTTCCGGTTTGTTGGTTTTCAAACGTTGTTGCCTGAGGATCCACAGTCACGGCTCTCCGGAATCCGCGGGCTCCGGACGCAGATTTGAAAGACTTCAAGTCATTCAAACTCGGCAGAATTCCAAGGAATTCGGACCTTTATTATCGTTTAAGTACAATCCCTTGATAAGATGGCTGGAGAAACGCTCCGAATGGATACCGAAAGTCCGGATAGCGACAGCAAAGAAGCCGTTGTTAGACGCGCGGTATGTTGCACAGGACCTCGATAAAGAGGGCCAAAGGCATGCAAGGGACTGCTTTTGACTGCTGACCGTGTGTAGTGTGACCAATGTCGGCAACGAAAGGTGGGAGCTTATATATGACGGGCTTACAGCGTGCTGATGTCTTATGATAGATCCGCTGCGATAAACGGTCACCATGCGCCAACTGCCGCACATCCAAGATTATGTGCAGCTCTACAGGAGCGGGCCAGAAGCCTCGGGAGCCGCGGAAACGCGTGCTCATTTCCAACGAATAGTGAGTTCGCATGTAGACCCAATGCCGAGCCCAACTAATATGTTTCCAAGCGAAAGGAAGATTGACCATATCGATGAGCGGCTGGGCGGAATCGAACAGGTCCTCCGCGAGCTTAAGCTTAGCATAGCATCTGGTACAGGCGCTCAGATACGTGCCCACTCGGCGCCTACGTCCAGACCTCTGAGCCCCTCTGTCCAAGACCACCCTTCTAACCCACAGGACGCAATGGACCAGGCGGAGTCGAAGAATGGGCTCGAGGGCAACTCGTTGATGGCCACTCAGTCAGCCTATGCTAGTGACTTTCTACAGACAGCCGTATCACGTAGTCCGGTGCCAATGTCTGATTCAAAGATCAACGCAGCCCTCTCTACCCTGAAGCAGCTTGTCAAGATGCAAGATAACCAAGCCTCCGCTGCTCGCGAGTACCCGCCTCCGAAGCAAAGGCGCCTCACTGACTGTAACCCCCGGGATTTGGACATGCCACCAATGCATGTCGTTATTCCTCTACTCCGCAAAGCAATCGGTACGTACAGCTGAAACAGGCAATCTGATGCCGCTGACCATCGGTAGAGGGTAACCCCGTATCTTTGCAGTCGCTTTGCCCATTTATACCATTTGAACGCCTCGCCGATAAGTGTCGCGAGGTGTACTTCGCTACGGAAAACTATTCTGATGCGACATTCATCGTGGCAAATGGAGGGCTATATCAGCTTTTCGTCGCAGCGAGCTTTATGAATTCTGATAGCGCGCTGCGAGAGGAATATCAAAGATATGCCGATATCTGCAAGCATAATCTGGATACGACCTTGGCGAACTTGCATCTTTTGATGCCTGCAGATATAGATTCTATCGAGGCCCTCGCGATGGGAGTATGTAATTTCCCATTCTCTTTCTGTAGACGTTCTGACTGGAAATAGGCGGCCCATGCTATTGAGATTTCTAAGCCTTCCTTTGCCTTGACACTGACCTCCACAGCGTCTCGTTTGTGTCAGGAACTCGGGTTGCATCAAATGCCGTCTATAGAAAACCTGGACGTCAAAGAGAAAAAGCACAGGTTGAGCCTGTTCTGGTCGATCTACTGCATGGACCGGGCGCTTGCACTGCGGCTAGGGCGTGCTGCCACCATCCCGGACTATGATATTGATGTTCCCATGTCATTCGAAGGTTTCTCGGCGGATATTTTCAAGTCTGCACATCTGCTTTGGATAGAACTTGCTAGGATTCAGGGCTTGGTGTATCAACATCTTTACAGCCCCGCTGCGCTACGCCAGGAGGAGGTGACCAGACTGGGAGAGGCGCGCAGGTTGGCCGCTGAGATGGAGGATCGCGTAATGCGACCGTTCAGAGTCAGTGTCCTGCCCACCCAGAAGGCCAGCTCTAACAATGGACAGATTTTATACCCTACTCTCGACGGTCTGAATCCGATCGAGTGTCTATATCTCAAATGCGACGAAGTATGCCGCTTTTCGGTCTTGACACTGATCTACCGAGCCATTCCACCACAACCGGGCACGGGCACGTTCGTCAAAGAGTGCATTGAAGCTGCCAGAAGCGCTCTTCAAACGCACAAATCGAGCATGGGACTGCTTACCGAAGCAAATGAGGTTATGAAACTTTCATACCTACACTGGTAAGCCATAATCCGCATTGTTCTCGAGTTAGTCTAATCTCTCAGGTGCATTCTCTACTCCCCATTCGTCCCTTTCATCGTTCTTTTCTGCCACATAATCGAAGTGTCTTCCTGGAGAGACCAGGAAAGACTCGAGGAATTTGTCGAGTCGCTGAAACCGTACTGCCCGCTATCTGCCGCGGTATTCAATCTCCATCGACTATGCCACGCCTTGAGCAATGTTGCCCGACTCTACATTGAAGCCAAAGCACAGGCGCAGACTCAGGAGAATCAAACCCTTGCGTCGGTCGGTCACGAGGTCAACTCGTATCTTAGTGCACTCGGTCTTGCACCGTCCGAAGTTGTGGATACACGATGGGCTGGACCTGCACCAGGCACTACAACCTCAGGGACAATGAACTACCCAGCAACTCAAAGTTTTGGCACAGCCATTCCCCAGGCTCATATGACACAACTAGGCAACTGGTTTTCAGGAAACCAGTACATGATGGGACTGTTAGAAGAGGATTTATCAATGTTTGATCCATCGAATCTGACCTAGGGCAAAGCTTGCAGTGACCGACGTGGCGGCTCTAAACACACTTTCCGCCATCAACGAGCATCTCCGCGCCATTGACAAAACTTCCCTCGTCACTCGCCAGATACAAACACATATTGGCAACATCGGCTGGATCCGTCAACCGGCCCAAAGGCACATTCCCAATGAACCTTTGTCTGTTTTCCTCCGTGTCCTCCATGCCAGTGAACATGCTAAATAGGCCCGTACCCGAGAGGAGCGGCGATACTGTATTAACCCGGATGTTGTGTGGGCCGTACTCGGCTGCGAGGCCTTTGGTTGCCTGGCGGTGGCTGTTAGGTTATTCACTCTGGGAAATAGGGGCAAGGGGACAAACATTCGAAACAGCCCCTTTGCTCGCGTTATACCAAACCAATCCCGGCCGCGGTCTACTGGCGCCCGTTGAGGAGATGTTGATTATGCTGCCGCCGTGGCCCTGCTCGATCAATCTTGCGATGGCAGCTTGCGAACCGTGGAAGATGCTCTTGACATTGACGTTGAAGACACGCTCCCATTCGGCTTCAGTTACTTCTAGTGTTGGCTGTACATTGTGAGCCATGACGCCAAAGAAGATCGAGAGTTGACGGACCTTATTCCGATAGCTTGTCCCCGCATTGTTCACCAGTATATCCAACTTTCCAAACTTTGTGACTGCAGTCTTAACCACAGCAGCCCAATCGCTGGGACTCGTTACGTCGACCTTCTGGAAGATGATGTTCTCGGGATTTTGGGCGGCGACGCTCTCGCCGCCGGCCGTGTTGATGTCCGCGACGATGACTTTTGCTCCTTCGGATGCGAAGCGGGTTGCGATGGCAGCGCCGAAGCCGGAGCCTCCGCCTGTACCGAGAGTGTTAGTGAGGGTTTCGTCCAAAGCAGGCAGGCACGAACCGGTGACTATAGCGACTTTGTTGTTAAGACGGGCCATTTTGATCTGCTGTCTGGTTGCTGTCTTGAGAGTTGAAGGAGAGGTTGGAATACATATGGGGAGCAGTAAAGCGGGGAAGGCTCTGGGGAGTTATCCGAGGATGTCGATCGGGATGAAGGCCGACTCTGACGTTGAGTACCGACGGAGTAGTAGAACACTCTTCTCCCAGAGTCAACTCCTCCTTCCGACCCCGCGTTCTCCGCAGGATGGCCGACCGCTGCAGACCAATCATCGCCCGCGGAGCCTTACTCCGCATCGCAGGCACGTTCGATCAATCGCTTGCTATCTTCTTTTCTGGGTGAGACTATCGCTCGTATTTCTGATCGCCTCTGAATCCTCGAAAGTCCAGGCCCGAATTCTCAAGCCATCTCGCTTCTTTTGCCCCTCGATGTTGCTCCCAACACGAATGCCGAGTGGATGCTGCCGACCCTAAACCATGATCTAGCCACGATTCATCCTGGCCACCATCTTCCTTGTCTATCGTATTTGTCCCGTGTGCGTGTTATGCTTGCTTCTGAGTGACGAAATCATTTCTTGCGGCCCAAAAGTTGGACATGCAGCTTTCCCACAGCATTTACTGACGTCGACGACTTCATGTGCTAGTCATCATACCTCGGGGTGCTCGGCCATTATCACGGTATATTTCTGCTCGACCTGATTAGGTTTGCGTGTGGTGGGGCACGCCTGTTCTCAGCCTGGTGTACCGTGCTTCTGTGAAGAATGTGGTCGAGGTTCGCCGAGGCCAGCCGCCAAGCGCATCAGGCATTGTTTGGACTTTGGGTCTTCTGGGAAAACAGTGCCGAGGTCAGCATGGCGGCAGCCACAAGCCTAAGAACAAAGGAATGATACGTCTAGCTGCAGTGTAACCCACCCGGCTGAGTCTAAAGTCCGTGCCTGGCAGGCAGGTAGAATGCTAGACGCCCTTCTTCCACATGCCCGGCTACATAAGCACGGGGAGTCCCAGTCAGAGTCCCAGTCATTGACTCATTATTACAGCCCATCGGCCTCAACATGCGTTTTTCGACAGGTACAAGAGTCGCGGCCCTCGCCAGCGTCTGGCTGAGCTTTACCTCCGCACTGCCTGGCCTCGGCCACGACAACGACGATGTCATCACTCGAGATGTCGCCATCATTGGTGGCGGAGCATCGGGGACTTATGCGGCCATCCGTCTACGGGAACTTGGCCGGAGCGTCGCCCTTATCGAGCAAAGAGACGAGCTAGGCGGTCATACACACACATACTACGATGCTGCTGCCCCAATCGATTATGGCGTGTGGATCTACACAAACAACACCGATATGGAGCGCTTCTTCGCGCACTTCAACATTCCCTTGGTAGCAGAGATCTTGAACGGTGACCCTGCGTATACTCGGCGGTATGATTTCCGCACGGGAGAGGCTGTCGCTGCGCTAGGTGGTAATATCATCGACGCCCTGACGCGGTATGTTGGTATATTGCTACAGCATCCCTATCTTGCGGGCGGATTCGACCTACCCGATCCCGTCCCGGAGGATTTGCTGCTGTCGTTTGGAGATCTTATCGAGAAATATGATCTCGGGGCGGCGGTAGATATGATCACACAGTTTGACCAGGGATTCGCCGAGAACATACTCGATTACCCTTCGATTTACATCTTGAAATATCTGGATTTGGCCGTGATCCAGGGCATACAGTTTGGATTCTCCAGACCCGCAAGCCGCGCCAACCAAGATCTATACAAGGCCGCTGAAGCGGAGCTCGGTGAAGATGCCCTGCTTGGGAGCACAGTAGCCAGAATTCAGCGTCAAGACGATAAAGGCACCAGTGCTCATCACAAAGACACCAATGCTCATCATAAAGGCACCAGTGCTCATCACATCGTCGTTGACACCCCGTCAGGAAAGCAACGCATCATAGCCAACAAAGTCATCGTCGCCATCCCGCCGCTGCTGGAAAACTTGGACGGTTTCGACCTTGACGACCGCGAATCGGACATCTTCAGCCGATTCCAATACAGCTCCTACTACGGAAGCGTGGTCAACGTCACCGGTCTCCCGCGTCAATTGCAGATCTTCAACAAGGCAACCGATACCCCGTACCACGTGGCGGACCTTCCCGGCACATTCACCTTCAACCCCACGGCCGTCGAGGGCATCCACACTGGATTCTTCGGAGGCGGCGCGGGGTCTCTGCCCGAAGACCAGGCGCGCCAAGGTATAATCGACAACCTCCTGGCGCTGCGCAATGCAGGGTATCCTGTGTCCGAACCGGAGATAATAGCTCTTCGCAGCCATACCCCCTTCGGGCTGCATGTTTCTGCAGAAGAGATTGCGGGCGGGTTCTACCGGGACTTGTATGGACTGCAGGGATACCGCGGGATGTATTACACGGGGGCTGCGTTTCATGCTCATAATTCTGCGGAGCTGTGGGAGTTCACGGAGCGGGTGTTGCAGGAGCATGTGCTGGTGGACTAGGATGAATGTACTGGCTGTTGACCGTTAGGTAATTGCGAAAGAGTTCAGACTGTCCTTAGACCCATCTTTGTATAGACCTAGACCTCATCTGCGCTATTCCCTTTTAAGCTCCAGCGCGAGATTCGTCAGCTGATCCCGAGCCCAACACAGACTCAGCTCGCCTCCTCTCCCTCCATCTCATCCCTCGCAATGCCATCAGACTTGAAATCAACCGAGTATAGCCAAACAGCGCCTACTAGGAAGCGGCGCAAGATCCGCAAGGGCACGACCAGCTGCTGGGAATGCAAGCGTCGGAAAGTCCGATGCAGTCTCGTGGACGACCCCAATGGGGTGTGCAAAGCGTGCCGGAGACGAGGGGCGAATTGTCTGACGCAGGATTTTGCAGACGTTGATGATGGGATTGAACTTGTTGATGACGTTCGGCACTCGAGCCGGATTGAACTTGCTGATGACATCCGGATATCGGCTCGAGTGCCTGAACTAATAAGCCCGGCTGGTTCTACAGGAGCTAGTCCGAGCCCAAGGCGGCGTCAGGGTGATGTTGATCTTGAGTATGAGAGAGGGTCTACGTTGACCTCGTTAACGGTGCGAAAAGTCCTATCGTACCTACCATGGTATCACTGACAAGTCTAGGATCCCATCGCCAGCATCTCCCATGAGTTACATGCTAGCTTACCGTCGCGCAAGGATATCAGCTCTATCTGCAAAGTGCTTGACCATGTGCCGCTCATGTTCCATGAGTTCTTGACGAGGCCTCATTCAGATTCAGAAGAAGATGCCTCCAGGAGCGTCTGGCTGCTCGATATCCCGCCTCCGGAATCCCACCCAGCACTGCTGGCAAGGTATATGCTGCGCCTCGCCACGCCGCTCCAGTCCCTTGACCTGAAGAAATCAGGAAAACAGCTGAGCGCGCTATTGGAAGCACCGCAGTTAATGGCAAAACGGCTAGCAGAGACCGCTATACATCTCGTCACCAGCCGCGACGAGCTGCTCGGTAGCGTGGAGGGCGTCGAATGCGCGATGCTGGAGGGGAACTACGAAGCGAATCGCGGCAACTACTGCCCTGCGTGGATTGCGTTCCGGAAGGCCATGACGCTGGCGCAGGTGCTTGGGGTTCATCGTCCACGGCACTCACTGCGCGTGCTTGATAGCCGGCGTAAAGTGGACAGTTCGTTTCTGTGGTACCGGATTGTCTATGTTGACCGCTTTATGTGCTTGATGATGGGGCGTCCTCAGGGCTCGATGGACCGCAGTATGGGGTCTGATGCTGTCATGGATGCCGATACACCGCTGGGACAGCTGGAGCGTTTTCACTGCTTCATTGCGTCTCAGATTTTGGAGCGGAACGATGCGGAATCGTGCTCTGCAGACACGACTCAAAATATCGACTACCAGCTACGGAAGGCAGCTGAATTCATGCCTAGTGAGTGGTGGATGGTGCCGAATGCCGCGGAACCAGAAGTCGTTGATAGGGAGATACGCCTCGTTTGCCAGATCAACCATTACGGCCTCATCAATCAGCTCCATATCCCGTATATGCTACGGTTCGCCAACGCGGAGCAGAAGCTACACACCTACTCACATACGACCTGCATCAATGCATCCCGCGAGATCCTCACCCGCTACGTCGCCCTCGGCAACTCCAACGGAGTCGCATACACCTGCCGCGTCATCGACTTCTTCACCCTCTCCTCTGCCCTCCTCATCCTGCTAGCGCATCTCCGCCAGCACACCCTGACACCCGGCGAATTCAACAACCTAGCGCACCAGCGCCAAGGCGACCGCGGCTTAGTCTCAAAGGCCATAGACAATCTCCAGAAAATCGCCTGGGCAAGCCAGGACCGCATCATCGCCAAGTCCGCTGACCTGCTGAGCCGCCTCCTTGATATGGAAGCCGAGGCAAGTATCGGTTCGGCTAGCTACTCAGTACACACCATCGGCTCCCCGGAAGATGTTGCAAGGGAAACGGATAACGGCCCGCCGCCGCTGAATAAAGGCCTCCGCTTCTGCATACCGTGGTTTGGCTTCGTGAGAATTGTACTCGCGTCTTTCCGGCGGACGCCTTCCGCGGCGGAGATCATGGCTGGGGAGGATATATTCCAGTTTCGGCCAGAGCCGGACGGGCAACCCGTAGGTGAAAATCGTGCAGTGGCGGCGGCGGGAGGGCAGTACACGCAAGGCCAGGAACTGACGCCGCCGGAGCAGCCGTGGTATGCGGATACAGGCTTTGGAGCGGACGACTGGACGATGCAAGGCTTTGATATGTCGTTCTGGAATTGTTTCTTTCAGGGGCCCGGGCTGGCTATGCCCATGTCTATGCCGATGCCTGTGGATGGGGGCGCTACGGCCGGGGGGTTTGACGGGCATGGGCTTTGACATGTTCACCCGATTCGGGCTAGAAAGTCTCCGGTATTTCCTGCTTACTGCAAATACAATAGAGCATTAGATTAGGTAGAATACCTTGTTCCTCCGAAGCTGACAAATGTGGAGAGCTCGGTGGAAGGGCCTTGGCGCTCGGTGGAGGGTTCGGTGCAAGCCTCTGGCCCCAGCGTAAGCATTTCCTTCCCTGATAGTCGTATGCGTACATACGTGCCTCGATAGGTTATCTTGCTAATCGCGTATGCGTATAGATCAACAGCGCTGCGTAATGCCGTGTTCGTGCCGTAAGCCTGCAGGTGCTCTTCCGCCGAGCTTGACGTAAGCCCTAAGCAACCATGTCTTCCTCCGAGGTATGATTAACCTCTATCGAGAAAGGGTATATATAAGCCCTCATCCTGCTGTGACTCTCCTGGCATTATCATCTGCAGTCTTTATTACCGTTGAACGCAAGCCATGTCCGACTCAACCGTCGTCCTCATCACCGGCGTCGCCAGAGGTCCCTACCCATCCACCCTGCCAATCCCATCTTCCCAAACCTGTCCGCAATAACAAGCTAACATCAAACAGGCCTCGGCCACGCCCTCGCAAAATCCTACCTCTCCCGCCCAAACCACACCGTCATCGGGACAGTGAGGGACACCTCCTCCCCGTCCCTTTCAACCCTCACCACCCAGACAGCCCCCGGCTCAAAGCTCCTCCTGTACCCCCTCGAATCTACCAACGACACCCACTACACTGACCTATCCACATCTCTCGCAACCGCCGGAATAACGCACCTGAACCTCGTGATCGCGAACGCCGGCGTCGCGCATCCACCAGGGACACCGGCGTCCGTGGGGATCGAGGATGTGCGGGCCGTCTTTGACGTGAATGCGCTGGGGACGCTGAGACTTTTCCAGGCTCTCCGGGGGTTACTTGAGCGTGGTGCTGCGCAAGGGAGGGAGGTGAAATGGGTCAGTGTTAGTTCGGGGGCTGGGTCGATTGAGGGGTGTAAGGTTTACGGCCGGGGGACGGAGAAGGTTGTCCCGTATGGGGTTAGCAAGGCGGCGGTGAATTGGGTGACTGTGTATGTTGCCCTCCAACTTACCATGATGAGGAGAAGGGAAAAGGAGGTGCTGATGCTGACGATTTGCGGTGGATAGGGCCATCCATGCCTCGGAGACGTGGTTGACGGCTTTCGCGATCCATCCTGGGTATGTCTACTCTACTAACACCTTGTGGCCTCCACTCTATGCCTTTCGTTTCCCAGTGCCTTTTATGTCCTTGTATGGGGTGGCTGACGGCGATGGATACTGTAGCTGGGTCCAGACGGAAATGGGAAACGCGGGCGCGCGCGTCATGGGGCTCAAGGAGGCGCCGAATACGGTTGAGGAGGCGATTACGAAGACGGTGGCTACGGTGAGTGCTCGCGCCCTCTTCTCTATTCTCATCTGCTATGGGTTCTTGGATCTTGGGCCTTGGGTGGAGACGATTGGCTGATGCTTGGTTGGCTGCGTAGATTGATGATGCTACGCGCGAGAGCTCGGGTGGGAGGTTTGTGAATGTTATTGATGGGACGGAGATTCCGTGGTGATGGAGGCCCATGGTTGGCTTGTTGCTGAGATGTATTATGAAGAGGAGATGGGATTAGTTGTTGATTTCCAGGTATGTGTTGTTTACGTTCATTACTTAGATCTAGCTGGATACTTCATGAATATACAAAGCTAAGATGTCTTAGAGCTTTCCATACCTAGAATCGCAGCAGGGCATATCCATGGACCAACGCTAGACTAGGGATTTTCTTAGCCACTACGCACAATAGTCACAAGGCAGCAAGCTCTCGAGAGTCTACTACCACAGAGAAATGCTGCTGCCTCTCACCATCATATGGATCACAGTCACTCTACCACTCGACGAAGTTAGGCCAAGTCCCAGTAGGGTTATTCTACATCCCCAGTCACACCCTGTGTATCTACACATGCGGAGGCTACCAGCAACGAGAACGCTCCAGCAGAGGGTATCTGCATGAACATAGTACAGGCTGCTACGTACTTGTGACACTGCGAGCGTTCTAGCCCGGTGCTCGAGTCTCTTCACGTGGAGACTCTGTATAACCGCCTCAGGTGTGCGAGTCTCTTCACGTGGAAGTACCCCGTATTAACCCCAGAGTGTTATCTGATCTCCCCAGATATGCCGCTTCCCGTTATCACATCCTCGGTCCAACTCGGGTGTATATCTCGAAGTCAAAAAGTCTCGGGAGAAGGGCCTCCAAGGCCACAGAGTAGAAATACTCCGGTATACATTGATATACAGCTTTAGGCACACTTCTGCACCCGTTGCTCGACTTCGGGACTATACTTAGGTACAAAACCGCCAACCCATGAGGAAGATCGAATGAAGATATAAAAGACCTGGAGAATGCCGCTCTTCCTCTCCCCAGCTAACAGCCAAACAGACAAGAGCATCCACAAGCACTGGAAAACACGTTCCAAAATGCACTTCACCAGGCAGCTCCTCTGGGCCCTCGCCCCCTTTACCCTCTCGCCCACCGCAACCGCCTCCGACCTCGCCGCCCCGGCCCCAGGCCCATACTTCCCCTTCCCCTTCGGGCCCGGCTCCCTCTCGCACCCCCTCGCCTGCGCAGAACTGCTCTCCGTAAACCAGCGCCTCGACGCCTTCACCTACTACGCCTTCCCACCCGGCAGCCTAGACCCGGACACCATCTCCGCGATGGAGGGGTTTACAGGCTCGTACAAGACGCTCCTGAACGCGCTGCACCGCGACGACTGTGCGGCTGATACGAAGGAGGGGGAGGAGGAGAAAGGCGTGGCGGTGCGCCAGGTCGACACGCCGCAAACGATCCCCGTTATCTGTGAGATTATTGATGGGCTGCTGGGACTCAATGAGACGGATGCCGGGATCGTGGAGGAGATTATTGGGCTTGTGGCGATTGTGCTGGAGACGATTCTGGATTGTGATTGTCATTCTGTGGGGGTTTGTGACTAGCATGGCACAGTGATGATCGGGTTGTGATGGGAGGAATTGGTGGTCGTCGTCTAGTTTGGACATGAGGACCTTGCTTTGCTTTGCTTTGCCTTAGTCTCTGCCATAATGCATAATGCACAGGTTCAATGTACCACATCAGATTGAGTGCTCCAAAGGACTCTAGTAGATGTAAATCCGCAGCAAGCCACTTGCATGCGATGTCATGTCAACCATATACCTCCAGGGCTGCTCGGGGATGAGCCCTAATTGTTCAGCCAACATTTATTCTCCCATCGCTCCCTCTGAGATTAGTCTCTTACCACAGAAACCAGCCAGCCGTGAGTGAAAACAGGGGCAAGAACTAGATACCCCTACCGGTAAGTCCTTCCTCATTTATCCTTCGCAAACAACTTCACCGACTCTTTTTTCCCACCACTGCCCACACTTTAATCCATCTCAACGTTATGATTGCCCAGATAACGGCCGCTGACTGGCGGGGGCCAAAGTGCACAGTGCTAGCCAACTTGGCAGCGTTCGCCCGAGCGCCCATTGGATATGGTGCCCAGGGTCTAAGCCTCGAGGGTCCGAGCAGAGTCAGACACAGCCGGAATAAGTGCAGGATTCTGGGCCCTCGGTCTCAATCTACTGGTGCGCCTGCAGTTGCACTGCACCGTTGCCCAGCCGCGAGGCGTTCCTTCTAATCCATTTCCATAATAAAAGACCGTCGCCCGTTGGGCTTCCCACTTGACCTCTGTCGCGACATCAGAGCCTCGCAAAAAAGGAAAATGGGGTCAAACGCCCTCCTGGTGATGCTGCTATGGGGATCTGGACTCGCCAGGGCCTGGCGTATGTCTTCCACCTCGTATCCTATCTCGACCTTTCCTTAGGGCTAGTATACCTAGGTACCTAACCAACTCTCCTCTCCAGCCAGCAATCGCATCCCCATCCCCCGTCAAGTCGAAGCAACAGCGACCTGCCCCTCAACCTCAACGTACAGCACGCCCAACGGCCTCAACTTCACCTCGCACTGCAACAGCGCCATCAGCCGCTCCGCCTACTCTGACAACCCCATAACGTCCACCACCTTCACCGACTGCATGAACACCTGCAGCACAACCAGCACCCCCTGCTACGGCATCGCATTCACAGAGCGCAACAGCACCTGCTACACGCTTACGAACGGCACCCTCGCAACAGAGCCAAATCTAACCCCAGACTCAGACGTTGACATTGCCCTCGTGGATCCCGTCTCCCAACTTACTGGTGTGGATGATTCCTGCCCATTCAGCAACAACACCCTGCAAGCAACGACCTCAGGCCTAGACTTCGAGATAAAGTGCTACACCGATATGATCCCCTTCGGGCACTACTGCCCCTGGAACCTCGTGGATGACCCCTGGTGTAAACTGCACACGGACACGATGGATGCCTGCATGGAGTTCTGTGCAGAAGCCCACCCACTCTGCCGCGCGGTCTCATGGAACCCGGATCTGGGAAATGGGTTTGGGAACTGCTATCTCAAGGACGTCAATGGGACTTTAGTGTCTGGTGAGCATGGGGGGTATGTTATACACAGTGCGCTCGTGCAACTCCCCGCGCTGCTAGATGACGAGGGGCCTTGTCCGTCTAGCCTGAACTATACATCGACGACCTTCCTCCAAGTGCGCAAGGAGTTCGAGATCCGGTGCTACGAGGCTCGAGGGGGGACGGGGAACCTGACGACCGTCCACACCGCGTCGCTGGAGATCTGCATGGACCGGTGTGCGAGTTACGACCCGATCGCGGACTCGGAGTCGAATTTCGGGGTCGAGACTCCCGAGTGTGTGGGTGTTGTCTTTGATCGCTCGATGGCGGGGGGGTATGAGAATTGTGCGTTGCTTAGTGAGGTTGGTGGGAGTATGGGGGATATCAACTCGACGTTTGCGAGGGTTACGAAGACGGTTGACCCGAGGGAGGAAGGGAGTGGAAGTGAGAGTAAGGCTTGGATTGCTGGACCGGTTGTAGGGGGGGTTGCTGGGGTGGTGATATTGGGGGTGGTGGCTTGGTGGTGGCGGAGGAGAAGAATGGCGCAGGGTGCAGAGGAGGCACTGAGTCCAGATGCTGAGAGCAAGCCTGTTGTTGCGCCGTATAGCATCGTGTCGACTGAGACTGACCATGGCACTGGCAATGGGCCAGTTGAGGTGGAGGCACGCCCGCCGCAGTATGAGCTGCCGGGGGCGGATTCACCTCAGACAAGACATGAACTGGCGGGGCATTGACAGTGGCATTAGACTCCAGCTTGGTTGTATATAGAGCTACTGGTTGCAGCCCTGGTGATCAATCTTTCAATTAGACTATACCCGATTCCCTAAGCCCTAATTTGATGCCAATTTCTCATTCTATCCACATACCATTATTCCAACTATCTCAACCTCATGTATCTATAACTACTCATCACTCGCATACTCTCCGGACCTCCACAGCTGGCCAAACCTCGACCCCTCCCTCTCCAGCAAGACCTGCGGACTATCGAACTCCACCAGATTTCCAGCATCAAGAACAGCAACTTTGTCGTAGCGGTGGATATACCGCAGCCGGTGCAGCACAGAGAGGATGGTGTGGCTTGCGAATTCCGTTTCCAGGATGCTCTGCATCGTTGACTCGGTGCTGTGGTCGACACTACACACATACCGTTAGTATGAGTCAGGGGATAGGTGGGAAAGAAAGAGGGGAGTGGACAGACCTGCTCGTCGCCTCATCCAATATCAACACTCTACCGGGCCTGACCATAGCACGCGCAAGACAGAGAAGTTGCCGTTGCCCGACGGAGAACATGGCCGCGTTGATCTGCGCATCCAGCCCGTCACCCTTTGTATCTTGCTGTAGAATAAAATCCCACAGCCCGACCCTCTCCAACGCCTTCACGATATCCCCATCGGCGACCTGTCCCCACGGATCGACATTGAATCGCACGCTCCCAGACACCAGGAACGGGTCTTGCGTGATGACGTTCAGTCTCTTGCGGACCTCCTCGCGCGGGTACGATGATAGATCGACGCCGTCGATGACGATCCTCCCCGAGTCCGATTGCGGCTCTACAATGCGGAGGAGGGAAAGAAGCAGCGTTGTCTTTCCGCTGCCGGAGGATCCGACGATTGCGAGCTTGCAGCCTGGTGGGATGGACAGGGTGAGGTTCTTTAGGACGGGTGGGGATGTTGGCCTGCTTCATTCATTAGCTCCAGCTCGGCTTGATTGAGAAATGTCGAGTCCAGACTGAAAGCAAGGAAAGGGGTGGAAAGGGTTGACATACGAATGCCCAGCGACAACGCCCTCAAACGAGATCGCCCCCTCCGCCGGCCACACGTCTGGCAAGTCTGGTTTCACCTGAGGCAGCGCATCATCCTCTGCCTCAGTCGTCCCCACAAAATCCTTCACCCGCTTGACGGCCCCGATACTCGTCTCCATCATCGTCCAGCACTTGACCAGGTGCATGAGCTGCGAGTTGAACGTCATGACCATCAGCAGCGCAACGCCCACATCGCCCGCATCGAACTTCTCGCGCAGAACCACAACCGTCGTGACCAAGACCACCGCTAAAATCGTAACCAGGACATCCAGCACAAACCCCAAGCACTGCTGGATGCAGTAGAGGAAGTACACGGGGCGCTGGGACGAGTTGAGGAGGGAGAGAAGGGTCGAATGGAACGAGGCATGCCACCCGAACGCGCGGACCGTCGAACCCCCCGCCACAAGCTCCAGGAAGTGCGTGTACAGCGGCGCCTTGGCCTCGATGTCGAGCAGGCGCATCTGCCGCGACGTGCGCAGGTACAGAGCTTGCGTGACGTACACGGCGAGCATGAGGAAGGGGATCGCGGCCGCGAGGTACCGGGCGAAGGAGGCGAGGATGAGGAGTTTCAGGATGCTTGTGGAGAGCGCGGCGAGCACGTTCAGGGCTTCGATGGGGAGGGTCATGTCGATGAGGTCCATGTCTTGGCTGAAGCGGTTGGTGATGCTCCCGATTTCGACGCGCTGGAAGAAGTGCAGCGGGGCTCTGCTTGAGTCAGTTGGTTGTTATGGTAGAGGAGGTGGAGTGACGGACCTGGCTGTGCTATCGACGAGGTTCTTGTGTAGACTCAGGGCGGATTGGGAGACGATGGTGACGCAGAAGAGCCTGGATTTGGATTGTTAGCCTCCATCTGCCTTGGAGTACTGGACTGGACTGGACGTTGCAGTGGATGGGACATACCAACATGCCACAACCATCAACACCGTCCCAACCAGACCGAACATCACGTAGACGCCGAGATACATGCCGGCCTGCGAGTTCGGGGACCGCGCATTCGCCTCGGTCCACCAGTCGAGCCAGATTGCTAGATGCACTCGTTAGTACCAGCACCCCCCGTCCTTTCCAGGTAGCGGTTGGAGTGCAGCACTTACTTGGGAACTCGCGACAGAACGTCCAGCCCATAATCAGGACCAGCGTGGCTGCGACCGTCGTCCGCCCGCCGGAGGAGATGTAGTATGCGTAGACGGACCAGTCGCCGTTGCGCCGGGCCGGGTCTGCGAGGGCGTGCTCGAGGAGTTCGTCGCTTTCGTTCTCGCTGGGGTTGGTCTCGTCCTTTTGGCTGTCGATATCGGCTTCCGGGTCTGTCTCGCTGGCATCCTCGCTGCTGCTACTGATAGAAGAAGACGTAGGAAGTGTGATCTGTAGCCCCTGGACATAATCGCTTCCAGTCAGCGCCTCCAGTGTACCTTGCCCAGCGACCTGCCCGTCGCGAAGGACGAGGATGTCGTCGGCGTAGCGGAGGAGGTAGCCTGTCCGGCAACGTCAATCAGCCACTCATCCAGCTATCAAGGCCGGGAAGAATAGATAGAGGAAGCGTACCCGAGTGCGTAGCAAGCACAACCGAACTCCCAATCTTGCGGAAAAGCCCCTGCTCACCAAACAGATTCCGCGCGATACGTTCTGTCCCCGCTGCGTCGATGCCGCTGAAGACGTCGTCGAGGAGGACGACACGGGCGCGGGAGTAGAGGGCTCGGGAGAGGGCCTGTCGGGTCAGTCGTGGCTTCAATTGATGAGACATTGGGGTACGCGTACAATCCTCTGCTTCTGCCCTCCACTCAGCGCCATCCCGCCGCTCCCTACGGCCGTGGCGTCTCCGGCCGGAAGACGAGCCAGATCACTCGTCAGTCCGCAGGCGGCGATGACCGTCTTGTACCAGGTTTCGTCGACGGGGGAGGCAGCGATGATGTTCTCTTTGATGGTCTGGCTCTGGAGCCAGGGCGTCTGCGAGCAGTAGGCCACTGAGGACATTGAGAAAGATGGGCCTGCCTCTAGCTGTCCGGATGTAACGAGCGTCTCGCCGAGTATGCTCTCCAGGAGCGTTGACTTGCCGCTGCCGACGGGGCCGATTAGCATCGTGATGCCGTGGTTGATGGTTAGACTGATATCTCGTAACACTGGCGCAGCGCCCCTCTTCCAGGCCGCGGTGTAGTTGGAGAATGTCACCAGCTCGCCCTTTTTGGTTGGTTCGCTCGGCATTTCCACGAGCGCTATGGATTTTTTATCTTCTCCATGCGCCTCGTCAGGTTCATTCCCCTGCGCCGTCGACACACTGCAGTACTCCTGGATCCGGTCAAAGCACCCCAGGCACTGGATGACGTCCGGCACCGCCTGGATGAACGTCAGGACCGGGGTTGTGACGAGGTTGATCAGCGAGAGGGAGGTGAAGGCCTGCGCGGCCAGAATGGAGTTGTCGTTGCGGACGAGGGCGATGATCACGTAGACTGCGAAGGTGGCCATGGGGGCGAGATCGGCCGGAGAGTTGGCTGCACATATCACAGTTAGCCACACCTTGAACAAGGGTAAATTGAGCGCAGGAGCATACACAGCGTAATCGTCCCAATCAGCAACTTGCGAAAGACCGCAGAGGTCGCGATCTCGGCTTCCCGGAGCCGCTGCACGATGCCAAAGATCTTGTCTGACAGACCGAGCATCTTGACTGCCTTGATGTTCTCGAGGGTGTACGATGTCAGTCGGAGGCGATCTTCGACCTTTTCGATCCACAGGCGCTGGTATTTATTCGTGTAGGCGGAGAGCTTGAACGTCGCGGAGATGAAGACTGCACACCCCCGTTAGCCCTAACCCTTTCACTGTATATAGGAAATGGGAACAGGAGAGACAGACCAACAACAATAACCCCCGGCACCAAGCACGCAACACCCACCTGCCTCTCCAGGAGGTAGATAGCAACAGCAACCTCCACCAAACTCGCCCACAGCTCATGCAGCGACCGAAACCCACCCACAATCCGCTCGACATCCGTCCCCATGAGCGCAATCGCCGTCGTACCACCGAGATCCACAGCGCGCACACGCACAGTCTGTCGATGGACAAGACCGATCAACCCCGCACGCAGCCGGATCGCAAAGCGGAAGTTCTGGTACCCGAAGAGCGCGGTGCAGACGGCGAGCCCGACGTACACGAGCGCGAAGGCGCCGATGAGCGCTTTGCCGCTGTCACCTGGTGCTTCGGGCTCTGGCGTCCCGACCCATGACACGGTCGCGTTGATCAGGAAGGGCTGGCAGAAGGTGAAGCCTGTTACGAGGAGGCGGGGGATGATGGCTGATAGGAGAGGGGTGGAGTAGGCGTGGAGGCAGGTGCGGAGGAGGGCGTGTTTGGATGTCTTGTCTGCCCAGGTACCATGACGTTGTCAGATATTGTTTCTGCTCGTATGGATGGATGTGTGAGTGCAGGTGCCTACCTGCCCGTGCCCAGGCTCTTTCCAGTCTCTCGCCTACAACACCGCTGTCCAGCTGCGGATCCAGCTCCGGCAGGTCATCGACAGACAGGACCTTCGTGTACCCGCGCCTGAACGTCCCGGCCAGCCAGGCAAAACTCGCTAGCTTCCAGAGGCCGCTGAAGGGCTCGGGGGTAGCGGGGGGTTTCTCAACCGCAACAAGGCTAGATGCTTTCCCTGTTGACTCGAGGATTGTGCAGAGGAGGGTTATCGCGAATCCGACGGTAAACGGGACTGCAGCCCCGGAAGGATCCGCAACAAGCCATAGTGTCCGGACGCGCGCGATACCCAGGAGCGAGCGCGCCGACAGGAACAGGACCAGGAGTGTCGACGGGCGGATGGAGCGGCAGTGGTGGATGTACGAGAGGATCCCTGCGAAGACGATGGCCAGGAGCTCGAGGATATCCGCTGGGAGGGAGAGGGTATCTCGCAATGCTGAGGAATGGAGCTGTCGCTGGATAAGAAAGACGAGCTGGCAGATCAACAGCGCGCCGAGGGAGCCCTAGAGAAGAATAAGCAAGCCAAGATACTGGTGATTGAAAAGGATCATACAAGCTTCGCGGCCAAGAGCGCTGATCGCTGGACGAGACGGGCCTGTTTCCATAGTCGGTAGAGCTGCAGTGGGATGAAGAGGAGGAATAGGGCTGCTGGGAGACAGGAGAGCAGTGCGTCCTCGAAGGTCAGGGTGAAGTCGAAGGCGCGGCAGGTGGTGTCGACTCTGGGGCCGAACGCGGCGTCTCCGGGACAGGAAGACATCCTGACGCAGAGCTGGGAGGCCTGGGAAGACCACTGAGAGGGGCCGGTGACCTTTAATTGATGTTTGACGTTCTTATCGTGAGACTAGCCTGCGACTAAGGCGTTGGGTCTGGCACAGCCACGGGCGAGTCGGAGTGAGCCGCGAGATAAGAATGTCCTGGATGCCTGGAGCTTACTGGTACAATCAATACTACAGGGTTCCCAGAGGGTTTAGACACCGGATACCTGGCAGTGGCACAGGAGGGATGCATTAGTGCACCGCTGGCGATCCCACAACGAGTTAGGGCATCGCTAGCCGCCTGCAACGTCACATCGCTTGCAACCAGCATACGGAGTACTTGAGATAGTGGTCTCTAATTAGTATAGTAGGTAGTCTACACAGCTCGTACCCTCCCAACATAAACACTGACCCAAACAATGCCCATGAGCACCGCCGAAATCACAAACGGCAGTCCCACCCAAAACCCCGACCCTCTCGCTCCCATCCTCAAGCCCACCTGGTACATCAGCGGCCAGAACGGCGCCCCGATCAGGGCCCCCGCGGCCTCCATGATCCCCAGCACGGAGTACGTGATCGCGCGGTGTTCCTCTGGAGTGGCGAGCGTCAGTATCGACCGGATCGACTGGCTGTACCCGCTGCTTAGGCCGTAGAGAATCAGACCTGCGATAGTCAGTTGAGGCTGAGTGAACTTTAGGGTAATGTAAGGGCGTACTGATAACGAAGAAAACAGGCGATCGGGACAACGCCATCCCTGCGCTCCCGACCGCAGCAAAGAGCGCACTCCCCCGGGCTAGGGCAAAGTGCTTCGACAGCCCTGTTTCGGACTCGCGCTGTTCTCGCGTCTGTGTCCGAGTGAGGAGCCGGCTCACGGCCGGCAGGAGAAGCAGAACAGCCAGGTGTGTTGCGTTCTGCAGGGAGACGAGATACCCGGACTACGACCGTTAGCACACCTCAATGAATCGTAGGGGAATACTCCAGTGCAGGCGAGGTACCTCTGAAAACGACCACCCAAACGCCTGCGCCGCATAGATGATCAACAGCACCATGACTTCATCCCCGAGGTAGCGCAGGACAAACCCGAACAGAAGAACCAGCAGCCCAGTCTGCTCCCTGAACAGACCCATGGCCGTGCGCACCGTCGCGAGCGTCGACTTGGCCTCCGGGGCTGGCGTCGCCGCGACATGATCATCGCCCTGGTCCTCGCTGTCTCGAACAACCGCCCGATCCTGCTGAAACAACAGCGTCAGGAAAAACGACGTAACGACCAGCGCCCACCCCATCACAACCGCGCCCCACAGATGCGCATCCATGATCGCCGAGCTGGCCATGAACCCCAGCACCGTGCCCGAGTAACTGCCCGCCTCCATGAGGAAGAAGCGCGTCGCCCTGCACTCGTTAACACTCAACACCGACTCCCACAACGACCAAGAACCTCAGAGGAGGACCTAGGTAGGTATGGATAGACGCACCTCAACTCCACCGGCGAATGATCCGCAACAAGCACGAACAGCAACGGCCCCCCAACCGCCGGCCCCCCGCCAATAAAATACGCCACAGGCGCAAGGTACATCAGCTGCAGCGGCCACTTCCAGACCGTTCCACCCCAGCACACGAGATCCGTCCATGTCTCGCCGAGCACGATGCCCGTGACGCAGAGGAGGAGCACGCGCTTGACGCCCCAGCGCTCGGCGAGGGCGGCGTAGGGGACACCCAGGAAGAGACCGGGGAGGAGGGTCATCAGGCCGAGCATGCCGCGCAGCATGCTGAGCGAGGACTGCACGGGCTCGATCTTGCAGTCGAGGTCGGCTACGCTTAATGTGCCGTGGGATTCGGCGGCGTAGTGCCGCTCGCAGAGGAGGTCTTGCAGGATGCTGGTTGTTGGGGGGATGGACATTGAGGCGCCGCTGTTGATGACGAAGAGGGTGAGGAGGCAGGTGTAGAAGACATGTTTGTTGTTTTTTTCGTTTACTTTGGAGGGGGGTGGTGATGGCGGGAGGAGGGGCGTGGTTTCGCTGGTAGACGCGGAGTCGGACATTTTGATGCAGGGACCTGGGCTGAAAAGCAAAAACAGCCACTGCGGCACGGGCACGGCTCCTAAATGTAACACGGAATGTCGGGGCCTGGAGATAAGCTGAGGGGGCTAAAGTGCGTGGCTAACTTGATGGAGATAGGGCTAGTTGGAGCTGAAGCTGGAAGATGACGCTTTCCAGCCTATCACGTCTTAGGCCGCAGTTGGATTGTTCTAGCTAGTCTACCGTTGCAATGACCTCATCTTAGCTGCGTTTTAGTTCCCTTGAATTTGCCTTTGATACGTGGCTCATTGCCGCCTTCCGACATGTCTACTCCAACTTGCCAATACCAGGCTAGATCCTTCAGACCTGGACAATTTGACCGGATTTTCGGAGACCGAAGGCTTTCTGCCGTTTCTTGCTTAGCACAGCAGAATTACCTGGCAGACAAAGGGAAATAAGAGGCTTCAGCCATGCTTTATGGTACCATATTCGAAATCGACTTCCCACCTCATCTTTCCGCCACCAAGACGGTAGGTAAACCCGGTTAATCGAGCCCCTGACGGGGTGAATACCAACTCTTTCCAAATTTTGAGAGAATCATCAAACAAACCGCAGCCAAGCGAGATTACGCGCCTTGCGGACTGATCCTGCGCCAGGAACGGGTATCGACTCCATCCATACTGCCAATTCTTCGGACATAGGTGAGCTCCAAGAGACACTAACCACCTCTACTCAGTCGATCCTGCGATTTGACATCGGGTCGAGTGGGGATAGACCCGCCAGTGAGCCCACTTGATCGATCTGATCGAGTCCGGTCTTGCCGAGATTCGAAGGAGCTGTTGGCGTCTAGAGTCTTAGCGGCTGGAATTGCTTCGATCTGTCTAGCTGGGCTGACTTCGCAGTCTTAGAAGACAACCCTGTGAGTCTCGAGGTGATGTATACCATACAAGAGCGAAGGCAGTAACTGAACTTGAAGCCCTTACCCAAAAATGCAACTGACATGTGCGATGCCGAGCGCATCAACAGAAATTGTCCGAGCTGCATGCTGACCTGCAGGGCATGAATCATGAATCGATATTGTGGCTCTCAGGCCTGAAACAGCTCACAAAGAACCCAGCAAACAACATACGGAGTACACGAAAGCCATTCGCTCGAATGCCGACATGGCAGATATTACTCCGTGCCACATGTCCTTGACAAAGCTGCTGGTCTCCCATTCGCAGACAAGACCGACCGGAAAGAAGACCCTGTTTCATACGCGCCACTGACGCCACCCAGCGCGTACTCGGAGTTTTACCATGCAGGGCCCAGATTTACGCCATGCCACCCTGTTTCAGCTCCCTTTCCCTTCCCCAGAGTCAATGAAGGAAGGCTGCTGAATGGCCCCTGTACCCGCCAGGCCCCTGCCGTGGGGGGTATACATTTCCCGTCCAGCAAGCCACCGTCACACCGTGCCTGATTTTCAGATGCATGTCCAATCAGGATTATTGGACTGTCGGCATGCTTCGTTTGGACGTTGGCGACTCGATCGATCGTACCCCGCCCTTCTGATATATCGCGCCATCGAGTGCCTGGCCAACAGGACTCTATCTTGGCCTTGCTAACGCAAATTGCTAAGGACGACGAGCTTCCGCCGAGCTGTTTGCGCGGGATGTCCTGCTTGGCTGTCAGCCCTGTCGAGAGGGGGAAAGTTACCAGGTACCTATAGGTACTCCGTAGGAAGGGCAGGCTGGGCAGAGGTATAAAGCGTGCCTGTTCCTGGACCAGATGGCACATTCAACTCGCCTTCGTTCCTTAACAACCACCAAAAGTTAGCAAAGCAGGGCTTTCGCTCCACGTTCCTTCTATCCTCTTCTTCTCTGTCTCTCCTTAAGCTTTTTTGTCGAGTCTGCCGTGCAGACTTTAGTCTTGATTCATCCTTCATTATTCGATACAGTTTTATACACCATGGCATCCTTCACTCTCTGGAATATCACCGTCATCGTACTGGTCATTGCCATTGCGACCTTGGGCAACGCAGCGCCTGCTCCTCAACGCCGCCCTCACTGGGGCTGGAACCACGACAACGACTACGAGGACTCCAGCACCGAGACTGGAACCTGGACGCTCCCCTGGATCCAGTCACACTCTCCAACTTCCACCCCAACTGGCTACGGCAATGGCAACGGAAACGGGTATGGCAACACTCTCCCCAGCTCTTCCACTCCCACGAGTACCAGCAGCCGCGCCCCCGTTGCAACTCCCACCTCAACCTCCACCTTATCCAGCAGCGGCAGCTCCAACTCCGACATCTGGCAACCGGCCGTAGGCACCCCCTGGCAAATCATCCTCTCCTCAGCCCTAGATCCCAGCCTCACAAACGCCAACGCCAACGCCAACGCCAAATCCGCCTCCGCCTCCGCCTCCGCCTCTCCCCGCGTCTCCATCTACGACATCGACCTCTACGAAAACGACGCCGCCACAATCTCGTCCCTAAAATCCCAAGGCATCAACGTAATCTGCTACTTCTCCGCAGGCACCTACGAAGACTGGCGGCCCGACGCCTCCTCGTTCTCCTCCTCCGACCTCGGCGCCGCCCTCCCAGACTGGGCGGGCGAGAACTGGCTGGACCTGCGCTCGGCGAACGTCCGCGCCATCATGTCGTCGCGCCTCGACACGGCCAAGGAAAAAGGCTGCGACGGCGTCGACCCCGATAACGTCGACGCGTACGGCAACAATGCAGGCGGGCTCGGCCTCACGGAGGACGACTCCGTTGACTTCGTCAATTACCTTGCCGACCAGGCCCATTCGCGGGGTCTATCGATTGGGCTTAAGAACGCGGGCGCCATTATCCCGCGCGTTATTGATAATGTGGAGTTCAGCGTGAATGAGCAGTGCGCTGAGTACGATGAGTGTGATCTCTACCAGGCGTTTGTGCAGCAGGACAAGCCGGTTTTCCATATTGAGTATCCGGCTGGCGGGGAGGTGAGTACGGCGGATGTGGACAAGGCGAGTCTGTGTGCGGGCTTTGAGGGGGCGGAGGGGTTTTCGACGGTCATTAAGGATTTGGATTTGGGGGTGTGGGTGCAGGAGTGTTGAGCTGGTTTTGCCTTGTCTTTGTTATATATATGGATAGTGGTTTGGTGAATGGGTGATACGACTAGAGGAGGTAGGGGAGATATACGGTATGTCAGGCATTGCAGTTGTTAGCTAGAAAGTAGGTACAGAAATCATAGAAAAGAGCTCGCTCTGCTTGTGCTTGTATCCATAGATATTGACCGTAGTTTGACGCGACCCCCAAGCCCTACCTAGGTACTTTAGTAGCTCTAAGGTTTACGTTAGGTCTGCTCTACCTATATTCTAAACAGCCCCGATCCTTAACGGTCCTAGAACATGCCAGCCATCTGCAAAGGCCGCTACAGATGTCCAGGTGATGTAACCCTGAGTACTCTACATCAAATGCACAGATATATATCGGCAGAAGAGTTATTCGCCGAGGGACTCGGCCGAAGGAAAGTCCCCGACCGTCATGACATTCCAGCCCTTGACGCCTCATGAAAACAAGATGAAAACGAGAATAGGTCCATACGGGTGCGTCACCTACTCGGACCTACCATAGGTATTTGAGACAGGCTCGCGTTTTCCCTAGCAATATGCCATCAACCCGGCCAGCCAAACCATGATTCGTGTTCGGGGTGAAGCTTTAGTGAGACGAAGTACATTGTATTATAGTTGCACTAATACCGAAATGCTTTTCATGGCTTCAGGTACGAATACGGTACCTAGTAAGGTTAGGTTTAGGCCGTAGTTGCGGAATGCGACCATGCTGCATTAGAGCAAAACAGGTGCTTCTCAGTCTTGCAGGTGCTCCAGGGGTTCATGCACGTAAAACCCCGGATACGAAGACCATAGCTCAGTAGAACTGGCGGAACATTTCAGGTATCGAATGGGAAGTATGCATTGGTGGCACGCGGTTCGAAGGTCTGTCTGTGCAGGCGATCACAGGGGTATGGAGCGAGGCGGCTGGCTGGTTTGTATCTAAAAGATGTTTGTTGTCATTGGCTGCTTTGAATGGAAGAAGGTCAGGGTCATTGCATGGCTCAGTATGGGGCTACTGCGGACGAACCCGTCACACAGCCCTGAGAGGGTTTGTGATACCCAAGGCTGTAGTATCCTATACCAAAATACCCCGTCCACGACATGTGGCAGTCTACCTGCCAGTGATAGCACATGCACGCCAAAGAACCAGCGGGCCAAGTCACAATTGCCCCGGGTTTGTCCCGCGAGAAGTATATATCGGGATAGCTTGATCGGTTGACATGTTCCAGGGCCAGCAACAGTCTCAAACTCGGCAGTTTAGAGTATACATAGATCACGATGCTGCTCTTCCACTCAATACTCACTATCTCCCTCTGCCTCTTCAATGCCCCCTCTGCCTCAGCATGGTGCGGCATCCCTCACCCCACCGAAGCCGGTCTCGCCGCCCACCGCAGACTCCGCGCCCAGGAAGCCTCCAGCTTACTCTCCCAGCCCAACAACTCCACCCTACAACCCCGCCAGGTCGACGGCATGCAGATCCAAGTCTACTTCCACCTCGTCCGCACGTCCGAGTCCGAGAGCGCCGTGCTGGACTGGCAGGTGCGGCAGCAGGTACGCCACGTTCCCCCTCACTCGCCTAGGGTACCCAATCATACCCTCTGTTAACGAGCCAGGTGTACATCCTAAACCAGTACTTCCGCGCCACGGGCTTCAGCTTCGTCCTGGCCGGCACAGACTCCCAGATCATCCCGGACCTGCGGCCCGTCTGGGGCGGGACAGAGCAGGACCTGCAGATCAAGCAGGTCCGCGTCGGGGACATGCAGACGCTGAACTTTTACGTCGTGCCGGCGATAATTGACAGTTTTGCGGGATATGCGTGTGTCCTTCTGCCCACTTCCCTTTCGCGGAATATGTGCTGACAAGATCACTTCGATTGCCGGTAGGACGTTCCCTTGGTGGTCGGTTGAAAACCCGCAGGCCGACGGGGTCGTCATGCAACGCGACTATATCCCCGGCGGGCGGAACATCGGGTATAACACGGGGAAGATTGGGGTTCATGAGGTCGGACACTGGTTGGGGCTGCTGCATACGTTCCAGGGCGGGTGTGATGGGGGCGATATGATCGATGATACGCCTGCGGAGGCGAGTCCGACGTATGGGTGTCCGTTTGTACGTCCCAGCTGTTCTATTATCCACTGAGCTTGCTTGGGAGGGAACTAGGCGATCTGGCTAACTGGTCGTCTTGTCTCGTCAGAGCCGTGATAGTTGTCCCCAGCCTGGCACGGATCCAATCCATAACCTCATGGACTATACGAATGATGGGTGTCGATGGCAGTTCACCGCTGGCCAGGTGCAGCGCATGTATGGCATGTATACGCAGTACAGGGTTCCGCCTGTGGGTGGCGGGGAGACTGGCGAGCCGGTTCCTGGGGAGCCTAATGAGCCGCAGCCGGGGGAGCCGGGGGGTTTCTGACGATGCGCTTGGTGTCTATGGATGAAGGGCTTGGGATGCAACCTGGATGCGAGTCAGGCCTTGTCATTTTGCTCGTCATTGATTGTTGACAATCTTGTCCATATATAGCTCCGACATACTGGTACCTAGGGTTGTGTCTGATTAGAGAGCCCTCTCACTGGTAGCTGGGAGATCAACTCTTGGGTAGTGTAGTACGCGACTGCAGCCATAATAGCTAGAACTATCACAGAACTCGTTGGGAACAGAAAGAAGAAAGAGAGAGAGAGAGAGAAATGACCCGTGGAGGAGAAACATGGTCATGGGGAACCTCGCAGTCCTTACTCCTGTGCGTCCAAGCCATACTCAATCACGATACTCTACCTATTCCCACGAAGACTTCTCAGCATTGCATCTCCCCACTCCGCAGAAAAGGGCACACCCCCGATACCATGTTGCCTGGCGTATTCCATCCTACCCGCCGGGCTATAATCCATGCCAGCTGACTTCATGAAGTCAAGATGGGAAAGGGGATCTAGAAAGGTTAGCATCCAGCAGCGACCCTGCGTTAAAACAGATAGAAAGGAAATGTATGAGAAGGGAACTAACCTCCACCTCCGCTGAACGGATCACCGTGATTGAAGCGAGGGCCCTTCCTACTCCCTCCACCCCGTCCATCTCCACCTCCAACACCAACGTTGACCTCGACGTTGCGGAAAAACCACGCAGCCCCGTCGAGAAAAACCTGCCAGCCAGATCTGGGCTCAGACTGGGAGCCAGTCTTCTTCGGAGGGGAGTCAACCCCAGTCGACCCTGCTGCCGCAGGTGCAGGTGCATCCGCATCCGTAGTTTTGCCAGACTGCGACGACGACGACGACGACGGGGCAGGCAACCCGAGCAGTCTCCCCGCATCCGTATCGTGAATTGGCACATCACCATCCAGCTCCCTCTCAATCTTCGCAACGCCGGTCCCAGCCATAGACGCCCCATAATTCCGCACAACCATGTCCCTCGCCCCCCGCGCAATCCGCCCACGGTCCATAAACCAATCGATGACAGCCCCCGTATCCTCACCGGCATCATACGCCCGACCATGCTGGTACGTCTTGAGCTCCTGCGCCCCAAACTGGAGCCCTCCTCCCACTTCCCCCGCAGGCTCCGAAGACGCCGGCTACAAGCCACCGCCTGACCGGGCGTCGCGGTCCAGAATGTCGTTACAAGCGTGACGCGCGGGATATACGCGGCGCCGCTCAGCGCGCGGACGAACTGGAGGAGCTTGCGGTCGGAATTGTCGAATCGCTCTTGCGCAATGCTGGTTAGGTAGAGGATTCCCGGGATGCGGGCGAAGGGGCGGATGGATGGATGTCAGGGCGCGCGCGATCTCGGTGAATGTGGCTTGTTCGGCGCCTGGGTCGAAGCCTGGTGTGTCCATTATGAAGTATGGGTGGTTGTTGATGGTGGCTTTGCAGAGGGCTGTGGCTTTTGTGACTGTGTTTGACATGGATGGGTCAGTATCCATTGCCTGCGGATATCCATGGATGGATGTTGAGGGACGGCGACGGTGACTGTGACTGTGGGTGCTGGATGCTCTAGGTAGGCGGGATATAGAAGCAGATGAACGTACCAGAGTCAGCGTTCTGTTCGGAGTAGCCGCTGAGCCCGGATAGGTCCTCTAGAAGAGATGATTTCCCGGCGCCGGTGCGTCCGAGGATGAGGAGGACGCTGGAAGGGGTCTTGGCTTTTCTGCTCGCGGCCGGTTAGGACTGCATACCATACCATAGCACTGGGAACGGGCAGGGCGCTGACTTGAATTGCGCCTCGAGCTCTGCGAGGCAGTCTTCGGTTCGTTTGGCTGTGGACGCCATACGTGGTCTGATGCCCGGTGTAGAGGGTTATGTGGAAATGGGAAGGGGAGGAAAGAAGGTTGATACTAGAGGCCGTAGCAGAGAATTGCTCGGAATTGAAAGGCTTTATATAGAGGGTGACCTTGCCCATAGGTTCACAATTAGCACAGCCTCCAAAGGTCCTTGTCAAGCTCACGGTGGGTTACAAGGCCCGGCGGCAAGGAGGTGCATGATGGAGGGTGACCCCTAGACCGCGCACAGCCAATAGTTCTTTTGAGGAAGGCGATGTTAGACTCATGACTTGGAGGTCATGATTCTCGATATTTGTAGGCTATTCTCAGCGCCTTGCTGGAGGCTATGGTAGGTATATTTCGATATGGCGTCCCGAGGCTACCCAGGGGCAAAAAGGGATATGCTAGCATGACCTTTGAAACGTAGTAAACCATAAGGTTCTGCCTTTTGACAGGTTAACCTACTCCGGTATGGAAACACATGATTATAATGGGACGTGGCTCTCTGGCGTACGGCGCAGATGCTGAGCCGCCGCCGATACATCCAAGATTTGAGAATGAAGAAACTTGCTCCAGTTAAGCCTACAGCCAATTAATAGGATGGTACCGAAAACGTCTCCAATCTTGTAGGGTTGTGTGCAGCCCAGGCGTATCCCACCTAGATGTTATGCTCTTTATGACAAGTCCCATGGTAAGTAGGACTTTTGTTTACGATCTACAGGTCAAGAGAAAGAGACCTTTTCTTTGGGAGAGAAGCCCGCCTACGGAGACATAATTACAGATCGAAATCTCTGTGATATATCTGTACAGCTTCCTGGCACGGAGTACGACCTTTCGTCCAGTGAACAGCCCCCGAAGTCCTGCGTACGCGGCTATCTACACCCTCCACCTGGCTCTGTCTATCCCAGCTCGTCTTCTCTGGAATGAGCTTCTCAGCGGCAGTTTGATCAAAGGCCCGAATATGTTCTTCATCGATTGCTTATTCCTTCGTGTACCCATCGCGGAGCTGAGATACTCACCCAGGTCCACGGGTAGTAAACATGGGTTAACTCATCAACGTTGGGGACTTGCTCTGCATCTGCCCCTTGACATCCTCGAGGCTTGCTCAGAGGTCATTCCGGAGTAAAGCTTCAGTCGGAAGGAAGTCCGCTATCCCGTCGTCCCATGCTTGCCATCATTGATCACCCCGGTCGTTGCTGCCTCACTACGGCGTCTTTCCGGGCTCCGCGGCCTGTCAAGATGCTTCAAGAGTACCCCGAGACGGCGGTCGAGGCTGAATACCCTCCAGGGCTGCAGAGTGTGCAACCTGGCTTGCAAGTCCGATAGGGTCACTGTTCCAATCCTGTCCAGAGCGTCGCACAGCAACCCAGGGGAGCCAATGATCAGGTATTCTTCCCCTTGCAGGATCAATGTGCCTTCCTTTTGGAGTGATGATTGTCGATACATGTTGGTGGGCGAAGACTCAAAAATGCAGAGGATCCCACTGTTCTTCTTTTTTTCTCTGTTCGGCTTCAGCCCAGCCACCGGAGTAGTTTTGGGTCAAGCTGATACTCCTTTTTACATGCTCCATCTTCTGCGCCGTTTTTAATGAATAGCAGGGGTCATCGTCCAATCCACTGCGCCTTTTAGTCCATTGTTCCTTTAGCCGTTCCCCTGGACCTTCGACCAAGTTGTCATGATGGTAGCTGCCACGCAGATCGAGGCTCTCACACCCCTCGACCTCTCCCTAGTCGGCGGTTACATCCCAGTGATCTACACGTTCAAGTCCAGCGAGAACACATCAGCGATTATACCATTCCTCCAAAGTGGCCTCGACAAGCTCATCGTCCAGCTCCCCTGGCTAACCGGCCACGTCGTGGAAACAACAACCGACGGCCTCCACATCCAATACGACACATTCAAGCCGATCTCCATTATAGACAAAGGCACAATTGACGCCTCCTACAATGTCCACGCCGCGCAGGGCATGCCTCCAGAAGCTATCCCAATGACCGTGTTTCCAATGCTCCCAAGAACCAGCAATGTGTCCGTGGAAAAGGGGATGAGCTCGGGAGAGGCCGTCTTTTCTGCAAGCGTGTTTCGGTTTGGAGATGAGTGCGGGATAGGGCTGTGCGAGGTGATGCGTTTGTGGACCGATCACATCACCGCCGCCGTGGTACCATCCGGATCGACTGCCGATGCTTCGTTCAACCCAAGACCGAGACTCCCTCGCCTGACGGAAGCCATGGACACAGAGCTGGCTGCTGTGGAGGCTAGCGGCGCATCGACAGACGACCTCTTCGCCCTACATCCTGAGTTCTCGCGCGCCCCCGTCCTGAACCCGGCCCAGGTCCCCAACTGCACGCCGAAGATCTTCACGATCCCATTGTCGCGGATCGAAGTAATCAAGCGCCACATCGAGCTCTCCCTGCGCTCGATGGGCGTAGCAGTGACCACGAACATGGTCGTCACGGCCATCCTCTGGGCAGCCGTCACGCGAGCACGCATGCAGCGCGATCCCAGTCTGGCCGGAGAGCAGACGCGCCTTGTGACGCCCGTCAATGTCCGCTCGCGCATAGGTCCGACCTTCTCCAGCCGGGCGGACCCGTACTTTGGGAACGTCGTTGTGCGCGCCACGGCAAACGTTCCGGCTGAACGGCTGGGGTTGGGATTGACCTCGAGTAGCAGCTCTACGTCTGGGTCTGCATCTTCATCTGCATCTGCACCTTCATCCCTTGTCAGTATCTGCCGCTCCATCGCGAACGCACAGTCCCTCACCAGCATAAACGCACGCTTCATCGCCGAGTGCTATACCCTCGCCGACCGGGCCGATTTCCTGTCCATCTACTCCGGGTCCTTCGAGTTTCTTCGTCAACAGCTGGGCAGATCTCGACGTATACGGGATGGACTTTGGAGGGGGGCTTGGACGTCCTAGCTTCTGCCGAATCCCGGGGCGTATACCGAGGTTGATGGGGTGGGATTCATATTGCCCAGGAGAAGAGGAGAAGCCGATGAGAAGCTGGAGGTTGTTGTTATGCTGAGACGGGAGGATATGGCTGTCATTGAGAAGGATTTACATTGGAAGGGGCTTGCTTTGTGAGTGTCGTGGGCATAGAGCATGTTAGGTAGAGTACAGTCAAATGGCATGCCTCGAAGCTCTAGCTTCAGTGTCACACCCGGTACGTAGCTAGTATCACCGGCCTCATTTCCATTATATCTATCCGGCCTGAAGCTTATACATATACTCAACAGTCATGGGGCTTGAGCCAGGGCTAGGTTCGATTCGAATGCATCGCTAATCTTCTACTTCTACCCATGGTAGTGGCACCTGAGACGCGGCACGTCTCGGCATGAGTTGCGTCCACGTAGCATCTGGGGGCCCACCAACTGTGAGCCACACGCAGAGTGACGGCGGTGATAACATGATGCCTACATGCCTACATTGGGACCTACCCTGTACCTACCTACCTATTCCTGCGGAAGCACGGCGCGACGCAACGCCGACGCACTTCTCAACAACTTGCAGTGGTTAGCGTACTAATGTAACGCGTGACTTCGTCCAGTGATGGAGCTCGTCGTGCCCTCCACGCAAGTCTATTCATGTTCCTTGCTTTCCAGCAGCTATCAGTCGGGGGTTACATCATAGCATACCATAAAAACTTGAGAAAGATCCAACGGGGCGGAAAAAGGCGGGAATTGACCAACCAAAAGCTACAAGCTGTCTTCCAGACATACCCTACCTACTACTTGGGCGTTGAAAACGCTAGATAGATGACGCTTGACGAGTAAGGCGAGCTCTCCAGCTGCCCAGAGGTCAAGGCTGGCGGACGGTCCCACTAGGTACCGTCGGCATGGTACAGGTGGACGGATTAGGATAAAATTACCACAGAAGGAAAGACAAAGTCATGGCTCACGAGCCTATCATACCATAGGTATGCTCCTTACCTCTCTTCGCTACCATGGCACAGATTCTCCGTTCCTCAACCCCGTCCGTCCCATACCCTAATCCCGAAAAACACACTCCCCGAGCTCGGATCTTCATCCCCATAGCCCCCGCCAGAGACTCTAGCCAACAGGCGATTGTCTGAGATCCAATAGCCATTCTTCCCGTCTCTGACGCCCAAAACCTGCTTCCTTGGTTGCGAGGCAAAGAGCCCTCTAGGGCACCTACGTATACCCCGCAGTCTATCCTAGCCCCATGTCGAAATCAGCGAGAGATGTTGGGGCTAGACGAGACCCTCCACTTCAGCCCAAGATCCCACCAGTGAATGTGAGGCCGTTGGCTCCGGAGCTGAGCTGCAGGCGGCCGAGTACGCCTGGCAGCTAGGTGCTGTGGCCTGTCTGCAGGCTAGGAATTGGGCCGCAACCAGGGCTCAAGCTTTGTGGTCCTTGGAAGGATGTGGTGGGTGTTATTGGATGACAGTCGTCTCTCCGGCCGCTGGGTAGGATGATGGGACGGCTGGGGAGGGATGGAATGCCGGCCGCGTGCAGATCGCCTGCCCTGGTGGGTGGGCAGGTGTAGGCCCCGGGTCCGCTGGGAAGGGAACCTGGTCACCTGCAAAGTCGCGTACCATGCCATACCGAGAGGGACTAGGATGGGGAGATGGCAGAAACGGTTTCTACCCCAAGGTACTCCGTAGTGGGATCCGTATTGCTCGCAATGCATTGGATCCCTGGCCGAGCTGTCGGGGTAATGGCCCTGGCATGCCGTCCTAGTACTGAGGACTCCGGATCTCCTCGCAGCCGGAAGATAAATCCGAGGATCCAGCTGGAGGCTGTGTGACCTGGCCTGTGCGACCATACTGACAGCAGGGAGTCAAAAGTACGGGGCTCACACCCCAGGCAGCGCTAACGGTTACCACGGTGTTGCCTCTCTGCCATCTGCAGAGGCATCGAGGTACCACACAGCGCCACAAGCTTCAAGTCCACGTGTGCTGCCCGATACTCCGGACCAGCTGCTGAGTTGCACAAGACATTGGCCACGGTGTGATGGACCGGGAATGATCTGCATCCGCGAAGCTTGGATCTGGGTCCGTGAGAGGGCAGACAGAGTCAGACGTACTTGCGCCCTGCCCGCACTGGCGGCTGCCCAGCATGTCCCATACCGAGTTCCTTCTGCTCCTCTGCTGCGGAACTGGAATCCCGGGATCTCAGCCCTGGAGAAGGTACGAGGGTGTTGACGCGGACTCAGGCTTGATTATACATGTAGGCATGGCAGGCTGCCCTGATAATCTCGATCTAGCCCTACTTAGGGCTGCAGCGAGTCAGTGCATGTCTCTCCTCGCGTCAAGTTACCCAGCAAGGGGCGATGAGATCGGATGTTCCAAGCTCGCGTCTGGATTGAAGATCGACAAGGGCACCATGACGGGCCTCGATAACGGCGCCGTACAAGCCCGATCACAATTCGATGGGACTCGAGCTGGAGCTTCCAGTCGATCTGCAGGTAAGCAGCCGCAGGTAAGTAGCCGCAGGCCCTGGCTTCCGTTCGTGTTCAGCGGGTCTTGATTCGCCGAGCAGCGCTGCACAGGCGTACAGCATGGCCAACTCGTATCCAATGGCCGCATGGCCGGGTCTGGATCCGGGCTGGCTGAAGCCTGAAATCCATCGAGGCCTCGACGTCGCCTAGCTTTGGACCTTGCGAGGGCCTCGGGCGAACCTACCTAAGCTAGAGCACAACGCGTCCCTCGGAGTGGTAGGAACCTTACTATGGCAGGCTGCCTTGACGTCCCGGCTGGCCGGTGTTCACTGGACCCTGTGTGTGCATGGAGATAGACAAAGCATTGAACGAAATGAGTAAACACAGCATGAGCTCGAGTAGATGCCCCGCCAAAGGGCATTCCCAGCTCGTACTACTCCATAGCTACTTGAGTAGCACAAGGATCCCTCTGCAGGTTGGCGAGCATCTCCGAGCCGGAGGGGAATTGGAGGACCCCTCACCGTCCGAGAGATCACTGGGCCACGTAACATACCTGCAGTGGTCCTTCTGTACAGGATCCATCTCAACCGACCAGTCACCAGCCGAGCCAGGGAGACGGGTTTGGGCATGGATGGTGAGATGAATTCAGCTCAGCTCGCGGTCTGTCCATCATACATTGGAAGCTGCAGATGGACCAGCATGGTCTGAGCGGATTACAGCTAGCAATCCCACCATGGCATCCGTTTATCTGGCGTTGTCTTTGAGATCTTCGCTTGCAGTCTCAGACTACCAAGATGTCCTACGTAGGTGTAGCTGGGGGCAGTGCAAGTATCCATCATATACTTAACAGAAAGCACAAGCTGTAGAATCGTGACAGGCCCAAAGACCAAAGACCATGTTGAACTAGCCAATCTCATACACAGCCACCCGCAGTGTTGAACCACATCCCCCCACCCCCGCCCATCCATCCATACATGTACGTAACAGCAGCCTCCCCTAACTACGAGCTCTCAATTCCAAATCAAACGAGCGAATCGGCGGAAGAAGCGGGTCGATATCGATATCGACTGCTGCCGGCGGCGCCGCACCCCCAGCAAGCCGGATCTCGTATCGGAGGATGATCTCGCCCAGGATCGTCTTCATCACGTTGATCGCATAGAACCGCCCGGGACACGACTGCCGCCCGTATCCGAATCTGTGGCCTGGTTAGCTACCTGTACACTTGACATTGAAACGTCGATGCCCGTGGGGTTGGTAGGGTTGCTCACTGGAGCCAGCCTGCGCGGAGATCCCCTGTAGATGACTGGTCAGCCAGAAGCAAATAAGGTAGGTTCATGAGGGCTGGTCTGGCGTACGGTGGGTTGAACGCAGATCACCGCTTGCATTCTCCTCCTTTGCCTTGGCGATCTTGTAGAACCGGAAGGCGTCGAAAGTCTCAGGCTCAGGGAAGATCTCTGCGTCGTGCAGGATGCTGCGCGTGGGGAACGCAAGCAGCGCGTTCCTGGGGAGGACGATGTCCCTGTCGAGGCGGAAGTTGTCGGCCGTTACGACGCGCAGCCCTGTCACTGTGACGCCTTGTTAACACGGACTTCCCATGCAGGTCTTGTGGAAAAGATGCCCTAATGTCGGCGGACGTACTCGCCATCACCCCCGCAGTGACCCTCAGCGCCTCCTGGATGAACGATTCCAGCCTGCGCATCCTGCCCGTCGCCTTGACCGTCCAGCCGTCGTTCTCCTCCCCCAGACACTGCACAATCTCCCCCCGGATCTCCGCATGGCACTCCGGATGCGCGGCAAGCTGAACAAGCAGCTTGACCAGTACACTCGCCAGCGTCTCAATCGACCCCGCCGCAACAGCAACAAGACGACGCGCAATGTCTTCGCCCTTCTTATCCTCCTCCGGCACATCCTGGTCCATCGCCCACTGCACGCAATCAAACGGTTTCTCGTCGTCGGCGAGCCCAGACGCCTGGCGGCGCTTGCGCTCGGCGATCTCGTCGTTCAGCGGCGTCACGACGGCCGGGAGGGACCGGCGGTGCCGCCAGTGGATCAGGTAGAGGATGGTGTTTTTCAGCGGGCCGAACGAGATGAAGCGCAGCGTGAAGGCGTAGGCGAGGATGTTGGCGACGTAGCGCGAGACGCCGGCGACGAAGCCCGCGTTGTTGGATAGGGTTTCGCCGTAGAGGATGCGGGCGCCGGGGCCCTGTGCTGTTTTCAGCGCGAGCTCGAATGCGTTGATCTTTTTCCAGTGCGGCGGGCGCCCGATGCTGCGGTCTAGGGCTTTGGCGGTTGCGCCGTGCACGATTGGTTTGATTGTTGCTGGACCGGTGATGGAACTGTTAGACTGCGCAGCGGGAGGAATCCTTGCCACGTACCTAGGTTACTGTTCATGAGCTTGGACACCACTTGGACGATGAGGTTGTTGATTTCCCCGGTGGGAAGGCCCACGTAGAAATACTGCTGCTTGTCAGGACCGTGTTTGGCAGGTCTATCACTGCTGTGCAGACTCACTGTATTGACAACCGCTGTAAAGCTGACCTCCGTCGGCGGCGCGTTCTTGATCCGCTCCAGGTATTTCTCTGGCAGGATATACGCGTAGTCTTGGAAGCCGGAGAGCCAGATCCGGAACGGCTGGCCATTCTTGCAGTACTGCCTCTGTGTCAGTGGTTCAGGTGTGCTGAGCTGGGAATGGATAATTACCTTGTAGTATCCTTCTTCGAGGTACGGAACGAGCCGGGGGAGGAAGATCCTCCACCAGACGCCGGATCGGTACGCATCTAGCAGTCGTGGCCTCGTCACCGTTGGGATCTCTGTGACTTTGTGGGCGTCTCTGGCTGCAGAACTGGAAATGTTGAAGTACAGGGCCCAGGGGATGATGGTGAAAAGTGCCACCGCGAGGAGTGGCATATGCCTGCCGTCGAGGAACGGGGATAGCAGCTCTGGGCGGAAGCATGGTCGTTAGCTCAATCAGACGCTGAAAGGAGAGAGTGAGAAGAATACCAGGGCATAGAGTGCTGGTCAGGTTGCAGCTCATTGTGGTGATTTACGGCGTCGTCAACGGATAGTCAGGTTCCAAATGCCTGGGAGCCTGGATGCCATGGTCGAAATGATATGAATCCCGCTGTATATTCATCGTCTGCCAGGCATTGTCAGACAGAATGCCACAGCACCTCGGGTATTGCGACCAATTTAGAACGCCACCATGGTTCGATTGGAAATCACACCAACAGCGCACCGACCCCGCTGTCAGATATGGATACCTGGTAATGAACTCTACGAGCAGGGATGCCCTGGACGGGAAGCTGAGATGGCCCACAGAGCTACAGTGAGGGCCATCCGAGGCTCAGAAGCCTGGTTTAGAAGCTACTCCCCCAGCATCATGATATAAATACCGCAGACACCAAGGTTACTCTGCCTGGCGATCCCAATCTCCACTAGCATTCTATTCAGTCTATCCCAAGTCAACCAACACCGACAATGGACACGATCAACGATGTCATGAAGCACTGCGTGCCGATCAACTACGCCGACTACGACCCTCTCCCAGCCGACCACTTCTGCACCTACCCCGTCTTCTGCTCCAAGGCCACAGCCGAAGCCATCGAAGCGAGCGCAACATTCACCGCAAACTGGAAGCGCGCCTGCAAGCTCGACGGCCTGCACCAGGACAAGCTCGACTTCCAGGCCTGCACCACGCACCTAGGCCACTACAACCAATGGGCGTACCCAGACTGTCTGCCCGAGCGAGTCTCGCTGAACGCCGTGCTCAGCGACTGCGCGTTCTTCTGGGATGGTATGTCTCCGCCATAAGTCTACGTGGGTGATGCTAAGCAGTCCTAGATGTCAGCGACAGCATCAGCGCCGAGAAGATGGACGAGCTCACGCAGGACTTTGGCATCGCGATGCTGAGCGAGCTGCAGTCGGGCCGGCGCATCGAGCCCACGTTCGAGATCAACCGGATCGCCGTGCAGGTCGCGCGCGATCTCATTGCCGTCGACCCCTTCACGGGCATCGGGCATCTGAAGGGGTGGAAGGGCCACCTTGATGCGCAGGAGAGGAGCACGCACAACAATATGTCGTGGGAGCAGTATGTTGAGCATCGGGTCAACGAGTCTGGGGGGAAGTAAGTCGCCGCCGGTTTACATGCTGATCCATGGTACATGGCTGACTTGTGACTCGCACCGCAGCTGGGGCATTTCGTTTGGATGCTGGACGAACGACATCCGCATTAGCGACGAGGAGAAGGAGTCGGTTCGGTATCTTACGCAGCTGGCGTGTGCGGGTGGGATCCTGGGGAATGACTACTATAGCTTTCCCAAGGAGTTTGATGAGCATCATCGGTCTGGGACGCTGGACCGGCTCCAGAATGGGGTTGCGTTGTTCATGCGGGAGTATGGGTACACCGAGGAGGAGGCGAAGGAGATCATCAAGGCGGAGGTGATCCGCAGGGAGAAGGAGTGGATGGATGGGTTTGATGCCTGGAGCCGCCAGGCGGGCCCCGAGTCTGGCGAAGTCCGCAGGTATCTTGTCATGACGATGGCGTTGATGTCCGGGAGCATGTTCTGGATGGCCCATGCCGGTCGCTACCACCGGACAGATCTCGCTACCACCGCCGAGGACCGCGCAACGATTATTGGGAAGGCCCACGGTGCTCTGCGAGTGCTGGAGGGGTATCCTCTGCCGAAGGGTATGGAGGGCATCGTGCGTGAGCCACGAGCAATCACCAACGCTAATGGACACGAGGTGCAGGCTCAGGCTCCGGCCCTAACAACCCAGAACGGTAACGGGCATGCCCAGGATGAGCATCATTTCAAAGAAAGGAGCAATGGAAGCAATGGGAATGGTAGTGTAAGCAATGGAGTCTATGTTCAGCCATTCAAGGCGCACGGCACCTGCACCAACTGCATGGCTGCCTATACGGCTCCGTTCCAAGAAGCTCCCGGCGAGGCAAGCCCCCTAATCTCCTCAAGGCGTACTGGACTGACATACGCAGATCTGCAACGCCCCATACGACTACATCGACTCGCTCCCATCCCAGAAGAACCGCAACAAGCTGCTCGACGCCCTCAACGACTGGCTGCAGGTCCCCTCCAGCTCCCTCGAGCGCATCAAGAACATCGTCCACATGCTGCACAACTCGTCTCTGATGTGAGTACTTTGCTAGCCGAGCGTCACCCGCTGACCTTTCAGGCTCGACGACATTGAAGACGCCTCGGCCCTCCGACGCGGCCAGCCCGTCACGCACGCCTTCTACGGCATCAGCCAGACCATCAACAGCGCCAACTACATCTACGTCAGTACAGTCCATGAAGTGACACAGCTCTACAATCCCAAGTGCTTGGACATTTTCATCGGTACATCACTCCTTACTCTACCTGCTATCCATGCTAACGTGCAACAGACGAACTCCGCAACCTCCACCGCGGCCAGAGCCTCGATCTGTACTGGCGGCACCACGCCCGCTGCCCAACAACAGAAGAGTACATCGTGATGGTCGACAACAAGACCGGCAGCCTCTTCCGGCTGATGCTGCGCCTCATGACCGCCGAATCACCAATCAGCCGGCCTCTAGACACGGCGCTTTCCCGACTCCTAACCCTAACCGGGCGGTACTACCAGATCAGGGACGACTATCTGAACCTGACGTCTGCAGACGTGAGTCTCCAGTCTCCAGTTTCTGCCTGGCCTCGCCACGTTTTCTTTTCGGTAGCTGGGGCTGCTAACCCACCCAACGCAGTACGAATCGAAAAAAGGCTTCTGCGAAGACTTCGACGAGGGCAAGTTCTCGCTTCCCCTGATCCACCTGCTCACCCACACCCGGCACCCCGACCGCATCACCTCCGCCCTCTTCAACCGGGTGCCCGGGACAGCTCTCCCGCGCGAGGTGAAGCGGCATATCCTGGCGGCGATGGAGGAGGCCCGGACGCTGGACTACACGCGGGACGTGCTGAAGTATCTGCATGAGGAGCTCATGGCGGCGCTGGATGAGACGGAGGATAGGCTGGGTGTTAATAATGGGGTGAGGATGATGCTTTTGGGGTTGGGACTTAGTCTTTCGTTGCGTTGAGGGTATGTGGGGATGCAGTGCTATGGTACTAGGGTGGCTGTGTAAAGGTTCAGTCTATGATAGGTAGGTATGATGTCTGCTTCACGATTTCGGATGTCTTCACGTGTTTCATTGTGCTCTGTGGATTTGCGTATAGGCTTGTGTTGGTCATTTTGCTGTTTATGTTGTGTGTTCTGGACATTCTTTTGCTTGTTCTATCCACTTGGTTCAGTTCACACTCTGATCAGAAACCAGCATGATAGCCGAGTAGGTGTTCAACGGACTACGGGCATTCACTCTACTGGTAGCACAACCTCCTTCGATACACCCCAGTATGACACTGTAGGTGCCGGCATCCCTCCCCTTCGGCTTGAATGGATAAGTTCAGTCCAGCCAGTGATCTCAAGCGCACCATCCCCCCCTATCTACACAACCAGTTCCCGATAGACAGCCTCAACCCTCAACAAGAACCCTCCCTTCAACATTAACCAGCCTCACCTTCCCCTTAAGCATCGATACAACCCTGACAGAATCCACAACCCCCCTCCCATCCCAGCTAAAATCGACCTTCCCACCCCCCCGCAGCCTCAACCCCCGAACCCTCCCACGCCCCCAAGCACCCGGAATCGCCGGCCCCAGCACGACCGTCCTCGCCTCAGTCTCACCAGCAGCCAAAGGCAAGTCCACAACCAACATCCCCAGCACCGCCCCCGCAAGCCCGAAATTCGCATCGATCTGGAACGGCAGATTCGTCGCCCAGTACATGCTCAGCCCGTTCCCCACGAAGTTTTCACTAATCGCATACCGCAGCTCAGCGTAGGCCATGGTGCTATCGTTCAGACGCGCCCAGCACGCCGCCCGCCACACCTTGGCCCAGCCCGCGTTTGCGTCTTGCGCGTTGCCCAGCCCGCGCGCGATCAGCGTTTCCCGGACGGCGTTTTGGATCGTGACGTTGTTGTACCCGCTTGCAAAGGAGGAGATGGAGTAGCCTGGATACCACCCTACCAAATGCGAGAGATGGCGATGCGTGCTTTTGACATCGTACCCATAACGCTCGGGCAATTTCCACTCCTTGAGCCCGCCCCACGACGCAAAATGCAGGCCTGTGTCTAGCCTCTCCAAAGCCGCGGCGATATCCGCGACGAACTGGACATCGGTCTCGTGCACGAACTCCTGCGCCGCAAGCACGGACTCGAAAACCTGGACGATCAGCTGCTGGTAGTGCGCGCACCCGAACGTCGTCGGCCCGGTCTCGGGGCTATTGCACGGATTCACGACCAGCGAGCCGTCGTTGTAGAACTCGTCGTCTACGAGGCTTGAGGCCCAGAATGCCGCGACGCCTTTGAGGAGCGCGTACCCCTGGCCCTGGAGCCAGGCTTCGTCGCGCGTGTAGTCGAACGCGTCCCACACGTGCTGCATCATCCAGGCTGCGGCGGCGGGGTCTGCCCACGTCCAGTCCTGTTGTCAGATGCTATTAACGTGGAGAGAGCGGTGGTGGAGCTTACAGTTCGCCCAGCCTGCATCCCCCTTCATCGCCGTGAACCCGAATGTGTTCATCTCGTTGTGCACGACCCACCCGCTTGCGTTGTACAGGAGGCGCGCCGTCTCCGTGCCTCTCGGAATCCAGGTATCCTCCATGTAGTTCCAGAGCGCGTGCTGTGTCTCTGCCAGGCCGGTCTGGTCTGCGAGCCAGTAGTTCATCTGCAGGTTGATGTTGGCGTGGTAGTCGGCGCTCCATGCGGCGGTCAGTGACTCGGTCCAGCGGCCTTGCAGGTTTGCTGGGAGAGAGTTCGGCCGACTAGAGCTGGTTAAGAGGTGGCGGGCGTAGTCGAAGAGGAGGGATTCTAGATAGGGGTCTCCGGTCCCTGAGTCGTAGGAGTAGGATTCGAGTAAAGAGGCCGTGTCTTTGCCGCTTGACCCTAGAATATCTGGGAGGTCGAGGGTGAACTCTCCCATCAGAGACTGGTAGTCTTTGATATGGCGATTAAGAAGGGCTCTGTAGCCTCTTGAGCTGGCTCCGGAGGAGATCCTATCAACAACGGGCTCAGGGTCTTCTCCCTTGAACGACCAATTATTTGCCGCATTTCCTGCCTTCTGGTCGTAGTTTGTTTCCGCGCTGATGACTATAGTGACCTCCTTCTTCCTGGAGGATACTTGCAGCCTACTCTCTTGCAGACATGAAGTGGTTGTGGATTTGACATCTAGCACCTCCGCAATCGCGGTATACTTCATCCCTTCAGGCGGGCCCGCTTGCGTGACACCGGAATGCCGTAGAACGGCCCTGTCTTTGTTGGTTTTGCAGGAGGTCCGCAGGAGAGTCTGATCGACAAGAACATTCTCGAAGTTGACGGTGACAACTGGTAAGTTCGCATCCGATTGCAGATGATAGACGCAGACTTGGTCGGGGTAGGAGCAGAAGATGAAAGACTCAATCTCGGCTGACCCATTCCCGACTCTATACTTAGTCCGGTGAACACCATCCGACAGATCAAGTGTTCTCTCATATCTGGTGTATGATTCCGCTGCGTCGAAGGAGATGGTTATATTCCCCAGCACGCGATTAGAGCCGTAGTGGTCCCCGCTGCCTAGTAGCTCTTGCATCTCTGTGAAGCATGTTTAGTGTTGTAGGTATCAAAAGTGCAATGGCTGGCTTTTGGCTCACCACCTGTTCCATTCTGAAAGATCTTCTCTCGGATTCCAGGGAGAGCGTCGTATAGAGGCGAGGGCGGATTGCCGCCGGTGTAGTTCTGCTCCGCATATAAATCGGTATGCTGGCATAGAAAGAACTGGAAAGCAAGTTGCTACAGACCTCGACCTCGAAAGGACCACCCGACCACAGAGAGTCGACATTCAGGTTGATTTTCTCAGCACCTGGAGGTCCGAACGGGATTGCTGGACACGGCTCAGTATATGCTTCAGGAGGCGAAGTATGGAGAATACCATACCTCCGAGCTTCCCATTCCCAATGAGATACCCCGTCTGCAGAATGGAGTCGCTGCCATCTGCTGCAGTTCCATGAGTTGCTGGACAGGATGATCTTAGCGCCTTGCCATTGACAACTGCCGCCCCGAGAGTGGCTGTTATGGCGCCCAGAAAAAGGTTGGGCACTCTCATGTTCAGTACAGAAGGCTCGTGGATAAATGTCTCCAGCATCTCGGTAAGAATTCGCTGGATATGGCGTATTCTTGTACCTGGATTGCCTCTTCCCCCTCCTGCCAAGTGGCTAACCGCCGTCATCATGCAGGCATTCCCTGAATCCCCCACTCTGCAAAACAAATTGGGGCGGCCAAAGAGCGATCGGCTATTTCCACCGGTTGAATTGTCCCTTTTACCCGCGAGCCAGGGTCAAAAATTTGCATGTTGAGTCAAGTGGGGACGAGCTTGCTGTCTGTGGCCGTCCAAGCCATAACCCGCGCCCGGGACATACAAATTGGCATGGATGTGCAGCACTCCCCAGGCCCCTTATCCCCGAGATCAGTCTGAGGGAAATGTAGATGAGAATGATAATGAGGAGCAGGAAAACGCTATGGCCTGCTAAGCTAGCTCCTATTCAAAATCAAACCCCTCCGCGAATCTACCGTCTCCAGTCGCACTTCAAGCCCCTTTGCAGTCTGCTCCATCGAGCTCGCTGTAGCAAAGTAATCATCGCCAACAGTCTCTGGCATGCTATCCAAGCCGTGGAACAGGACAGCCAAAACAGAGGATTTCCACAAACGAAGTCTCTGGCGCTTGTTGATGAGGATGGTGATAACCAGAAAGCATGCGCCAAGGACAACCAGAGCCACGGGGAAAACGGTCCAGATCCACTCGACGCAAACATAGACTCGGTAGGAGTAGACGGTGCCGTAGTTTGTTGTGCTGGCATTGTTGGCCAGGAGAGCTGCTCTGGTGAACGAGGCCGCGATATTGTGCATCACCGGTTGCAGCCCTAGGGCTTCCACTCTGTCGAGGACGGGTGTCTTGATGTCACTGAGCAGTTGAGGGCCGCGGTAAGCTGGAGCTTCCCATTCGACTACGCCGTTCGAGGAGTTTTTCTGTCTCCTGGTGTCAACGAAGTAGTGGCGAAGACCGTAGTCGCCTTCGGTGCAGAAGGCAAGCTCAGAGAAGTCGACGCGGCCGGTGTAAGAAACATTTTCCCAGTTGAAGACGGTTCCGCTGTGTGAGGATTTCCAGCACGTTGTTGACCGTCTCTCCGGGGCGGAATGCCGCTCGCCCCAGTCCGGAGAAGAGACGTTGATGAACGGTCTCCCGCCGGTGATGGATATGTCATATGTCCTCAGGCAGGGGGAGAGCACACAGTGTGTGACTTTGGCCAGGGTGAATGTCTGTCCCAAGTCCAGCATATCATTCTCCACTGCCACGCGTCTCTTGGGAATGACGACATTAGCATAGGATATGGTCGTTAGTGGATGTTTGACACCCAGGACTGTTCTGTCAGTCGATCTCCCGTCGTAGTACTGGTACGGCTGCCAGAGTATGTGGTGGGGGAAGTCCAGATATATTGACCGTTTCGCACCTCCGCCGGCCAGCACGCTAATGCTATGGTTACCAGGGAGCTTATGTTCTGGGAGGTCAATAGTGAACGATGCAGTGAAAGTCCCGTTATGGCTTATGTTTACCATCGGTAAGGCCCAATTTCCAAAAGAAGCACGATCGGTGTAGTCTTCACAATGGCTGCACATTTCGATAGAGGGGAATGAGGACCAGGTGCAATTCTCCGACGGGCAGGTCGGCCTGACCTCAAAGTCATAGGCCCACAGCCCGGTATAGATGAGCTTCTCAGTGTCATCTGCCAGAGCGTCTGGGATGACTCCCATGGATTGATTGGCTGCTGCGCGACTGTCCTGTCGGGATTCGATTTCCCTCAACGGATGCCTCACAACTTGCTGCATGAACGTGTCGAATGCCAGCGCCAGGACGATGACTAGGGCCCCGATCGAGACAAATGACTGTCCTTTGTGCTGCATCAGAACGAAGAGTGACCCGAGCGGGCCCCGACTGGCACTGTCAAACAGTTGTATCCCACCCAGTGCCTTCTTTTTCTTCCCTCGATGAAACCAAACCCACTTCAACTGGCTAATGCACTCGCCAACGACGTATACCAGCGAGGACTTGCACACGGTAGCAAGCAGAGAGATGAGAGCGTTCAGCGTCAATCCGTACGCGAACCTGGGCTGTGCTCTTCCCTCGTAGACTTTGAGTATAACAAGCGCGGTGACCATGGAAGATATGCTAAAGAGCATGGCGATGATCTCGTAGAACCAGGTGTCGAGGACTCGTAGCAACAAGCCCGGGGGGGTTTGTGGTTTCGCGGGCTCGGGCGCGGGTGGTGGCGGAGTGCCCGTTACAGGAAGGAGTTCGCACTCGGGGTTGTTTGCAAGAGTAGCAGAGCTGTTGCTGTGGCAGGACATGTTGCGTTGTGCTGCGCTGCTTGGGTGGAAAGCTTGGGTAAAGTAGTAGGCAGGCCATCCGTGGAATATCTGTCAGACTCGAGGGCTTTAAGTGCCGTGGAGACAAGGCTGGAAAAAGCCACTTCTGAGGTGGTGCATAGTGTTGAAACATGACAATTCACTCTGATTTGGCACTGACTGGCGGTTATTATCTTCGGTGTTACCTTAAGTACCTATGGTATCTCTTGAGGCGCTGCACTGGACTGGGGGGACTCCTAGTCCAACCATAATCCGGTGCAAGCTCCCTAACCGCCTGGAGGTGCCTGAAGTGCCCCATCAGTCCAAAGATAGGCACTGTTATAATGTATTCACATTTCTCCAGGTGTCTCACAGCCTCCCTGCTGTTCAATTCCAGGAGCGCTGACCGGACAAGTGCGTCATGTCTGATAAAATGGCACGGAAACGGAACGATCATCTTCAGTTCGGAAATCACGGCCGAGAGATGATGGCACACTGTCCTCTATTGTTTGCATCACTCCGCCATCAACCAGAGCTGATACTGGGAAGGATCCAATTCCCCGTCCGGTGGAACAAAGCTGCCGACGCTCGGGTGGACCACAGCGCGTAAATGCAAGGAGCGATTGTGACAAGGCTCGGATCGAGTAATCCAAGGTTGCTTCAGAGAGAAAGGTAACGCGATTGCAGGGAAATCCAGCCGTACGACACGACCTCCCATCGATCTCACTTCACACACCCACAACGTCGAAGCCACGGCTCTATAGCACTAAGATTCTTCGCTCCTTTAAAGCCCTGACTGTTCATTCCAGCACTGTCTCTGGGGCTCGCTCAGCTTTAAAACATGTCTTTGTATGGTACTTTTATAAGTCCGTCCGCTCACCAGTCCTTAAGCCATGAAATTATATGGCTTAAAAGCAGACAATACTTAAGAAAGCCCTACGCATCTTGCTACGTGGCAAAATACAATTTCTAATTTTTGGTGTAATATCCAGCGCCTTAAACGTTGAATGGTAGAAGTTTAGCCTACTATAAACTCTAGTATCTTCTTTTCAAAACAACAGCAGAGAGGAACCACAGGAAAGAGCAACTAACAAGCATCACAAAAATGACCAATGGCAAGACCCCAATACCTGCAACGTTCGCAAGTGCCCCGATGATAAATGGAAAGACACATCCCCCGGCACTCCCCAACGTCACTGCGATGCCAATACCGGCAATGTGCAGCTCCTTCGGCAGCAGGTGAACCAGAGCAATAACAGATTCCGGAAATAATGGACCGAGAAAGAACCCTAGCAGGGTCACCGTAGTCACCGAGACCGCAAAGGAACCATGGACGAGAGAAAAGACCGAGTGGCATGCCACACACGCCAGCAAGTACCCCATCACCGTCGATTTCTCAGCACGTAGATAGTTCGTCAAGAATCCGAGAATCACCCGGCCAAGGGTGAGACCAGCCCAATAGAGGAAATTGACCACGCCTGCTTGCAAGGATGATGTCCCTCGTTGGTCAACAAGGAATTCGAAAATCCACCCCGCAACGGCAATCTCCACCCCGGAGTAAATGAAAATAAACAAACATATTATCCAAGTAGCGGGATTCCGCACTGACTGGATCAGCGCACTATCCCGAACCCCCCCACGCCGCTGTCTGTGTCGAATGCCTTCTCCATCTCCATCCCCATGCTCCGGCGCATGATCCAGGGTATTGCCCACACTCCCCCGCGCCGACCAGAACGTCGCCGTGAGAGCCAGGAGCTCCAGAAACGCCCCCGCGGCCATGAAGTAATAATACCGATACCACGGCTGGCCATGGCGACTGATCAGCGACGTCGCAGTCAACGGAGCAAGGGCCGCACCGAGGCCATAGAAGCCGTGCAGGAACCCCATCAGCCTACTGCTGTCAGCCATCCCACCAATCCAGACATTCCACGCGGCGTCCAAAAGACCGTTTCCCAGCCCGGCCAGCACGAAAATCAGGACTAGGACGGGGTACGGCGGATGCAGGGCGGAGGAAACGTAGGCTAGCAGATGGCATCCTGATCCTAGCAGTGCCACGCCGCGCTGCCCGAAGTGTGCGTGCAGCCAGCTGTTCCCGAGGGCTGCGACGGTGTACCCTATACACGGTGAAAGGAAGACCAGGGAGAGAATGGCGTAGTCGATGGAATAGTATTCGCCGAGCTAGATCGGGAGATGGGTTTTCGTCAGATATTAGGGGGGTAGACGCCGGTGTGAATGGCAGGAACATACATAGTGAACCAGGGCCTGCATGGCAAAGTGATTAGCGAGTCTGTTGATTGTCAGTTTGGATAGATACCATAGTCACGTACGCCATATGTTCCATCATTAGCTCCGACTATGATGAAGCTGAAGAAGGTAGCAAGAACCCTCCATGTGTTGATGCGAGGCTCGTTCCACTTGACCAGCGAGGCCTCAACATGCCCGTTACTGTGTGCTCCTGTCGGGACATTGCATGTCTCGTCTGCAGCTGCCACAGGCCCTACCCTCGCTGTCCGTAGCAAAGGGTTCGTTGCGTCGTCAGAAGGAAGAATCCGAGACATATCTTCAGCGCTTTGAGAATTTTCGCTCAATAGGGCTCAGGAAGGCTCAAGAAGTGTATTCGCAGGGAAAGCTGATGCTGGGTGATGGGTTGTGCAGAGGTATACTGTATCAGGCGCAATGATCAAGTAAGCCGGGCAAGTCGACATGTGAGAAGCGGATTCTGATCCAGGCGGAAGAGGCTGTAGTCCTGAATATTGGGAAAGTCAAATACGTCAGGTGTATTGGTCCAGGAAGAAACAAGGTCCTAATTAGTATAGTTGATTAGGTATGTGCATTCTCACTCTTTTTTTAGAGCCGCCTAATCGGGAGGTCGAGCATAATGGGTGTATTTCTCTTACAAACGCGGTAGAATCACTATTTCATGAGCTTTCTACGTGAAACCATGGTAATCAACTCTCTGGGGACCATTTCCTATCTTTTCTCGGCATCAACTTCATCCGTTCAATGGGATGCTACGGGGCCAAACCAGCCAACGAGGACACCCTTGTTGGCCCATAAATCTGACATGAACCATATAATGGGAACTGGGGCTCTAACCCCGCATGAGGGTGCTGCTTTCGGAATGACAGGCCCAGCCGCCCGTGGACATTCCCTGTGCGATGACATCTAGATCTTCTCACATCGAGCGCGATCCCCTGCTTCCGGAAATGCATCCGGAGCACTCGGAAGCTTGCCGGAACTTAGGGAAAGCGCGCAGTCTTTGCAATGGGCTTATTCCTCAAATATTGGGTCTGACATTTCCATTTGATCTGGAGTCGGGGTGTACAAAGCATTGTGGCTTACATAGGGATGAATGTAACCCTATCCCTCCACCGAGACTGTAAGCAGAACCTAAATTCTGACGAGCGTCTCTTGAATAGTATCATGATTCAGTGTATTTGTCATTCAGCCTGTGGAATCCGCCATCAAGGTGTACTTGGTCAGTTGGGTTGACAATTGTACGATTCAATTGGCTAGCAAACACGAGCAGCAAGGCGTGTCTGGAATATTTCGTTGCGAGATGGGAATCTATATGCGGATATTCGATCTAGTCCTCCTGAGAATACTTAAAACCCTTTCCGTAACTCCTACCCAAGATTGTAATCTATCCTAAGCACTCACTTTTTACCTCAGTCCTAAGCTTTCACATCGCCTATATCTACCATACCTACCTTCTCCAATTGCTCACCGTAATGGGATCCAACGAGGAGCCTACATACCTCTACCAAAGCGTCACCGACAGCCACTCTCCCCCGGTGGTAACATCCGCCGAAGGGATGTACTTCACCCTGGAGAACGGCCTCAAGATCCTGGACGCAACCTGCGGAGCCGCCGTGTCAGCCATTGGCCACGGCAACGAGCAGGTCAAAGAGGCAGTCATCCGTCAGGTAAATACGGTCGCCTACTGCCATCCTGGATTCTTCTCGAACAGCCCTGCCCTTGAGCTGGCAGACCTGCTGATCGACTCCACGAACGGGCGGCTATCGCGTGCATGCATCCTTGGATCTGGTTCGTCTTCCTTTCCTGAGTATCCATCATCAAGCCGCTAATCTGTGAAACAACGACGCAGGCTCTGAAGCCGTCGAGGCCGCGATGAAACTGGCCTATCAATATTTTGCGGAGCAGACACAAGGGACGACGCAACGGGTCAATTTCATCGCTCGAAGAGGGTCGTGGCACGGTTGCACCATAGCAGCGCTGTCTGTCGGTGATATCAAATCCCGGAGGACACTCTTCGAGCCGCTGTTGCTGAAGAACGTCTCCAAGGTGTCGCCCTGTCACCCATGGAGGGAAATGCGCGACGGAGAATCAGTCGAGGAGTATGTGGCTCGCCTGAAGGACGAACTTGAGGCCGAATTCCAGAGGCTTGGTCCTGAGACTGTCGCTGCCTTTATTCTGGAGCCCATGGTTGGGACTGTAAGTTATCTTCCCCATTCCCCCCTGACTTTCTTTCCATATCCGTGCGTCGCTATGTTCAAAGGCAACAGACTAATCACTCATTTACCCTCTCTCTTGTTTGGTCTTAGGCCCTAGGTTGTGTCACCGCAGCCCCAGGGTATCTCCGCGCAGTGCGAGAAGTCTGCGACCGACACGGCGCGCTTTTGATATTCGACGAGATCATGTGCGGACTCGGGCGGACAGGAGCACAGCACGCCTGGCAGCACGACGACGTCGCCCCGGACATCCAGACCGTCGGAAAAGTCCTCGGCGGCGGATACGGCCCCGTATCAGCTGTGCTGGTCAACGAGCGCGTCATCAACGCCCTGAAACGGGGCAGCGGCTCCTTTGCGCATGGGCAGACGTACCAGGCCCAGCCGCTCGGGTGCGTTGCTGCGCTGGCGACGCAGCGGTATATCAGGGAGAATAACTTGGTTGAGAATGCGCGGCGCATGGGGGCGTATCTTGGGGAACAGTTGAAAGTGCACTTGGGGGATCACCCTCTTGTCGGCGATGTTCGAGGTCGCGGCTTGTTTTGGGGGGTCGAGCTTGTCCGGGATAAAGTGTCCAAGGTTCCGTTGGATCCGGAGCTGGGGTTGGCGAAGAGGATTAGGGCTCGAGGGCTGGAGAAGGGGTATGAGGTTTGTATCTTTAGCGCGACTGGGGCTGCGGATGGTTGGAAGGGGGACCAGTTCCTCATTGCTCCGGCGTTTACTGTGCAGAAGGATGATGTGGATGAGATTGTGAGGCGTGTAGTGAGGGTGATGGAGAGTGTATGGAAAGATGTCCACGCAGCTCTCGCAGGCTAGTCATTCTGTGTTTCATGGCCTTAAGGATTGGATGCTCTTGGCTTGCTTTGGTGGGAAGAAATCGTTTGTTGTTGATTTACTTGATCAATTCATTTCCCTCGAATCCAACTATTACTTGTGCCGCTATACGGATTTACCAGGTCTGCTATTGGTGTCAGACTATTGACGAGATAGAAGAAAGTATAGCATCGTCCTGGGTATGGTTGAGGTACTCTCCCAGTTCAATCAACCATCGACAGGTGCAATGGAAGGGCACTCCGATCAACGCTATTCATACACATAGAATTCATTGTAACTGCCCGCCTGCAAAGCATGTTATGAATACATTACAGAAAGTATCAAGTAACAGCTCAACAATCCATGCATCCTCGACCAACCCTAGTCATAGTTGATCGGACGACTATACGCCGGATCATAGTGCATCGCCCAATACGCATCCCAGATGACCTTTGTAACTGGCCCAACCCGGCCATCGCTAACCGGCTTGTCGTCAAGCGTAGTAATAGGCATAATGCCGCCTGCCGTCGTACACATAAAGATCTCATCACACCGGTACGCAAGCTCAACCTGGATCGTCTCAAGCCGAACTTCAATCCTGTTATTCTCTGCCACATCGATCACGCTCTTACGCGTGATCCCCTCAAGGACACCCCGGTTCGGGGTGAAGAGAACACCATCCTTCACGAGGAAGATATTGAACCCAGATCCCTCAGTCAGATTGGTGTCCCCATCCGTCAAGAAGGGATACGTAGAGCCGCGGTCCATAGCCTCAAACAGGCCTCTTGTCAAGTCGCCCCATTGCAGGTTCTTGATGGTCGGATCCATTGCCCCGGGCGGAGTGCGCCGGACAGTGCGTGCGATAATGGCGCTGCCACCGGTGTATTGGTCCTGAGGATCCATCACCCATACATACGGCAGGACAAGAAGATAGAGATTCGAATCAAGCAGATCCCCGGGCTTGTTCCCACGTACACTCTTCATCCCCCGTGTCACGATAAGCTCCACGAACGCGTCTTGGATCCCGCTCTTAACCACCATTTCCGTCAGGATCTCTTTTACCCGATCTGTAGACAGGGGGAATCGTAGCCGCATTTTCTCGCAGCTGGTAACAAGGCGCTCGATGTGATCGTCCAGACGGAAAAAGCGGCCGTTCCAGACTGAGGGGACGTCATACGTCAGGTCGCTGTGCATGAAGCCTTCGTCGAGCAAGGGGATACGGGCGTCGTTGGGCTGGACGAACTCGCCGTCCACAAATGCAATGCCCTTGGAGAAAGGGCTATGATTTCGCTCTTGGAGTGCCTGGCGTGCACGGTATCCTGAGAAGATCTTGTCCATGGACGACATTGTGATTATCGGTTGAAATCGGGATATAGATGGAAACAATTTGATTTTGTGCTCAGTTGGTTGAACACGTTGTGTGAAGCTATAGAGATGTCAGTTTCGCTTAAGTATGTTCTAAAATCAAGGATATACATCTCCTTGCTGTATGGTTTGGACACTGCGGAGAGCCGAGCATGGTATATGATGCTTACTCTCCGGTCTCCCCGCATCACACGACCGGGTTCCATGCTGACATCAAATCTAGACCGTCTCGTATTGAATCCGTTGTTTTCTAGGCTGGCACATGATATGATACTTCAAGGATGTATGTCATTACTGACTCGGATGCCCGGGCTTGTATGAATCTATCACGTCACCAATTATCGCCCCGAGCTTCCTCTGTATCTAGTAGCGTAGAAATCCCGACCCTGATTTAGGTTACTCCTGAGGAAAGAAAACTGCGTTATGAACTTGACGAATATTAAAAACATGAGCCCTTCCCCGGCCCCTGCTATGTAGGCGGTCTTGCCCTATCTCAAAGGAAGGTCAGAATTAAGTGAGAATCAGTATGGTTAAGAACACCGTGAGAGACCAGCTTCTAGACTTGAAGCAAAATGGCAGGATGATTTTTTTCACGGATTTCGATGGGACCATCACACTACAAGACAGTTAGTACAAACTCTTCCTGAAGTCATATGCGTCTCTGTCTCACATGAAGCTGCAGGTAATGACTACCTGGTATTTAGCCCATCAACCTGAATTCAGCAGTTTCTTGTTCACGATGCTCTCCTTAAGGTTGATAATTATGGTTTTGGAAGAGAAAAACGAGAGGTTCTCGAGCTGGACCTGCTTCAGGGCAAGATAACATTCAGGTAAGTTGGCCATTTGGAGATCTCGAGACGGTATTGATGTTACTATAATAGAGAGGCTTTCAAGACCATGCTTGATAGCGTGCAACTGCCATTTAATAGATGTATTCAAGCCCTCAAGGAGAACATTCAATTCGACTCTCACTTTGTCGCCTTCTACCATTGGGCCAAGGAGCATGAGGTTCCCATCGTTGTGCTGTCCTCCGGCATGGCACCTGTTATACAGTCACTGTTGGAGGAATTACTTGGCGGCAAACCAGAGAATCTCTATGTAGTGGCCAACGACATCAAGCCTCTTCGAGGGATAGATAAAGACTGTGGTTCTATCAGGAACCGTGACTGGGAACTCACTTTCCGGGATAACAGGTGAGCAGTCCACTACATCCCTACCTCAATGCCACTGACAGTAACTTAACTCATTTTGTCAGTCATTTCGGCCATGATAAATCCCTAGCAATCAGACCATACACTGAATCGAGAAGCCGAGATCGTCCCATCTTATTTTACGCGGGCGATGGAGTGTCCGATCTGTCCGCTGCATCCGAAACGGACATTCTCTTCGCAAAGAGCGGAATGGGTATGTAAACCTTGGCTGGAGAAAATCCTCCTTTAATTTAATGGGGATGCTGACCTTAGTCCCAGGTCTTGTGGAGCATTGTGAACGAGAAGGGATTCCATTCGCTCCGTTTGATACTTGGGCTTCGGTTCTGAGCGCTGTGCAGGTCATCTATGAAGCTGGAAGCACTGAGGCCTAGAGAGTGTCGCCGCCCGGGGGTAGGGTGAGGGAAAGGAAGGATCGACGGCAGGAAGTGGCAATGTATGGATCTCTGTGTTAGATACTATACTTAACCAATGGCGAGCTATATATTAAGACAATGGCATAGGTATGCTCAGAGTGATAGGCTGTGGACGAGCTCTAGGTTGACAGCAGATAGCCCTTGAAGCAAGGGAACAAGGGTTTTGTGGCTCCGTACGTCTGTGAACTACAGTAATATTCCAGCTGTTGAATGCTTTTGTTTCTGTGAGTTGGCGACGAGGAGCATGTGTAGGGAAATAGTGGGTTATTCTTCATGGTGGCTCGTTTGCCCTAACTAGAGGTACCCTGGAGCTTGGCTACCACACCGATTAACAAAGTTCAAATACAGCCGCAAACCCTAGAAGACGAAGCCAAGTTGATATAATACTGGAAAGCAACCGCGATTCCTTCTCCCTAGCACATGATACCGCATGGCGCAGGAGCCGGAACCTGGGAATAGATGAACAGTACGAGCGAGGGTAAGGTTTATCGCTCTTTTGACATCTGCCATGTATTCGATAGGTCTTAGTTACCGTGGATAACGACTGGATACGTTGATTTCCGTGCAAAAGAAGTTCAAGTTTTTCCCGTGCAGTCGGTAAATACGAAGTACCCGATTCCTTAGGTACTAAGCCCATGAGAAGCTCCTCAGCATGGATGTGTACCTATACTGATAATTGAGGGGACCCTCTGAAGAGAAATACGAGAGCTAATTTCAATATATCTTTTTGCTTTCTGTGTCATACCAGCCCTCAGTGCGTTGATTTCTGTGTGCTCGGAGCGGCAATGGGCGCCATTGAAACATACATCATGAAATGCATGGTCGGGGTCCGCGGACGGGACGATTGACCGAGTTGAGCGGGAGCCCCTGCCTAGACGAACTGGAGTCCTGTAGGGCTGAGATTGGAAACTCTGCTGCCTGGAAAGTAGGCCGAGGCTAGCTGGTGCTGGCATGGGTTGTGGCACCATGCAAAGCTTGTTGATCTTAATCATGATGCCTAGCCCGTTATTTCGAAGCGTGGACAAAGAGTGCATCCATGGATGTTTCCATTATATAATCAACACTCAGTGGAAACAGCGATATGTGCTATTTGTCTTTCTATGCTTCGGGTATCCCTATACCAATCCATCGTCATGGACGAGCCCGGAGGGTTCAAACACCGAATGCAAGGCATGTCGAACTTCAACCCCTATTATACTTGGAGCAATGAATACCGCCCTGAACAGCTAGGATCAGAGACATGCAGACCGTACTTATGACGGTTACACCGAACGAGGCACTGCTCGTTGACTAGGCTGCCATATTAGAATCCATGGAGCCATCGCCGCCATGGCGCACACCCGTGGCCAACCGCATATCCAATTTTGAGGTAAGCGCCCAGTGCTAAGCCCCCAGAGTTATATCTCGTTGGTCTGAGGGTTTGATGCCTGAGCGACCGTCTGGCATTGTCATTTTCCTTGGAAACCCTCATTGTCCTCTGGGAAACTACGCTCCTACCTAGACATAGAGGAACGAAAACCCCCAAAATCTTCACTGCATTAGCCGCCTTTTTCCCTATGCTACCCGTGTGCGCATCGATACCGAGCCAGAGATAAAGAGATGTCTAAGCATATATCAAACGCAACGCCGGCCATCACCGCGAAACCTCGCGAAAAGGTCTTGCATGCTGATACAATCGGACGCTCACTATGCCAACGTCAATTCCGCCCAGCACAAGATCCACCAGCCTCGACAGCACCGCATCCCTTTAACCTGAAACCGACCTTTCACACCAAAGCCCCAGCCCCGCAATGGCTGGCAGTCCCGGGCCAGCACCTCCCCGGCAGCGCAACCACCTCCTCCGAAACCCTAATGACCGAGTCGCATCGGACAACCTCCTTCAGCCGCCGCAGTCCACCGTCGGAAAGCGAGCATAGCAGCAATTTGTCCGACTCCGCCTTGAAATACCCTCGGGTCGTTAGTCTAGGGGGTACGGCCACAGTCCAGGACGCGGAGAGGCTAGCGGCCGAATACGGACTTCCCTCGCAAATGGGGCTGCTGGATCCGAGTTATACTATATTCGTGGGTTATGAGGGACACGGAGGACTATGCTTCAAGGTCTTGAATAAGGTTGCCGTCGTAATGGGGGACCCGATGTGCAATGCGGTCGAGATTGCAGCCCTCATGGCCGAATTCAAGCTCTATCGGCGCCGGAAAGGGTGGCGCATGTCTGTTCTCGGCGCAGGGGCGAATCTCGTCGAATACTATATGGCTCGAAAGCGAAAGTCAACAATCCTCAAGTTTGGAAACAATCGCGTCCTCAACCCGCTGACCAACGAGGTCGTCCACGAGAAGAGCGGGAAACGCATACTCACACAGAACCGACAGCTCCTAAATCCCAGCAAGGGGGGTCTTATGCTGGACATCTACACCCCGTCTCTGCATGGCACAGACTACAAGCTGGAGTGGGAGTTGAGTTCGTTATACCACGAATGGTGCATCGCACGGAATACCGCCGCCACTAAGGACAACAAACCACAAGCCTTTATCACGGAATACGATCCTTTCCTCATGTCCTCGCTCATGACATATATCTACGCCCGAGACGAACACGGGGGAGTTGCCGGCTTCGCAGCCCTTCGCTGGGTCGGTATGAAGCAGGGCTACCACATCGATCCGTGCATTGCTGCGCCCGGTGCAAAGCAAAAAGGCATAACCGACCTTCTCCTGTTCGCTTCCATGGCACACCTCCGCCAACTAAACATCTCCTATTTAAGCATCGGCTATGAGCCTTCCGAATCCTTGCCCGACATCTCACCATCGGCGATCCCGGTGTCCCTTGCACACCTAGCGGACAAACTGTATCGATATACGTTCCAGCGTCTTCCACTCTCAGGAAAGAAGGCGTACTTTGACAAGTTTCGGCCTGATGATGCACAAAGTGAACCCGTCTACCTTATCTTCCCGTCCAGAATGCCTAGGCCGAGGGATGTCGTGGCGGTCGCGCATGTCGCCAATATCAGGATCCGCAGGCTGCTGTTTCATGGTGGGCGTGGGTTATGATGTCGTTGTTTCCCAACCTCTTAGATCACTCATTCAATCTCAATCTTCCATTGCCGGGGCTTGTATCTAGTGGTCATGGAATTCACGGTATGCGTTGCACTGCCTGTACCGGCTGTAAGACGCCGCCATATATGTCAAGCATTGTAACGGGTTTATCTTCGTGGTTATGAAAACTGCACAATAGTCGATACTTGTGCACCTGTGCTCAATCTCTGAGGCAGATCTTATAATTACCATAGTTGTGGCTGAGCCTGGCAAAGCCAAAGGGTTATGGATGGTACCATCCATCCCGATCTAGCCCCCATGACATGACACCACGGCGTACCCAGTGGTGCCACCATAATCAAGACCAACAATGTTAAACACAACATACTCCAAGCACGCTTGCACCACGAATATCCTCAGCGACCAGGAGCTCTTCCGGAAATGGCAACGACCGTCCTTCTCACAGCGGCATTCGCGGCCACCGCATGGTTAGCATTCCGACTCTTTACACAGACCAACGCGAAGCTCAACATACCCTATCTATCATTCGAGGACGGAAACAACTCAATACAACGGTACGCACGCGAATCCGGCAGCATCATGAGACGCGGGTACGACGAGTACCTGAAAAGGGGCCTGCCATTCGCCATGTTCAACTGCCTCGAGCCGTCGCAGCCGATCGCCATCCTGCCGACCAAGTATCTGCCTGAAGTCCGGGGCGCAGCGGCGTCGAAGCTGAGCTTTCCCGCATTCATGAATAGGGTCCGAACCACGGCCTCTGTGTGCCGTGAACTGTCTGGCTAATCGGGTTTGGGCTGCAGTCTACAGTCGCCGAACATATCGGCGCGCCACGGGTCACAGAGCGTGTGATCCGGGTTGCAAGGCTGGATTTGAACAGGGCGTTGAGTGCGCGAACCTTGTTTCGATACTTTCTTCAAGTCGCGCATACTGATGAACGCTACTATAGATGACCTTATTATCCCAATCCAAAACACCTGCACCGCCGTGCTAGACTTCGCCCTGCCTCGCGGAGTCCAAGATCCAGAATGGACGCCCGTGTCCGCACAAGCCCTCTTCTGGGCGCCGATCTCCGCAATAATGACGCTTGTCCTCGTGGGCCCGGAACTCTGCGCCAGCGGAGAGTGGAATGGCCTGCTGGCTGCATACCTGCAGCACGGGCACGCAACCGCCAAGCACGTCCGCGAAACATATCGACCCTGGATGCGCTGGACGGTGAAGTACCTCGATAAGGATGTCAAGGCGATGGCCGAGTTCCGCAAAAAGGGGACCGCTTTACTAAGACCCGTCATTGAGGCACGGATTCGAGCTGCGCGTCAAGGGCAGAGATCGCCGTTCCAAGATGCGACGCAGTGGCTGGTTGACTCGTACTTGGCGGATGGCACGGCTATTAATGCGGAGCAGATCATGCAGGATATGAGCTTTCTCGTGGCGGCGAGTTGGCATGGGATTCTGATGAATCGGGTTTCGATCCTGTTTGATCTGATTGAGCGGCCGGAGTCTCTGGATGCGATTAGAGAAGAGATCGCGCGTGTTCAGAATGGACCTCTTAACCAGCAAACCCGGGGCGGACTCTGGAGCCGGCAGTCTCTTGCTTCCCTGCTGGTACTGGATAGCTTTATGAAGGAGAGTCAGCGGTTGCATACGTTCCAGCACTGTATGTCCCCCTTTCTGCCACATGCCGCATCTAAATACAGACACTGACTTGCCGCAGACACAATGCAGCGCATCGCCCTCCAAGAGGTGACTTTCTCCGACGGCCTGCGTATCCCAGCCGGAACATGGGTGCACATGCCGAGCAGAATGCACGGTCGGGACTCAGCCGTTGTCCCTGGCGGCAAGGGTGAGGAATTTGACGCCCTGCGCTGGAAACGGCTGCGTGAGGAAGGCGATGCCACGAAATTCCACTTCGCGTCTGTGCACGACGAGATGCTTCCTTGGGGCAGTGGGGCGCACGCTTGCCCCGGCCGCTTCCTGGTGCAGGATGTGCTGAAGGTGCTTTTCATCCATCTGGTTACGAAATACGATATGAAGTTCGTCGAGGGGGAGAAGAGGCCGACGGACTGGGATGAGCATACGGGGACGATGCCGGATGTTATGGCGAGTGTGCTGGTTAGGGAGAGGGCTGCTTAGACCGGAGATCGCAGGGGGATTCGGCAGGCTGATGGACGGATGGATGGCACAAGACCCGTCTCCGTTTGCTAGTGAACATCAATCAGAACTATCAGAATGGCAGATACTACCTTGATGGTAAAGGTAAGATGAAGCTCCCAGACCACGCAGTATGATTCCCTTGCTATGGCCTCCAAGTCGTCAATTCAGTGCATCTCCCAACACTGCCCACCCCCCGCGACAAGCCGATTGAAGAGCACATTCCTCCCCCTCATCCCAGTAAGATGATAGGCCTTGTCCTCCTCCCCCCCCTCCCCCTTCACGACCACAACCAACCCCTCCGTCGACGCCTCCGCCCCAGCCGCAAGCTGCACAATGAGCTTCCCCTTCCACCCCAACCCCTCCGTCTTCTTCAACTCGCTGATCGCACCAATCGGAGTCTGAAACAACACATCCCCACTCTTCTGCGCACCAAGACACAGATCATCCTGGATCTTCGCCGCGTTCTTAGCCGTAAAGTACAACACCGGCCTCTCTGCATCCGAGAAATCCAGCACCGCTGTCCCGCGCTTCCGCTCGAACTTCGCGTCGAATGTATACGGGCCCCCGCCTACATTCTGGGAAGAAGGCGGCCCTAGAGCCAGTAGTCGCAGATTCTGGAACGTGAGGTTTCGATCTAGCGCTGCGCTAAGCAGGCTCTTCGCGTAGTACCGTGATCCAGCGCCCGTGAGACCCAGTGCCCGGTTATATGCGATGTGCCCCTTTATAGCGGTTGTTATGGCGCGACGGGCGAACTTTAGGATGCGCAGCCATTTCTTGGCTTTGGTTTTCTTGTCGGATAGGGCTCCTTCTGGTGGAGTGATTGTGGTCCCGACTTCGCTGGGTTGATCTGCTGCGCCCTCCGCTGCGTCTTCGATTGTTCTCGGTGTTTTCCTGCGGAAGAGAGAAAGGGGGGATTGGGTTCCTGAGCTTGGGTCTGTCTCTGATCGGGGTGGAACGGGGATGGGGCTTGCGTTGAGCTCGCCGATGCGTAGGAGGGTGAGAGTTAATTGGGCGTTTGTGGGGACGCCTTTTAGAAGGGTTCTATTGCTGGTTAGACACATGGGGACCGAAAGAGGGGCTATCCTACTTCTCGATATCCATGTATGTTTTCCAGTTGGGGATCTTGGTGTTCAGCAAGTCCATCGCTCGCTTGAAAACCGGATCACCGAAGAATGCAAGGCCGATTGCCAGCGAGCAGCTCTTGACGATGACGTGGCTTGAGACCATCGATGACAGCAGAAATATAGAGAGCAAGACTCCGACCAGTTGGAGGCGGGGCCCGATCAGGGTGAACGGGGGCGAGGGGTGAAGGAGGCTAGAGACGTCAGTTGTCGTCCTGCCACATAACGCCAAGGTACATACTTGGAGAATCTCTCGCAAAGATCCGTTATATCGCTGAGCACGCGCAGGGTAATACCAATGGCAGGCGACGTCTTCTTGGGTTTCCCATTCTGCAAGTCATCCGCTGCAGACGGGGCGAGGGCGATGTCGGGCTCCAAGGGGTCGGCGTCAGTTGGAATCCCCAGGGCGTCCTGCTGAATTGAAGTCGTGATGCCATTGACCAAGTCTGCTGCTTCTTCCTCGGCTTCACCTTCGTTCACTGGTGGCGCGTGGACATGCGGAACACTCTCTTCTTTAGCGCTCAGAGCCTGCACCTGCGTTGCCTTTTCAGGAACGGGAGGGAAAACAGACGATCGGATTGAGGGACTGAGTATCATGGCTATTATCCCACCGCTGAGAAGGGGGATGATGAAGTCGCATAGCCACGCTAGGAGGTAGGCCTGTACGATATGTTAGCACTGCGGTTGGCAAGCGGTACATCGAGGTAACGTACAGCACCAAAAGTCCCCGTCCGCTGAGGGTTCTCCCATGATCGCAGATGGTTCACATGATTAATGAAGAGCCCGACTTTGACGAGGACAGAGACGTAGAAGCGTTCGATTGTCTTTTGAAGCTTTGACGCAGGGAAGTGTTCCTCCGCTGCGCGGTTCAAGTCGAGTGGTTGATTGTCACTACACGGGACTGCTTGGACGTGAGAGACTTGCTATTAATTGTTAGAGTTCGGACGAGGGACTGGTGAGGTTTGATGGATGTACCTTATCGAAACGCCGGATCAGGCGCCACAGGTCGTCGTTGGAGAGGCCTGGGGTGAGGGGTTCGTCGGGCGGTCCCATGGTCGCCGAAGGGCTTCCTTGGCTATTTGGCTCCGGATTTGGGGCGAAGATTGGATTCCGGCGATGGGCTGGGGGAGTGAGAGTGGTTGGGGGGTGAAGTCTGTGTTTCCTGCCAAGGGGTGGCGATGGGGATGGGGCTGTGCAGTGCTGTGGGGGGTCCCTGCAGGGGGCGGGTCAGGTGACATCACTGCCATATCAGACACAATACCCCGCAATCACCATCCATCTACAACAATGAGCAGCAGGACCAAAAGAACGATAACCAGGCGGAAGACCGGTAGGTACTGCTCGCAATACCTTGAGCAAGCTATTGATCGACGATCTAGGGCGGTAAGGAGGAGCATGCCCGTCTGACCCCGAAGCTTACCACATCACAGCAAACGCTGCCGACAGTGTCATACAAAATGTGACGAGAAACGTCCGATTTGCGGCCGCTGTAAAAGGCTCCATCTGGAGTGCGAACCAACCGAGTTTATCGTCCACTCAGGGCAGGCGCCATCATCATCGGCGTCGGAAAACCTTCCACAAGCCCCGCCTCATGCTGCGTCCACGTATGACATCCTCAGCAATCAAGCGCTCATTTGCACGAAGAATCGACGCGGGGAGGAAACGCAAGATGGTAGAGACGGTTTGCGCCCCCATTTGGACGCCGAGACGTCAATACTTCTCCGGAAGTACCAGAGCGGTATTGCAACGTGGATGGACCTCTTCGATGAGGAGCAGCACTTCCAGCGAATAGTGGTGAAGCGAGCTCTCCACTCACCATTGCTACTCAACTCGATCTGTGCACTGACGACAAAGCAACTCAGCCTGCTTGACGGAAAGTGGGCAACGCAAGCACAATCTACCGCGTCTACGTATTACGGCGAGGCCCTCCACCATCTTATCGCTACTCTCGGCGACCCTCGATCTAATCCTGTACCCATTGCAGAAACGCTAGCCGCTACAATCCTGCTCAGTAGCTACGAGCTGCTGGTCTGCCCTGGAATGGACCATCGACGTCATGTCTCCGGGGCACTAACGCTGATCCGAACACATGGGTGTAATGCTGCCTCTGGGGGAATGGCCGGTGCAGCGTTCTGGGTATACGTGCGCCAGGATGTCGCCATGGCGCTGGTGCACGAGTGTCCTACTATGCTTGCTCCGGAGGAGTGGTGTGTCTCTTGGACTATGCCAGAAGAACGCGATGATTGTCTCGGGAACCAGATGGTCTGGCTGTTGGCCAAGGTGGTTGGATATACGTATGACAAGTCCAACGCTGCAGCAGAGTCGGGAGCTCAGAAAGAGTCACTGAAGAACGACTTGCGTTCTTGGTACGAATCTCTACCTTTGCACTTCAAGGGCATGGATATCGGACTTGCTACAGCAGAAGCTGGAGGGCGTATGTTCTTTGCTATCCCATCAACAGGTGAGTTGTATTTCTTCATTGCGATGGGGCTGGATATACCTGGGCTTACTAGTTCAGCGGCGGCGATGTGCACGTACCATCTTGCGCACATTCTTCTCCTTGCCGAAGGACGTAATGCTGCACCAGTAATTGACCTGGAGAGCCAGGTAAGAAATGCCACCCTAGTCCTATGATCTCGCCATAGCATCAACATCTCATCTTCCTAGGCCCAGTTAAACGCCCATGCGCAGAGAATCCTCACCGTGTGCTCCTCCTCGACATCCGATGGTGCTTTGGTACAAGCAGTCCAGGCGCTGTATCTTGGTCAATACCTTTTCCCCCAAGGTTCATGTCCAAAGCACTAACAGTTGTCCTACAGCTGCCAAACACACCAATCACATCACGTCAAAATTTGAGATATGGGCTATTCTTCGGCGCATTGAACGTGAACTAGGATTCCACACAGGTAATCGCATTCAGCAACTAGAACAGCATTTCAACCAACAAGCGGAGGCTACGAGTCAACTGTCGTCTACACCCTTACGTTGATTCCTATCGCCTTCTCCAAATCCTCATAGGCATCGGCCCAGGCCACAAATTAAACGCCTCCTCATACTCCAACTCAAACCCACCAGGCAGCGCAAAGTCATACGCATGTACCAAAGTCGCGACGAGAATCTGCTGTTCCATCATCGTCAGGTGTCGACCAATGCAGCCCCTCGCCCCCGTGCTAAAGGGGATAAAGGCAGCCCGCATCGCAGCCAGTTCGTCCGACGAGCATCGAAGCCACCTTTCCGGTATAAATTGTTCGGCGTCGGGGAATATAATAGAGTCACGGTGGGCTGCATAGGCAGGCACGGAGACGCCGATGTTCCCTCCTATCCACTCGCCCGCTATCATCATGCCGCCCGCGGGTGTTTTGCGCTCGAGGCCGCGGGGCAGAGGTGGTGAGAGGCGGAGGGACTCTTCGAGGCAGGCTTTTAGGTAGGGGAGGTTCTTGACCCTGGCGTAGGCTGCGATGGGCTCGCGAGACGAGAGGGCATCGGCTACTTCGGCCCTGAGCTTGATTAAGGTTTCCGGATTCTTGATCAGGTAGTATAGGACGTGCGTCAATGCAATGGCGGTTGTTTCGGAGCCAGCGTCGACTGCGCAAATTCATCAGTCAGCTTGCTGTCTCCCATAACTTACAATCGATGACATACGAAGCATGTTCGCCTCTGCCTCGATCTCCCCTCGCTCCAAGCTCCGCGGTTCACCGTTCTTGTCAGATACCAAGCACGCAAGAAAGTCATCCGGCTCATCGACCCTGCTCAGCCGCCGTGCAACAAGATGGCGAACTATCGCGCCGAAATCCTCGCCCTGCTCCCACTGCCGGCGAAGCCAAGGGAATAGAAGACGCGTCGCCCCCTTCAGGATGGGGAACCATGCCGGCGCGCCAACGAACCACGAGGCAATCCGCGCTCCGCCATGCATACTCCAGACAAAGCCCAGTGCCCGGGCACTGCGACCGTCGCGCGGAACCGCGATGGAATCGTTCCCGGCCTCCAGCATGTGCGTCTTCTCGCTCAGCGCAATCTCGACAATCGCGTCGATGGTAAAGAGGTTAGACCACAGCCTCCAGTCCACATTGAACCCGCTACCCCCGTTTCCTGAACACATCCGATCAAGCTGTTTCATCAAGGCGCGGACCCTCTCCGCAATCTTCCCCTCCCAGGCCTCCGAATTCCGCGCCGCGAAGGCATTGCTGAGCATGCGGCGCTTGCGCGCGTGGTCCTCGCGGCCGATGGCGTTGAGTATATGCGTATGCGCGCCAGGCAGGAGGGTCGCTTGGTATGGCGCGGCTTTCACGCACGGCGAGCCGTGGCCGTATATGTCTTGTATTGCGTTGATGGTGCCGAAGGAGAGCGTGCGTGGGCCGAGGCGGATAATGGGGTGTTTCTTGTGCTGGGTGGAGAGGGCTTTGGTGCGGAAGGTGTTGCGTCGTGCCCATATGGAGGAGAGGTCTGTGAAGGGGGAAAAGGGCGTTTGGCTTGGGTATTTCCGCAGGGGGGGGGGCGCCGTGGATGTGGATGATGATGGGCGTTGCCATGAGGATGGCAATGGCGAGGAATGTGAGGAGTGCCATGTTGATCTGTGATTCTGAGGATCGGGTAACTGAGTCTCATGGGGATCTCTGGATATATATTGGATTTGGGCGCTTCGGACCGGCTGTTATATATCCAGTTCCCTAGCCATGCACACTGTTTCTAATACCGAGTCAACCTTCATGGAATCCTACGAAGTAGTGCATCTGAGTTCCATTCAAGTAGAATAGTTTACTAGCCTGCCACAAATCGCTTACATTACCATATTGGGTATGCTAGGAGCGGCGCCCGCGCCCGCGCCCGGGGACTGAAGGCATGTGGCACTTACCTAAGTAATACCTGCAGCCTGCAGCCACCGCGCAACCTGAACCCTTCTTGGAATGCGAAGAGCGGCTTTGCCTGAAGTCTGCCAAGTGGGCTCACCCTCCGATCAGTCTTAACCATACCGAATATGTGGCGGCGCCTTCCAGCTGGCATCCATGCCATGCCACCAGCCGAGGGACCACGAATCAAAAGTCATGACCGGTCTTATACCTACTGGGCCAATAGTGCTATTAGTTTGAGAATTTTAAGGTCCATGTCAACAAGGCGTATATAAGGCCGAGACAGTACCGTAGCGTTCTTAAGACTGTGCGCCCTTACCGTCCTTGAGCAGTTCAAAGCACGGTATTGGAGGGCTTGTTATAGAAAAATAGTCTTAAGACGAGAATGTAAAGAAAGATGCAATACGGCAAGTCCAAGCGCCTCAAACCCGCAGCCAACGAAGACAAGGCAAAAAAAAGATAGGTATGGTACGGGCGCGGACAGGAGAACGGACGGACCCGGACTCGGACTCGGACTCGACTTGCTTACTAGCACTTATTTTGGATCTAAGCTATAGCGTCATCTTGGCTCGGCAATGGGAGCTAAATGACTGGATGTGCCATAACGCAGTATACGGAATCTAAGATACTGGGTAGGAGTTGACGGTCCCCCGTCTGATGTCACCATGGGCGCTGACAGCTGTATATAAATCAGCATGGATAGGGTTCGGAGATCTCGTCTAACATCAGCGTTTACACAAGGTTCCATCTAACGACCCTGTCTATCAAGTGCCCATTTCTCTTCCGAATCGGCATTCTTGTCTCGGATACTCCCTTCAGGATCGACACCAACGCCCACGCTCCAACCACCAAAATGGCAACCGAAATGCCCGCCAACTCAACGCTCCTCCGAAACACCGAGCTCTGCACCCTCTCCACATACCCGCTATCCCTGGGCATGGTCTAATACAGCACCCTCCTATGGGCCAAAATCCTCTTCATGGCCCTCTTCGGTGCCGCCATGGGCCCTCGGTCTAATTGGGGAAGTCATCGGCTACGGCGGACGCATCATGCTCAACAATAACCCCTTCAAACTAGACGGGTTCCTGACCTACCCTGTCCGGCTAACAATTGCGCCTGCGCCTTTTGCGGCCGCTATATACCTTACCCTCAGCCGAATCGTCGTTGTGTACGATGAAAACATCTCGGATTTCAAGCCGCGCACGTACATAATCACTTTCATCCCCTTCAATGTCATCGCCCTTATCCTGCAAGCCGCCGGCGGTCCAATGGCCTCGACCGCCGAGCCAGGCGATCAGGAAGCGACAGACCTCGGCGTCAACGTGATCATTGCCGGACTCGCATGGCAGGTCGTATCACTGTGCATCTTTCAGCAATGGCAACGTACCTCTACATCCGGGTGCGCAAGGCCGCAAAGTCCGATCTGAACCCAACTTTCAGCGCCCTCCGCTCAGCGCGCTACTTCCGGGCCTCGCTGTGGGTGTTTGGCATTGCGACGCTGCTGATCGTCGTGCGCTCGGTGTATCGCTGCGCCGAGCTGCGCGAGGGGTTCCAGGGGCATCTTGCGGATGACGAGGCTAGTTTCATGGTTCTTGAGGCGACGATGATTGCGCTTGCGGTTTTCGCGCTTACGGGGTTCATTATGGTGTTGCGTGGATGGGGAGTGGAATAGTGCGGTTTGGGCGGCGAGGGGCAACGGCGAGAAGCACCTGCGGTATCGCAAGACGAAGTCTATGGAGTCGGATGTTGAGGTGAGGGCTGTGCAGTAGGTAGGAGGTCTTCTGAGCCTTGCGACGGTCAGGCTTGGATGGGTGAGGACATGGCAGTAGACTTCTGTGCTGTTCTCTGAAATTTTCTTGTGTTTTCCTTGCTTTACCATAGATGTGCCAGTCGAACTATCATTTAGCTATGTGACCTATTCTCAAAACAAACCCGGCTAGCATCTTCGGTTCCCTCCTTCACCTTTACAACTCTTAGCAATCTAGGGGTACCTTTAAATAAGGGCTCTGGACACTTTAAAAGTCTTATAAATATATATTTTTATTATTTTAATTTTATTTTTAACCTTTTTCTTCCCCTTTTACCACCCCCCGCGGTATAATAACTAAAATTAAGGCGTGTACTTTTAACTAGCCTATAAATATTAATTTAACTAACTTTACATGGTTATAAAACCCCCTATTTTTTTAACCTTTATATTATAAAAAAATAAAAGAAAAAAGAGCCCTAGTAAGCCTATTTTTTTTTATTATTAAAAATAATAACATGTTAATTCTTTAGCCTAGCTTAATTATAAAGGCCCTTTATAATTAGCTTAATAAGTAAAAGTATTAAATATATATTAAGTATAAAGTTTTTATAGGCTTTATAATTACTATTAATAATTTTATAACTAGGTAAAAAACTTAAAATTAAAAAGTTTTTTATTTATAATATTTATAATAAGTTTATATGCTTTATTATTTTAAAGGGCTATACTAATATTAATAATATTAATTATATTTTTTTATATATATATAATTAGCCTATTATTATAATAATTTTTAGTAAGATTATTATTTAAAAAAAATAAATTTAATTTTTAAAAACTTAGGGGCTTAACCTACCCCTTTTAAAATAAATTTTTTTACCTTAATTAATATTATTTTAAGTAAAATACTTTTCTTAGGTGCCTTAGTAGCTTAATTAATATATTATAATTTTATTATAGCCTTAATAATATAAAATAATTATAAGGTGTTAATTACCCTTTTTAATAATAAGCTAATAACATGCCTAAAGGTATATATTATTTAATAAGCCCTTATTAAGTATATACTAGGCTTAATTATAACCATGGCTATTTTTAAGATTAATATTACTTATATAAGCTAGGCTATTATTTTTAATAATTTTTTTATTAAAAACCTTTTAATAATTAATAAAGTAATTAATATAATTTACTATATTCTAAATATTATTAATATATATATTTTTTAAAAGTAATATAATTATATAATATAAAAAGTACCTAGCACTATTTTAGTATATAATAATAATAAAATAAATATTATTAAGCTAATTTAAAATAAAGTTATGGCCTAAACTAAATTAAAGCTAGTTAGGCTTGCTTTTTTAAAATATAAGCTTAATTTTAATACTAGGCATACTACCTAGGTAGTATTTTTTTAAAATAGCCTAAAACCTTTACTTTATTAAATTAAAGTAAGTATTATTAATTTATTAAAAAATACTAGCTAGTTTCCTGGTATAACCCTAGCTATTAAAAATATTATTACCTAATATAATATAATTATATAATATATTATATATAATATAATATAATAATTATAAACTACCTAGGTTTTATTAGCCTTAATTATAAAAACCTTACATATTATATAAACTACCTAGGTTTATAATTAATAAAATATAATAATTACTTAATAACCCCTAGGTGTAAAAATAAAACCTTAATTTATTTATTTAAAAAAAAACTTAATAATATATATTATTATAATACTTATTAATATTAAAATATATATACTTAAGTTAATACTAATATTTAACTTTAAGTAAAAATTAAATAATTTTTATTTTAGGAAAACCCCTGGAAATATGCTATAAAGAAACTTAAGGTAAATAAATAAAATTTTATAATAATTACTAATTATTATACCCCGTGGTTTAATACTTTTATTAAAAACTAAAATTTTAAATAACTTTTTATTAAATTAATTTTACTTACCCTAGCTAGCGCGGGCATACCTTTTTTATTTTAGGTAATAAAAATTAATATTAAATCCTTTTTTAAGCTTTAATAATAAAGCACTAAAAAAGAAACCATGGTAATTATTACTAAAATAATATTTAATAATAATAGGATTTTATTATTTACTAGGTAAATATAAGTAAGTTTATACCTAATTATATTATAATTTTATAACTAGCCTATAAATAAAATTATAATATTACTTATATTTAAAAGCCCTAGACCACTATAAGTATAAAAACCTAAAACTACCTAATATATAAGTATTACGCGCTAGTAAATGCCTAAAATAACTATAAAAATTAATTAAAAAAGCACCTTAAAATACTTACCTATATTTATAAGGGGGGAGTATTATATACTAAATAATATTATTTAGTATAAAGCTAAAACATGTTATAGCTTATAATAAATAATATTAAGGTTTTAAATATATATTAAAAACTAATTATTTATAAAAATAATTAATTATTTAGTTATATTAATTTTTACCTTAAACTATATAATTAATAAGGATTTTAATATTACTTATAATATTTTTAAGCCTAAAATAAATAACCTATACTATGGTAGTAAGATTACTAAATAAGCTAGTAATAATAATATTAGCTATATTAATAAATTAAGTATAGTTATATATAAAGCTAGGCATGTTTTTAACCTAATTTTTTTAAATATTTTTTTATTTATCTACTAGTAATGCCCGAGCTATATAATAGCTTTAATTATTAAATTTTAATTATTATAGTGCTAGGGCACGGGAAGAAAATACTAAAATAATATTATTATAATATACTAAATTATAAGTTAAAACGCCTAGCTAAACTTATTAAAAATAAAATAATATTTTTACCCTAACTTAAAAAGCTTAAGGGTATAAAAGTATTAAATTAATATATTAAGTTTCTTAGTAATATTATTATAAAGGCTATATAAATTATAAATAAATACCCTAACCTAAAAAGCCGTGGTACTTCCTAATAGTTAAATAAGTATATAAAAAATTATTATACCTAAATAATAAACCCCACCCTAAAATAAAAAAAATAATTTTTAGTTATGGTTTATAAAACTAAGCACGCGTACTAAACTAAAATAATTAATAATATTAAAAATAATTAAAAGCTATATTAAATAATAGCTTAGTATAAATTAAAGCCTAGGCTTAAAGCTTTTTTATTACTAGCTAATAATAAGGTAATTAAAAATATATAAAAAAAGGCTAATATTTTATAAAAGGTAGTACTAAAGTAATTTAATATAAATAATAACTTAAATTTTAACCCCCTAGCACTAAAATACTAGTAAAAAAATAAGTACTTATACTAGTTAAAAAAAATCTTATTAAAAAGGTTAAAAAAATACTATTAGCGTGAGCAGCACCTTACCTAGTATAAACTAGGTAATTATTTATATTTTAAAGGCCTGTTAAAAGTATATTAAGTAGGTTATTTATAAATTATATAATTAATATTTATAATTAAAATACTTTTTTTTATTATAAAAGCTCGCGGAGGTAGTAATACTTTTAAAAAATAATAAAAAAAATAAGTTTTTACCTTAATTTTAGTGCCTTATAGCACTACTTTTAGTATTAAAAAAGGGACTTAAATAAATTATAGCGCGCCGTGTTATTTTTACTATATTAATATAAGGTATATTAAGCTTATAATAATATAGCATACTACTTAAGTGCTTAACTATAAATTTAATAGTTTTTTTTACTTATAATATTAAAATAGCGCTTTTATAAAACCAGGAGATTATTATAGTTATTATAAATATTTTAGGCGCCTTTAATATTATCTTATTATAATACTTGCTTTAATAAATAATAAAGTAAAAATAGCCTTGCGTGTTTTTAGCCTTAATTATAAATTTTTTTAATAAATAAAGTATAAAAATACGCCTAAAATTTATTATAATAATAATATACTTAATATATTATAGCATGCTATAAGGCTTGCCCCTTTTTTAATATTATTTTTATTATATATAATTAAATTATTATTAATAAACCTAATTTTATACTTTAATTATATAAATAATATTTACCTTAGCCATGCAAGTAACTTTTTTTATATAAACTTTAAACTTTTAATAAAAAGTATTTATAGTATACTAGCCTGGGGGAAATAAAATAAGATAGCTTTTATACCTAAAAAACTAAAAATATTATATATTACCCAAAAGTAGCACGGTAAATTACCCTTACTAGTAATTAATAATTAATTAATAATTATTTTTATTATTATAGTACTAGGCTAAAAATAGCCTATATTATACTAGCTAGGTGTTTTTTTAATAAATAACTTTTTTAATATTAATATATTATTAAGTAGGTAGTTAAAGCCTGTGTAATAACTTAATATATTTATAATTTAATATATATAGCACACGGTTTACTTATAAACTTTTTTTATAAAATAATTATTATTTATATTATTTTTGTCTTATTATATAATATAAAGGCGTGGTATAATAGTAAAATTAAACTTAAAAAATATATATAAAACTTAAAAGTTAGTGCCTAGCTAGGCTAATATATTAAAGTAATTAAAAAAACCCTAGTACTAGCTACTTATAGTATACTTTTAATTTTTTAAATAATATTTATAATAACCCTTTTTAAAAATGCTAGGCTTTTTTTTATAATAATAATATTAAAAAAAATATAATTATATTTTGCCCTAAGGCTAAGGCTACTTAATAATCAAAACTTATTAATAATATAAATAATATTATTAAAAATCTTATATAATTAAGGTGCTAGTTTACACTAAAAACTTAAAATAAAGGTGTAAATAATAAGTATACTTTTTTTAAAAACTTTTAGGCCGGTTTTAGCATATTCTTATTATTTTTAAAAATACTTAAAAAATTTTACTAGTAATAAGGCTAAAAAGCTAGCTATAAAAAAGTTTAAATAATAATAATAAGTATTATTAATAATAAAAATAGTAATTTTTAATAATAACTTAAAATAAATATACTAAAAAGTATATTATATAAGCTATAATTATATAATTTATTATAAATAATACCTTTAGGTATAGGGGTTATTAATAATTAGTACTTAATTTTATATATATAATATTAAAGCTATTAATATACTTTAAAAATTAAAAACTATAATTAAATAGCTTTTAAAAGCGCCTTGCTACTAGCTTTATATTAATAATATTTTAATAATTTAGTACGCGCGTGGGTAGCCCTTACTATTTTTAAATTAAGCTTTTTAAATATTATATTAACTTATAAATTAATATATAATTTACTTATAATAATCCCCTAGTTATATAAATATTAAAAAAATAAGCTAGTTAATAAGCTAGTTAATAAGGTAGCCTTTATAAAGGTATAACCCTTAAATATTAACTTTTTAAAGGCATAGCTTATAGTAAGTAAAGTATATAACTTATATAAGTAAATACACTATATTATTTAAGTTAAATAATAAAAAAAATATTTTTATAAAATTATTAACCTAGTATAAATAATAGCTTATTATAAAATTAAAGCTTTATTAAGTTAAATTATAACTTAAGCTTATATTAAAGTATCTAATTTTATATTACTAGCTAGTACTAAAATTATTCTATAATAATTTTAAATAATATTATAAATACTTTTAATATAAAAATATAAAGCTTACTTATTTTTATAAAATAAGTAAAAGCCTTAAACACCTAATTTTTTATTAATATATTAAAAAATAATTTTTATACTAGCCTTAGCGCTTAATAATACCCTTAATAAATAAGGCTAAAGCCTTAAAGTACCTTTATAAGCTAAAGCCTAAAAATTTTATATTTTTACTTAAAATTATAAACTTTTACTAATTTATTTACCCTTATTAAAAATTTTAATTTCTAGCTTTTTAAAAATACCTAGGCCTAGTGTTTAATAATTTTTTAACCCTTTTTTTTTTATTTTATTATATTTTTTTTTATTTTAAACACCTTTTTTTTATATAACTAGCCATAAAAATATATATATTTTTTTATAAAGGGGCTAGCCCCTATATTTTATAATATTTAAATATTAAATATATAAAAAATAATACCTGCTAATAGCTATATATAAAAATAATAAGTAAAAAATAAATATATTATTTATAAGCTTTAACAAAAGTTACCTTTTAAAATAAAAAGCCTTTTTATATATAAACTTATTTTTGCGCGTGGCCAAAACAAAGTGGAGGCCTAAGCGCATGATAATCGTAGGTCCCGGCTCCTAGTCACGTGAGCTTTATTAGGGATCATGTAAAACGGCAGAATAACGCTAATTAGCTAAAAAAAAGGTAATTACATGACCTTACTACACCGCTTAGGGTAAATAACGCTGATTAGCCAGAAAAAAGGGTGATTATATAACCTTTTCTTACCGCTTAAACTAAATAACACTAATTAGCTAGAAAAAAGGGTAATCACATGATCTTTTTTTACCGCGTTTTTTTATAAAAAGACTTTGGCGCTAAACTAGCCCCGCGCCAAGGCAGCGGCCAGTTACATAATGTATAGTGGCCTAAGGCCGCCTGATAAAGAAGCTTTGGCGCCGAACTAGCCCCGCGCCAAGGCGGCGGCCAGTTATATAACGCATAGTGGCCTAAGGCCGCCTGATAAAGAAACTTCGGCGGCGGCCAGTCACATAACGCTTAGTGGCCTAAGGCCGCCTAACAAAGAGACTTTGGCGCCGAACTAGCCCCGCGCCAAGGCGGCGGCCAGTTACATGACGCTTAGTGGCCTAAGGCCGCCCAACAAAGAGACTTCGGCGCCGAACTAGCCCCGCGCCAAGGCGGCGGCCAGTCACATAACGCATAGTGGCCTAAGGCCGCCTAACAAAGAGACTTCGGCGCCAAACTAGCCCCGCGCCAAGGCAGCGGCTAGTCACATAATGCATAGTGGCCTAAGGCCGCCTAATAAAGAAACTTTGGCACCAAACTAGCCGCGCCAAGGCGGCGGCCAGTTACATGACACATAAAACACTAAGTTTGACTTAGAACTCTGACTTAAAGAATTAGTAATTAGTTCTTACTATAAATACACAACGCCTCCTATTAAAGGCCTTATTTTATAAAGAAATAGAGCTACGCCCTATTTCCTAATTTAGCCAGGTTAGCCTTCCGCGCCACGCGCATTACTCCCGGCATTAAAGCCTGCGCCCCAAAAATGACGGGACCTACGTAAATAAGCTACTTACCTTATAATAGCACGCCCCCATACCCTAAGGAAGGTCTGGAACATTAGGCATACGCCTAGTAATCCCCGGGGCGTTAAATATCACTACTACTACTACTACTCGGTTCCCTCCTTGACCCCATATCAAGCGCAGTGCCACCAAGCAACGCATATCTTTAAGTATTCCGGGGCTATCGATTGAGGAATGGACAACCCAGTCTTACTGTGCCTTCTTTTCTGTCAAAAAAAAGGCCATCATGAAGCTACCGCAATAATATATTTTCTACACATTGGACCATCATGGAGATTGTGACGTCCGCACCTGGAGATTTGGACCGAGCAGAAGTAAAGCATATCAAGGCTCAACCGGATCTAGTAAAAAAGCCTCCTATATCTCGCCCTCCAGACCGCCGGCCCTTCGACCCTTACCGACCTACCGTTCGCTTTGGGAGATAGGGCCTCCAATGGCTTATGTTCCAGTATACTCAACTCGGCCTCGCGGGGGTTCTTCCAGGGACCAAGCGGGGCTTTGGTATGGTAGCCTGCGGCAGGAAAAGGAGGCGTAGCTCTAAAGCACCTGCGTACATCTAATTAATCCGCAACACCGTTGTCTGCGTTGGGTTCAGTGCAAAGACAGTGTAGTTTTGCATACAGAAGGAGAATCATCCTTGCGAGATTGGATGGGATCGTCTTGTCCTTTTGTCTCATGACCAAACCTAACTGTGATGRTCTCCGCGGGTCGGAGCTTCCAGTCCAAGTTATACTCTGTATTTCAAGGCCCGAGGGCGAATCAACAAAGGGAAAAGGGAAATACGGATAAAAGTAAAATGTAAGCAAAAGGAAGGAAAGAGAAGTAAAATAAAGTAAATAAAAACAACGGGAAAAGGAGAAGGAGAGCTTTGCTCAGATACCCCATGCCTCTCAGTGGATGATTTCCATCCCTTGACCACCCTGTATCTTTCTCTCTCATGCTAAGACTGGAAGAATGGTATGGTCAAGCCTCCCGAATGGCATAAGTCCGCCGATACACCTCGTCAATTTCCACCAAGTAGTATGTTCCCGGCAGCAAGGAAGCCACATCGCCAACAGGCGTGAAGCCGTTTTTCCCGTACGCTGCCATCCGCAGAGCACAGGCCTAGAGGCAATACTGTTAGCGAATCATCAAACTGAAGGTAAAGCTCACAGACGCTACCTCTTCATATTCCTCAGGGGTGGCAACGTGTCGCTCTGCCAGACGGTTCATGATATCGATTTTCTCGACCATCTGGGTGAGATCGCCATTAATCTTCAGGCAGAAGAGCGCACTCGCTGCACCACTTCCATACTGGTGTCCTTCTATGTTAGCCTTGCCTACACGCGGAGTCAAACTGATTCGAGTCAGGCTACTTACACTAAACATGCCAATGGTCTTGCCCGTCACGTTGCCAAGGTCGATATTGCTGATCAGGCTGATGAGCGAGCAGTACAAACTGCCCGTGTACATATTCCCGCAGAGAGACGGCGCGACGATACTAGGCTCAACGCGCTGCTTGAACTGGTTCTTTGTCATGGCGACCAGGGCTCTCTCGAGTGCTTTGCTTTTCAGGGACTCCTGGTACTCCAGTGCAAGAAAGTCCGAGTCGATTTCGCCGAGTTGGGTCCCGTCAGGATCATTGAGCAATCTGAGGAGATCGTTGTACTTAAGTCGGCCGTATGCCTTGCTTACCAGCTTGCAGTTCGGGGTGTGGAATGCCATGTAGTCGAATAGGTCGAGGACATTGTTCGGCGGACCTCGACTACCACCTGCAACCTCGTCCCTCGCGGCCGAGGCCGACGCCCGATGCAAGAGGTCCTTGTAGCACCCATCTAGAGCGCGAAGATAACAGACAATCGACTCATGGCCCTTGACAATCGGGAATTCAACGCGGGGGTCCGGCTTATAGAAATCGTACGTGTTGGTCATGTATACACCACGCAGGTCGGGCTCAAGGACAAGCAGGGCCTCCGGACCGATCAGCATCGCAACGGCACCGGCGCCACCAGTCGGTCGGGTCGAAGGCTCCTTGTACAGGGCTATATCTGACATGACAACAATAGCGTCTCTGCCGTCCCACGAGCGAGACTCGACCCAATTGACGGCGTTGAAGAGGGCGTTGGTCCCGCCATAGCACGCGTGGATTGTGTCTGCGCCCTCTAAGCTCGTGTTGCCAGCGGGCTCGAAAAGAGTCGTGAGAACGGATTTGATTGATTTGGCCTTGTCGATCGGGGACTCGGTGCCGACTTCCAGGCGGCCGATGGATGTGGGATTGATTGAGAATTTGCGGAGTAGCGATGATACGGCGGTTAGGGCTAGGGAGCAGACGTCTAATGATGGATGGTTAACACACTCTACATAACAGCCTCAGAGCCTATCTGCAGTAGAACGTACCTTCTCTATCGGTGCAGAAGTTCATGCATTGCAGACCTAGCCCGACGGTGTATTTGCCGGATGAAACACCTTGGTGTTTCTCAAACAGCTTCTGATCCAGGCACTTTGGAAGTCAGGGATCAAAGTTCGCTTGTGGGCGACGTCTGGAGTTTGAGACTGGTGACGTTACCTGTGCCGGCACATAGATCTCCATAGCCTTGATTCCGACATTCTCCGGGTACTTCATGGTGAGACCGTTGCGGAGGTTGCACGTCCTGGTCAGAACGAAGGGGAGAAGCAAGGAAGAGTTGAACGGCGAGGGCAATCTATGGCTTAAGTATATATATTAGATAAAGCGATCCTAGTAAAGTTATAGACTTAAGTTTACCAGCGTACATTGTATACTAAGTAATAAACTGCTCTTTAATTAGACTTAAGGTTTGCTATTAAAAGGTACTGAATCTTTTTGTATTATAGGCGAAACAATAATTAAGATGGAGGAATAGCAAATACGAAACATATATTTGGAAAAAAAAAAAAAAAAAAAAAAAAACAACAACAGGGGTTGGACTGTCTCTACAGCTTTCATTGGACTATACCTTACTAGAACCTCAGGTAGTGTCGTTGACCACTGTTACTGCTCTTCTAAACTATGGAGGGGAAAGTGGGCTCACCAGAGGAGCCAATAATCTTGACTCGAGAGCTGATTCAAAGACTGCATCTGACACAGAGTGTGAATCATAAAGCTAGTTATAGCGCGAAGGAGGCGACAGACAGCACTGCATACGGGCTACCGATGGACTTGGTCACAGCATCCGAGGGCAATGATCCCATCGGTAGCCCGTATGCAGCCCTTGCTGTCTGTGGCCTCACAGCCTAGGCCGTTCATTCGAACTGCACCTGCATGACGATTATCATTTCCATTTGCAGGCAATGCGAGACTTCTTGACCGGTGCGTCAAAGGTGACGCGCATATATATAGTGTTGCACCTAGGCCACTCACGATCGAGTGCTTATTGGATACTGTTGGGTTAGGGAACCATCCGATAGGTCCACGGGTCCAAATGGCTGGCTAGGATGGCAGACCGGGTAGCTAAGAGGTAGCTAAGAGGTAGCTCGTTTATATATCAGCATTCAGATGGACCAAGTGAGAACGATGCCTGTGCAGCGGAGTTGGAGTCGATCTCTGTCTCTTCGAATTGCTCGAGTTATTTCCTTGCAACTATATACATCCACCTCCTCATTTTCTGACGAGACAACTCTCGTTTATATCTACGATGGATATCTCCCCGCGAGGGCTATGGTTGTCTCACTGCCTCTCCAAGAACACCACCTTACTCCCATACTCCGTAGCAAACGTATACTGCAGCCCCAGATTCATAAGCGTCGCACCGCTATACGTCCCCTCCCCATCAACAGCATATCTCGCCTCCGGCTCAAGTCCCTGAAGTCTCACCCAAGGCGCCGCATGATTAACATTTGGCGCCAGCTGGAAGTAAAACAGAACCGCCTGGCTCCCGTCCTCAGCAACAAACAACGCAGCGGGCCACTGACTATCCTCGGGAAGTCGCAGGCGATACAGATCCCCGTTCAGAACCAACGGGTTGACCTTCTCCGCCAGCGCAATGAGTTCCGGCACGGCAGGCTCATCCTGGATCGTACCGGGATCAAGCTCCAGACCAAATGATCCGCCCATCATCGCAACGTGTGCTCGGAACTCGAGAGGGACAGTGCGGCCAGTCTGGTGATTCGGCACAGCGGACAGATGCGCACCCATAGCGGACGGCGGGTACGCAAGGCTTGTGCCGAACTGGATGCCCACGCGATCCACGCCGTCTGTGTTATCGCTCGTCCAGATCTGCGGGAAGTACTGCAGGACGCCTGGGTCGAAGCGGCCGCCGCCGCTGGCGCATCCTTCCCAAAGGACGTCGGGGAAGCGGGTTGTTAGTGTATCAAACACTCTATAGAGGCCGAGCATGTAGAGGTGGTTGTTTGATGGTGAGGGCTGCTCGTGCATGCCGCGGTTGTTGTCCCACTTGATGTAGCTGATGTCCGCGGAGTTGAGCAGATTCGTCATGAAGTCGATGATGAAGTCTTGCACTTCCGTGAGCGCAAGATTCAGGACGAGCTGGTTGCGGCGTTCGGTCCGTGGGTATGGACCTGCATGGAGGGCCCAGTCTGGGTGCGAGCGGTAGAGAGACGAGTTCGGGTTGACCATCTCGGGCTCGACCCAGATGCCGAAGCGGAGGTTCTTGTCGGACGATGTATTATTGACAGTTATGTTCGTGATATCTTCGACGACGGGCTCAAGGCCATTCGGGAACTTGGCTGGATTCGCCGTCCAGTCTCCTAGTCCCGCATTGTCCGAGTTCCTGGGGTACTTGTCACCGAACCACCCGTCGTCCATCACAAAGAGACTGATCCCCAGGGCAGCAGATTGCTCAGCGAGCGTCTTGATGGTACTCCTGTTGAAGTCGAAGTAGACGCCTTCCCAGGAGTTCAGGAGGGGCGGACGATCGCTCGTCGCGAATTTACTCTTGATCAGGTGCTTGCGGTAGAGACGGTGGAACTTGCGAGACATCCCGCCGATGCCGGTGTTGCTGTAGATTGAGACGGCTTCGGGGGAGGTCAATGTCTCGCCGGGGCCTAGGTTCTAGGAGAGCTGGTCGGGGTTGAAGCTGATCAGGGCGCGGGTTAGACCCTGTGAGCCCTTCTTGACTTGGGCGCTGAAGGAGCCCGTGTAGATCAGGTTGAAGCCCCATGCTTTGCCTTGGGATTCGGTTGTTGAGGGGTGGACGAGGGCCAGGAAGGGGTTGTGCAGGTGCGAGGAGTAGCCGGTGTTGCTGCCGAAGCTATTGCCTTGTGAGCACCTATATAAACTAGGAGCTGGAAATAAATGAGACTTACCCCTGCACGCCATATTCCACTCTCCTCCTCTCACGATTTGCTTCTCTCGCCCAGTCCCCCCTCAGACTAATAAGATCCAACTCTTCAAGCGGAAAGTCCACACTAAGACTGGCCAACGCCTCAACAGTAATATTCCCCTCTCCCTGGTTCGTAACATTCACACTGCGCACAACGGCATCAAACTCGGGAAACACACTGTACGACAAATCCGCAGCAACAGAGCTGTAATTGTCATACAGATGGACGACGAGCGTACTCACATCCCCGCTCTCGCCAAACGTCGCAGGCAGACCCGGCAGACCCGGTTTACCCTCAATAACCTCGTGGCTCTGGTACTGCAAGTCGCTGACGGTGTATCCGGCCGTCTGGCGGATGCGCACAGCAGGGATGCGGAAATCGCCGCGTCCCTGGTCGGGGAATTCACGGCGGATTCGACCGGGCATGCCGACCCAGCCATTGACGGCGGGTTCTCTAGGGGATGGAATGCCGCCGCTGATGCTCCCGCCGTAGTGGTCGGTTACGAGGTCGCCGGTGGTGGTGTTTGCATGGAAGACGTAGGACATGGAGGCGCCATTGAGGGAGAAGGTCGTGCCGTCGACGACGATTGCTGGTGATGTCAGTTTCCACCCCGGCAAAGCTATCGGGTCTCTCATGGGATCAATATGTAGACAAACCATTGGAACTAGACGAGTCCGTATCCTGCGCAATACTTTGATGGGAGAGCATCATCAAACCCGCTGCCATAGCAGCCGTCGAGCGCACCATTTCGGTTAGAGAAGATTGAGGTGGAATTGACAACGCAACTGAGCTCCTGGGCGGGGAAGTGACCTCAGGAGTATTTATTTACTCCGGCATTCATGGCCTGACCGGAGGACCTCCGTACCGGACAAATATCGGGGGAATCCCCTCTCCAGCCTCCCCCACAATGGGCTTGGATCCCCCCGCCCGGACCCCAATTGCGGTGATGATCAACGGTCTGTGCCACCTTGGCAGCTCCTAAACAGGGAGGTACATAGAGGAATGAGGTCATATGCTGTCTATTGTTGCCGGAGGAGTATGCCAAGATTGCATGATTCATCACCTAGGTAGTGTAGTCTAGAGCAATTAAGTAGTCTCGTTGTACTGTTACGTGGGCATACGTGGAAAAGAAGCAAGGCGTATGACTACCTGCCGATATACCGCTTCCTAAGGTGCGAAGAAACCATCGACATCTGACCTCCCATTGATATCCTTCGTGCAAATGCTCAAAGACGCTGATGTTGATTGGCCCTCCTCAGGGACAAACCATCATTCTATCTCAAAGGTATGGCAGCGCGATCAGTGTGCGCAACGCATACCCTTGACAGATTGGGGAAGGATGCTGCTGCCGCTACGGTGACAGTCCAGCGGCACTTTAGAACATGATGCAGTTGGCAATCGAAGTCATCATGACCACTCGGGCCCAGACGGAGCTCGTGCACTAGTAGAATGTCAACCTGGCTGTGACAAGTCACATGTTAGGTCGAAAGACATACTGGCACCGGTCTTGGTTAATGGAATGCGACACCCTGGAAAAACTGTGTAGCGGCAACAGGTGGCGGACGGGAATAAACGCAGCTCCAATTTACTGCTTTGGGTCACAGTGCTACCAGCTGATGGTCAGGTTTGGTGCAGTGGAGGGGGGAATTGATATGTTCAGCGGCGTACAAGTACATGATGTGATCCCACCAGAGACAGTCAGGACTTAGCAAAGACCTTGGTGTTCTTTGTTCGTCCTTGCCATCAACTGTAACAGCAACAAACGTGGGCTCGTCGAAATCTATCTAGAACTGTTAGGGTAGTATTCCTAGAAACTTCAATCGGCCTGGGCAACTTGCATTTGTTTTCGTATGGTGAAAAGAAAGCCCCAACTGCGTAGCCTGTTGATCAATATGGCCAAGATTACTGAGGAATACTGGAAAGCCTACCCTCGACTTGGATGCGCGCTTGGTACATTGTAAGCGGCTGCCCGATACCGCTTTGCTCATCACGTACTACCAGCCTTGCGTCTCTGTATTTGTTCGTATCTGGATGGTTCCACCCCACCACATCCACGAGTTTGTCGTACCATGCTAAGGCCATGTCAAACTTCTTGTCTTCGCGATAGGCCATGGCAAGGCTTTCCATGGCACTGAGTGTGGCCAAATCATTTTCACCTAATACAGAACACCGTAAACTGACCACTTCATAATATATTAACTGTGCCTGCTCAAAGTTGCTTCCTGCGCGATAGACTCCGGCTAACTGTGCCAGTGCGTTTATCGTCTCTTGGTGGGTGTTGCCCAGAGTTCCGCGGAGAGTGGTGACAAGACGGTTTGAGTAGAACTCTGCCCTGTAATAGTCCCTTATGTCCAGAGCGTGTGCCAAATCTTCCTCTAGATTGTCTAGATTCTCGATCGTTAAGTCCATCTCAACCGCGACTCCCGAGGGCTGGATTCGACTGCCATCCTTCATGATGGCACGGTTAGCGACGAAAGCCTGAGAAGCAGCGCCAATCTCTGAGTCTGTCGTGGGGGTAGCTGGCGAGTCCGAACGCTCGTGATAGTCGTCCGCATCATCATAACTGCTTGCCCACGAATTCGCTATTGTGAGACTAGCCATTGATGAGGTAACAGGCAAATCGACGCTCACATCGGAACTGTACATGATCAGTTGGCCTGCGGAACAACATTGCGATGTCTCGGCCTACCAGCTTGGAGCAACCAACTTCCCTGACACCCAGCGATGAGCTAGGACACCCTCTATGCCTAACCGTCGCCCTGGAAGGTCGGCCATTGTGCCTAGGACAAAGTCCGTAAAGAAGTAGCTGGAGGAACCGATCGGCTCGATCGGAAACCGCGATCGGTAGTCCTGAGCCTCGGGATTTCCAGCATAACTCAGCACCTGCTTGGTGTTGCGGAATGGTGGGTGGCCTGCGCGTAGGCAGTACGCGACCGCACCAAGAGCCCATATGTCAACAGCCGCGTCGTATGGTACACTGTCGTCGTGCAACTCCGGTGCCATGTATCCCGGGGTTCCAACATTATACGTGGCTTTCCCGGAAATGTCGGTCGTCTTGCTGATGCCGAAATCCGCCAGCTTGACGTGCCAGTACTGGCCCGGGGAGGATACTAGGATGTTATTTACACATCAGCATGCGCTCGAAGGCTAGTGACCAGGAGAATACCAGAGGTTTAACATCCCGATGGATGAATTCCTTCTCGTGCATATACAGCAGGGCCTGGGCTACTTGCGCCACTATTAACGCGGCTTCGGGCTCGGGGAAGGGCTCGGTGATGTATTGTTGCAGGTCACCATGCTGGATGAATTCCATCGCGATGTAGAAACTTTGGGCGTCCTCAAACCATCCAAGGAACTGGACAAAATGTCGCTTGTACTTCTCCCGGGTCAGTGACAGCCAGAAGCCAGACGGTGCGCGCTTACGTTCAAGTCGGCGGGATCTGAGAATGTGACAAGCGCATTGAGCTCCCGTTCTGAAAGCTCGAGGAATCTTGCCTGCCGTTTATGAAGGTGCTTCACAGCCCGAACCGCCCCCTTTGACGGCCCGGAGATGCAGCTTTCCTGCCAAACGCTGCCGAAAGAACCTTCTCCGACCGTTCGTATCGCGCGCCAGCACTCCTTATCTGAGCCCAGCCCATGGTGTCTGTCTCCGGTGGAATCGAAAGTGGTCTCTAGTCTCCTCTCAGGTAAGAGGCTCGTCCTGACGGATGCTTCCTGCATTGCTAATTATTGTGGGTGCTCGAAGAGTCAGCGAGGATGTCAGACGGTTCAGTTGCCCACCAAGGTGAGAAAGACAAGATGCGGGGTTTCGAGTCGGACGGAGAGTTGGAAGGAAAGAACTAGCGACGAGGCATTGGGTGTGGCTGGCTGGAAAAGTCGTCTCGCCTGAAGGGTTGGTTGTACGAGGTAGACGTGGCTGTTCCCTGTTGCAGCCATGCTGGGTTGAAGCCTTCTCGTATTACGAGATGGAAGTTCGGTCAAGGAGGAGCGAGAGTGAGAGAGAAGGTCAATTGTGAAGTACCAACTATCGGAAAGAGAAGGAAGATGGGAATGTCTTCAGTGCTGTCCGGATGAGGAAGGCGCCACCCTCGCCAGCCAGCCTGGCCAGGCCACCCTCCCATCTCCTTCCCTCACACACAAATCTTGTCAAGAGTCTTCAAGACTACTTCTACAAACTGCACAGCGACATGACCTTCCCCTTGTTCCTCTGGCCCACCGAAACTATCATTGTCGTCATCCAAGCATGTCAGACACGCCGCCACCACCTGCGAGTACCTGTCCCCCATCCGCGGCGCCAGCCTCGTCTTTGCCTGCTCGACCAAGTACTCCTTCAGCCCGGTCGCGACCGCATCAAATGACGGTGCCAACTTTTGACGCTGACACCAAGCTCCAAAGTCGTTGTACGTCTTTCCAAATTTTGCACGAGAAGCACCGCCAGTACCTTGCGTGTCCTCGTATTCGACAAAGGACTCCCAGAGACCTATTTCGAGAAGGCACACACCCAGGCTGTAGATATCATGATACATCTTGTACTTCTGGGACGGGTCCGCACCCTGACGACTCGGGTGCCGATAGACATTGCCAGCCCAACTCATATCGCCTCCCATCAACGACCCGGCATCCACCGCACGGAACGCGTCGAAGCCGACAAGGAAGGAGTGGCTACGAGTTCCCGTTCCTTCCGGGACTTCGCAACACAGGACGGACTCGGGTCGAATGTTCTTATGCACAAAGGCAAGGGTGTGCACATAGTGGACCGCCTTACTGAGCTCGCGCGCCATGTGCACCTTTCGAGACAGCGACATCTGAGCATCAGAATTCAGCAACAGCTGTCGAAGGGACTGTAAGTCCTCCAATTGGATGCCGTCTGGTATGCGAAAAATGATCTGAAAGTGCGTATAATCATTCTGGCCCGGCCCTGGCGACCGCGACCGGGCCCGAGACGGAGGAGCAGGGGCTGTCAGTTCTGCGTTCTGTGCGGCAGGCTGAGAAACAGGCTGCTGCCTCAACGGAATGGCGCCTTTACAATTCAGTAGACCAAACGCCAGCGGATCTGCCTGGGCCAACTTCGCAGCAAGGACTCGCACGTCCTGGGCAACATCGCGGACTCGAGCGGCCTCCCCAACCTCGATCGTATCGACAATATACCACCTAGCCTCCTGGGGTCTACGCCCTCCCTTTGCCTCGGAAAACGGTATATCCATCCATTCCATGTCCGACGACGGAAGAAAGACCGATTTCATCTGCTCGGTGGTCGGGGACTGCACCTTTCGTACCCTCTCGGCCAGCGCAAGCGGATTCCTGGCAGCTGTAGGAACGCCCTGAATCTTGGGCTCCGCGGCCGCTGCCTTTGCAAGTTCAACATCGACAAGTGGGCTTGCAAGCTTGATAACAAGGAACCAAGTCGGGTCGTATCGCCGTTGCCACTCCTCCAGGTCGCATATGACACTGTCGAGTGCCTCCTTCTCCCAAACCCAGGCTGCCTTAGCCCTGAACCGGAACCGGAAGACATTCGGTTTCGACGTTGAGGCTCGCTGGATGACATTTTGCAGAGTGCTCGCTGCCTCCGATAATTTGTGAAAGAGCTCCCTCAGGATCTCGTCCATCATTTGCGACAGTTCGGCGCCCATGAGAGACGTGATGTTCCCGACTAGCTTCACCTGCAGCTGTGTCTTGTGCCAGCAGGCCTCGACTGCAATCACTCGGCTTTGCACTTCCGTTGCCGCATTCTTCCAGGCTGAACATATTTCGATGACCTTAACGCCGGCTCTAGACAAGATTAGCACTCGGTCTCTCACTTGGCCGCGGCGCTTCGCCTACAAGTAGCAGGTCTGGACGAGACCAATTATGGTAACTGGATCCATCTTGATCGTGCTACTCCTTGCTTGTGTCTGTCTGGGTAGGAGGGCACATTCTCTGACTCCAGGCAAGGCTGGCCTCACACGAGAGGGGTAGCATGCTCTCAACAAATTGGGACATAAACGGCGATAGGCTGGCGATGTTTGTCCTCCCTTTCAGCTATTGGCGATCCATTCCAAGGATCATCCATACCTACTGCTTCTAGGGACAAGGGTCTTTCCGTCGAGGAGCAGCTTGCCGAGTTGATCCAGCCTATCACCTCAATCGCCCTGACGCGGGCTTGTTCACTTTCTCGTAGGTATTTCGTGGCGTGATAAGCTCTTATCTGGTCTATATGGTCTACTACCGAGTACCCTTGATTATCAATGTACGGCTTCTTTCTTTTGTAAACTAAAAGGATTTCGGGCACCAGAAGGCGATGAACTGGAGATTGTTCGGTGGAGGTACGAACGGGGCTCTTTTGGCCAGCGGTATCCTCTTTGGCGTCAATCGAACACGAGGCCCTGCACAGCTGCCGCGACAGGAAACTCCGGATTCCATTTTCAACCATACCCTTCGGGAGCCGAGACTCCAAGGGCGGCACTTCGAGTTTGGAATCACTGGAGCCGTACCCAATATCCGGGTTTGCACAACCAGCTTCGGCCGGAAGTACGCATGTAAACTCTAGTCAGATTCAGGGCCAGGATGAGGTAGCACAGCCGGGAGGAAGAGACTCGTGGCCCGATGGTGGTCAAGCATGCCCCGCGTCCGGGATTATCCTGAGTTGGCGTCTGGGTGTACGGAGTATAGGTGGATTTATGGATACTGCCGATGCAGGGGGGGAGCTGACCAGGGTGTCAGCTATCCCGGTGTGAAGCAACAACATTGAATTGCTTTGACTGGTCGTATTAACCCCGAGCTCACTGACGTTCCCTTGCTCAATCAAGTCACTTTATTCAGCAGTTAGTGCCCTTTGCAACCTGAATCACCGAGCATCATTTTTAAGCGTGTGATATTATATCAACAGTTTAGGGCCCGCGTCCAAATCTAGCATTGGCACATCTTGTTGACCTAGTGTCCACCTGTCGATACTTCAGCGTATGTCGTGACTGCTAGCAAGCTTATTGAGTCTTGGCAAATAGAGGTCAGAAATATATTTTGACGGCACGTCTGGATGGAGCTAGCTGGGCGGCAGAACAATCAACCACAACCGCGCCTCGAGACTGGTTACCTTGCTATCTAAATGCATATTCCTAGTACAGGGCGAACCCTAGTGTCAAGGATTGATGGTCCTGTCCTGGAGAAAGGTGGGAGGGACCTACCTCCACCTCCATAGACGTGGGAGCAGAAACGGACGGAAGGAACCGGTGAGATCCTTCGAATACCCACGGAACAAAATTGGGGTAACTACAGGCACTGCCTGGACCAGATACTAAGCGAAGTTACATGTTCTATTTGCATCGAGCGAGTTTTCAATGGCATCACAGGACAGTTACAGGCGAGGGCGATGTACTACTTCCCCGGTTTAGTACAAATAGGCGACCTCCAAAGAGAAGAGTTAAGAATCAGTCAATGTTTATGAAGGCACTCCATTCTTCTGGAATAAGATCCGTCATGACCCGAGATCGGAGTTTCCGGAGTTGCATGCAGCATGCAGGTGCATGGGTCCACCATTCGTCAGGAATTCTCAATTCTCACGTCAGCCCTAGGACTGGCTGCAGATCTCTCGATTATCTGACTCCATGATAGGTCGCTATGTATGTACGTGAAACATGCAGGAAATCGCCATTGTTGAAATGCCCCCGCGAATCCATGCTGGTGCTGGTAGCCTCTCGGACTCGATCAATCCCTCAGGATCCCGATCCCCGCTTCCTCAGCCAAGGTGCAGCCGCAGTCGCAGTCAAAGAATCCCATCGCCCCTTGGCATTGGCATGCAGCCTGACGAAAATCGCCCCTCCTGACGAAAATCACTCTTTCTTCTCAATTTCAGCCCCTTTCGGCTCCCACCCGGGCTCCGCCATCTCAAACCCCTCAAACTCAAACGCAGGCGAAACCGAGCATCCGACCAGCGTCCACTCCCCCAGACTCAGCGCATGCTGCCACTCACCTCTCTCAACGACAATCTGCGGCCTCTGACCAGCCCAGATATCAGGCCCAAGAACCTGGTCGCGGACGGGGGTGCCGTCGTCCCATGATAGAGAAAGTTGCAGCGGCGCACCCGCGTAGTAGTGCCAGACCTCGACGGCGTCGAGGACGCGGTGCCAGTGGCTTAACCCCTGCTCGCCCTCGAGGAGGTAGTAGATGTTTGTGGAGGGGGAGCGGGAGCGGTTGGTGGTGTTGTCGGTGAAGTTGTGCGGGTCGCGGTAGGTTTCGACGTAGAAGCCCTTTTCGGGGTGTGGGGTGAGGTTGAGCGCGCTGATGACGTCTTGCGCTGTGTGGTTGAGGGTGAGGGAGAGGGCCATTGTGGTGGTGTGTTGCTTGCGGATGGTTGGACGGGGGAGATGCTGTTGGTAGGTTGTAGGGCAGCTCAGTCGGGTTTCGGGGCTGGTGTCCGGAAGAGATGACGGCAGGGAGGGGAGTCTTTGTTCTTATGTGTTGTGTTGTGTTTGAGAGGGAAGAGCGAGCTGGAGATGATGATTAATGTTGTACACATCGTGTCACGTGGGCGCTAAACCCTTTTTGCTCTGCAGTGTTGATGCCGTGTCACTCACTCTGCAGTCCTGTAGGATAAACTAGGGCTAACTGCCAAGTCCGCCATGCTCCCTATCCACCAGTAGCCACCCCCCTCTACGCGCCCGAAGCACTCTCCCACTGCCAGGCAAGCGAAAGCGACACCTCCGATCCCCTCCCGTCCCTACAGCCCCGGCCCCAGCCCGGCCCCCGCTTGTCACTGTCGCCTCTTCTTCTTCACGAGCGCAGTAACGTACCCAAGCAGTCGAGATAAGGCAAATTGCTGGCCCCTTCGCAAGGATTAGACGCAGCTGTTTCCTCCAATAAGGCCCATAGATAAGAATAACCAGATGCAACGCCGCCTGCAAATCCCGCCGTGCTGCCCATTTATCCTATTCCTTCCCCTCAGCCTCGCCTCTCCACTTCCCTCGCCTTGCCTTACCTCACCTCCACCATGCCGCTCCCCGAAATTTAACCCGAGACCCTGAGATCCCTCCGATTCTCCGCAACCTCGGACCATTCGATATAGGCTCAAGCAAGATGGTCGAATTCAACGACGTCCGCACCGACCTCCCCATGTCCATGGCCATGGCCGCCTTCACGGGCGTATCGTGGTGTCTCGGCGTCGAAGTCATCCTGTCGCTGTTCATGGTGTTTAAACGGCGGCGCGGCCTGTATTTCTGGTCGTGTGCGCTCGGTGCACTCGGCGTCATCCTGCAGCCGCTGTTCATCATCCTCGCGGATTTCCGCGTCTGGACTGACCCGGTCCCCTCCATCGTCATGATCTATCTAACGTGGTTCATCCTCGTCGTCCCGCAGAGCTGGGTGCTGTACTCGAGATTGCACCTGCTCATGTCCTCGGCGAGGACCTTACGCGGGATCAAGTGGGTGCTTGTCGTTACGAGCATTGGGTTCTCCGTGCCGACGATTGTGCTGGGGACTGTTGCGGTGCGTTGCCCCTCATTCCAATCCATTCCCCAACTTCCTTGGCTATATAAGTGCAGTCGCTGACGCTCATCGCGACAGCAAACCCGCCCCCGCCTCAACAGCCACCTCACCTCGGTAAACATCACCTGGGACCGCGTGCAACTGGTCGTGTTCTTCGTGCAAGAGACCGCGCTGTCCATAATGTACATCTTCAAAACGCGCAAGTTCCTCCGCGGCCGCTCGACGCTGCGCTGGTCGATTCCTGAGCCGAACGCGCTCCACACAATCCCATCTACCTCCGGCCTCCCAATTCCAACACACGCGCAGCACTCGCATTCGCATCCGCACCACACCCTCTCCGCCTCGCAAGCCATGAAAAACGAAGAGAAGGCCGTGCTGTGGCAACTCATCTACGCAAACACCCTGATCATCGCGCTGGACGTCACGCTCCTCGGAATCCAGAGCGCCGGTCCAAGATTGTTTCATCTCCAGGGCGCGTTCAAGCCGTGCGTGTACGGGATAAAGCTGAAGCTGGAATTTGTGATTCTTAATAAGCTACGGGATATCGCGACGAGGCCTGTTGGGGGCGCTGTCGGACACTGGAACGTGGATGCAGATGCGGCGTATGGCGGGAGTAGTGGGAGTTCGAACTCGCATGACCATCCGAGAGGACATGGACGGGGACAGAGGAATAGTGCCGGCTCTGCGATCGGGCATCTCGCGCCCAAGGCGTGGAGGGGGAGTTATCGGGGCGAGGGGAGTGATGAGGTGCAGCTTGTTGTGAGGGCGGAGCAGGTGCAGTAGGATTTCTTTTATTATTATTTTTTTTTCTCTGTTCTTTACGTAGCGTATACCCCCATCCCATGTTTTGTATAATGAAACCCATCCAATGTCGCTGAAATTGAAAGCACGATCTTCCGAGCTGAGCTGCCTACATCTCCCTACCTCGGGTGCGTCTAGACCCCAACCACAATCTCCGTCAAGACAAGCCCAGGAGCAACAAGCAAGCAAAGGATGATTAGTGTTACGAGGTATAAATGAACTACTATAGAGGACCGGAAATAGGTCCATTGCATCCGGACCTGAACTGAGTCAACTGGAATACAGAGACACGCAATAGTCCAAACACGCAATAATCCAGTGCGTAAGGCTGATAATACCTCGTGCACTTAACTGGACTGCGAGACTGGTCGAGGTCCCTCGATTCGAACCTCACCCGCCCAGCGAGAACAGGACCCCTATCTAATCCCAGGCCGCACCGCATCAGAACTCATGACTCGTTATCTTTCCATTCAGTCGGGACCAGCTTCTAGAGTCGCTCTTCATCTGCCGTGTAACATCCACTTAGATCATGGAGGAGATACGGAGTATGCTGTGCAGGGTATCTTCCGAAACTCTGGATGGTTACATCGCATTGACGAATGCATGAATAAGATGCATGTAAGAGTTTAGCTCCGGCCAGCAGCGGTATCTCGTCCGTGTCCGTGCCCGGCGAGGCTGGACTGCGTTAGACTATTATTGTCCTTGTCCGGATCAGGGCCCAGACCTACCAATGCAATTGATCCTGATAATCCCAGCCAGCCTATCATTCCATGCTCCTAACCAAAAGCAGCTTCTTGTGGCTAATCCTTCATTGGCCACTACCCCCATGCTTGGCTTTTCTGCGGGATGGGCGGCTCAACCCCGGTTACTTTGACGGCATCTAGTGGATCCACGAGGACAAGGCTATTTTTGCGCACTGATCGGCGGTCAGCAGACTGCCAGTGACAGCTTGTTGGCTAGCATATAATTGCTTGTTCTGGGCCTCGATTTGGTCGTCGTTGCGAGGTGCGTTAGGGCTCGGCTTGGGTCGACTCGGCTTTCGGTGTATCCTGGCGCGAAGGGAAGCAGGGCCTTCTTCAGCCTTGTGCAGGTGGGACGATGATTATGCAGGTGTGGATGCAGAGTCACTGACAGTGAGGAAGTGGAGGGACAAGGTTTGTGCTTTTTCTTTTGTTTTTGGCGTGCTGCTTAGGTACTCTGCCAGTTTGAAGTCCCCAAGTAAGAGTGTAAGGTACCTACGAAAACACTGAATGCCGCCACGAAGACCCATTGTTCCCACATGGTGGTCTAAAAGAGAAGGCAACAGGGCTATGTCCTAAAGGCTTGATATGGGTTTTGTAATGTTCAAGTCTAAATTTGTGCCAGCGCCTGCCCCGAGATACTGGGGCTCCTACAGGATTAAGCTCTGAAACCAAAGTTAGGTTGTTAGTTGTACTAAGTATACTGACTAAGAATACCCTAATTACCTGTATACAACGAGATAATTAGGGGTAATTAGCTAACACTCTTGACAGTCACATGTCGTGTCAGGCTGCCTGGTGCGCTGCCCGACCCCACCCCCCAGGCTGTCACCGATCCACCTTACGGGTTGTTTGATACAAGCAGCTTTTGTCTTGGGACGTGGACTCGCCAGTCATTTCGGCAGAGTGTATACTTCCCGTGTGCCTTTCGGCGCCGACAAACATTATCCTCCGGTACAGTCATATAGCATGATTCCCTTCACAGCCATAGTCCCAAAGCCAAGTAAGATAGCACTAACCCGAACACTTCACCGCAGCAATATTTCTCAACGGTGATGTCTGCCGCGCCATCAACATGGGTGTGCAAGCCAACCTCAATCAAATACTCGAAAACAACAAACAGCTGGAGGATGACAACAAGAGAATCAGAGCCCTTGCCTTTCAACATGAAGAAGACCGTGCCCGAAGCGTGGAAGCCGAAGTCCAGAGGCGTTTGAGATCGACGACAGAGAAGCTCAACAGCGAGATTCAAGATCTACGAGCCCAGCTAGACAGGAGTAACGAGCGTGCGAGAAGCGCGGAAGCCGAAGTGCAGAGGACTGAGGAGGATCGCAAGGAGCTTCAAGATCTTCGAGCACAACTAGCCACAGGCGATGAGCGTATCCGGAGCGTGGAAGTTGAAGCTCAGAGCCGTCTCAGAGCAAGTGAAGAGAAATTCAACAATGAGGTTCAGGGCCTTCGAGCGCAGTTAGCCACAATGCGGAACAATGTAGCGGTTTTGAAATACGAGCGTGATCGCTTAAGCAGAGAGTTGGAAATCGCCGAACGGAATCTGGGCCAGAGGCACGATGACCATGCGAAGGTCGAGACCCTCGAACCACTCGTTGAAAAGCAGTGTGGTGAAATCGCACGTCTGGGGAAAGAGATTCGGGTTCTCGAGAAAGATGTCCTTGACCGGAAAGAACAGATTGGAATGAAAGATCAGGAGCTTAAGATAATTCGAATCGGACTTGCGAATGCGAATGCAGAGAAAAGTCAGATCCAGGCTGCGCTTGAGGATGTTATCCAGAATGCACAACGCACAGCAGAGGCCAACCAGGCGCTTACTCAGGCACAAATAGATGGCGAAAGAGGAAGGATCAAGGCAGAGAAAAGGAAGGACGAGCTGAAGGAACGTATAAGGGATCTCAAAGGAAAGTTGGCAGCCCTCGAAAGTGAAAATAGGAAATTAAGTGCTGCGAAAGCCAAATCATCTGGGAGAAGATAAACTGGACTATGAAACAGGTGTTCTTGCCTTGACAATGAGAAGTGATGCTCTTTGTGCAAATAGCTAAAGTGGCAGTCAAATTGTGCGTATTCATCTTTTTGCAACTGCTTGTTTGTGAAGGAATGGGAGTAGGAATGACTGTAAGTTTTTATAATATATTACTCTTGTGAAGCTGTGATTTGGCCGAGGGCCGCTCCCTAAGTATGTGCCATGATTAATGTTGATCTCGACTTGTGAACTATTGGCATTACTATGGTGGCTTGAGCCGGACGTGGTTACCATCCCATCCATAGGGTAGGTTCCATAGTTATTGCGGCACGGTGGATTGATCATGACGGACTCGGGCATTAGCCTGTTCTCTGGGGCTGCGTCGTTTAATAGGGGATAGGAGGTAGGCACATACCCCGCTGTTCACTCATTCTCAGTAAACACGTCTAGGCTCTTGAAGAAGGGGCCAAAGCTTGTGCAGTCGGAGGTGAGTTCCCCGCACTCCAGCTTATAGGGCATGGTACTCTCCCTTGCAAACCTAGGTGATATCTACTTAGCTAAGAGGTGCGCTTATTCATACCACCAGAAGCTGAATTCTGCAAACAGCACACACCACCTGACGTCTAGCAAGTTGTCACAATGGGCTCCTACCACTCAACGCTATACAACCCGATCCAAAATCCGCTGTCCTTCTACATCGGCAAATGCAAAGAGACGGCGCTGCCCGATCCCACATCTACCCCTAGGCAACTCTCCGTCTACCAGCAAGTCTCAACTAAGCTAAATGAATCCTTCGATCCCCATGCAACGTACTGGTGGCAGACCTCAGGGCGCTTTCTTGCCGGGCTCCTCGAAGACGCCGGGTACACAACGAGCGCCCAAGAGAAGATCCTCACCTTCTTCAGCCGCACAATAACCCCCTTCATGGGCCCAGCTCGCATATCTGCCCGTGAGCCGCCGCAATGGCGCAGCTTCATGACAGACGACCACTACCCCATCGAGCTAAGCTGGGACTTCCCCACCGGCCGGAGCGCACCCAGGATTCGGTTCTCCATCGAACCACTCAGCGTTAGCGCGGGGACATCCATGGATCCCTATAACACAGATGCAAGATCTGCTTTCCTTGAAGCACTTCTCCGCGCCCTGCCTAACACGGATCTGGAAACTTTCCGCCATTTCGAGCGTGCTCTGATCCCCAGACACGCGGTGAGTAAGGAAGTTCTGGAAGAAGTACAGGGCCACCCATCCACAATCTTCTACGGCTTCGATCTGGATAACAGCGAAATCACAACGAAAGCATACTTCTTCCCTGGACTCAAGGCCCAGCAAACAAACTGCACGAATCCGGAGGTTGTAGCCAGGGTGATCGCCACAGCACCACAATGCAGCCCCAACCAGCTCCACGCCCTCCGCACATTTAATGACTTTGTGCGAGAGCATGACACCGCTGCACCCAACACACCCCTTGAAATAGACATGCTGGCAATCGACCTCGTCGCGCCGACATCGTCTCGCGTGAAGATCTACTTCCGGACCCGCGAGACAAGCTTCAGCTCAGTGCGCCAGATGATGACGCTGGGCCAGCGTCTTCCAGCGCTAAACCTGCACAGGCTCCGTCTCTTCTGGGACGTCTTGCTCAACCAGGCCGGCGTTCCGGATGAGCGCCACTTACCCGGTTCTGATACCCACCGCACGGCCGGGCTCATCTACAACGTTGAGCTTCGCTGGGGAAGTGCGGCGCCGAAAGTCAAGATTTATATACCCGTGCGCCACTACGCAGACTCCGATGAGGTTGTTCTTGACGCGGTGCACCGGTACACGGGGTCCGCGAGTCCTGATCGCGAAATTGTGGAGGGTGCCTGGGGTTATGCGGATACGATGCGTCGGGAGTTGTAAGTGTTCGCTCCCTCGATAAAGGACTCAATTATTGCGGGCTAGCTAACTTCCATGCCTTGGATCACAGCATGCCAGAGGCCATGCAGCAACGGGGACTACATACGTATATCGGGTGCTCTGTCAATGCTAACGGGGAATTGCGCGTGGTGCCGTATTTCAATTGCCAGGTTGAGAAGATGGCCTTGTTATAGACTGCTTGCGGATGAGCGGAAACGGGTTGTCGATTCTTTTATGCTTCTGCAAAACACGGATAGGTACGACTAAATATACATACTCGTCACTTCGCTGCGGTCGGGCTCAGCGAAGTGACGAGTATATGGTACTAACGTTCCAAACCTATTCTTATGGCGATGCAACAGTTTAACAGTTCCAAGTCGCAGGGGCATCTGGTCTCTGCTTGGTATGGAAATACTCTTTCAAGGGGTTCCGTCTTTCGATTTGCGTCTCATCGACGAGAAAGTCCGCGGCGGGTGCCTCTTCCACGTCAACGCGCACCTGATAGCCCATGCTGGCCCAATGACCTACCATAGGATATATATGCAGTTGGTCTACCATACACGGCAGCATGCGTGTTATACCCATTAGTGGTAGGTTGCCACGGGTAGCTAGAGCACAAGGTGAATGCTATCTGCCTTGTCAGGAATACATATTCAGTCAACCTTAGCGTCAAGGTACGGACAGTTTCCTCGAGCAATGTCAATAAGCCAAAGATAAGCCGACCTCCATGTTGCAGACATAGGCAATTTCATTTCACGGTTTCCTCGTCCTCCGAGACCGAGCTGCCTACCTATAGATAGGGCTGGGTATCCCGCCCTCCGAGATCGGCGCCCCCCGTCCAAAGCATCACGCCTCAAAACTTTCCGGCTATCACCACGATCGATGACAGCAGCTATCACGGACTCAATCTAGATAAGCATAGCGCGAGCCGGGCCCCATCGCCAGAATAAGGAAGTCCGAGAGATGGCTGGGATCGTCTCGAAAATGTGTACACCGTCCAGTACCCTTAGATTTGCCACGGCCCGCGCCCAAGGGGGCAGGACAAGAGAACCGTGGATAGCTTTGCTACTTGACGTCCAACACCGCTCAGGGTCCAGTTTAGAGATGTCGCGAAACATCCATTGGAACATGTACAGTGTGCCCGAAAATTCGACAGGACGCCACCAGACTAGACCCACTCCCAGCCCTACGCCGTAACGGATCTCCTGAGTTGGTGCGATAATGGGATTCGGTCTGGGTCAAATGAGACCATGTGAACTCGACGAGTCTTTTGCATACCGTAACTGCCATTGATGCAGACAGTCTGGTTCGTTCCAGGTTTCAGACAAGGGTCTGATCGGAGTTGAGCGTGCATTCTGCTGCCGAATTATTGGGATGATTCCGTCGGAGAATCCATCATTGAGTATCGATCTAGTTGTCTGATTGGCGTTAGCGGTGCATTTATCGAGATTCAAGGGTAGTCTGGACTGTTATATATCGATACAGACTATTGAGCAACGTGACCGTCGTATCTAACCCGGGGCATTTGTCGGCCAGGTGGAATAGTGGTGCCGGAGCCAAGCAAGCAGTATAAATGGTATTCTGTAAGTAGACTGGAAGAGTTCACGTATGGACAGAAAAGGAGATGAATCCATGATGAAGGTAATACGTGAAATGGAAATCTGAAGAGGGTCGGACCTGCCGATCGCAAAGAAATCCAGACCCGTCGAGTAACGGACGAGCCTGGTATATAGATGCAGAAAAGAGCGTTGCACTACCGTAGCTTCGCCAGAGGTGTAAGGTCAATAACAAGAAGAGCATGTCACAGCCTCGCCCGCTCATCCACCCACCCCTCCCCCAGCACAAGACTCCCCAAATTCCCCTTAACCCTACCCATAAACCCCTCCATACGGCCGGGGTCATAATACTTCCCATCAAACCCCATCGACAGCGTAACGCGTCCCCAAAGCGAGAACATGCCCGTCCAAGCAGACGGGTTAATCTGGCGCCCCGAATGCACAAAGTCATGCGTCGTGATGCTCGCGTCCCCCGAACCCGAAGTCGAAGTAAAGTGTTTCCCCAGCGGCAACGCCCCCTGCGGACTGAACCCGGGCGCCTGCGGCGCCGGAACAGGCTCGCCCTCGCGCTTCAGCGCCTCGATCACGCGATCCGCCGTGAACGCAAACGTCGAGATGTAGTGCGGCGATGTCAGATGAGGCCCTAGCGCCTTTCGCACCTCCCGCGCGAGATGCAGGATCGTTGTATGCGTTGGCATTTCGGGCTCGAACCATTCGGCCTTGAATGGGACCCAGAGGTATACGACGTCCGCGGCGTTGGGGACGCGGTGCGTCGCTTCCGTCTGCACCCAGCGTCTCGCGTTGCGCGTCATGCCTAGCAACGCGCCGGTCTCGTGGCCGCGCCCGTACGTCTGCTTCACGGCGAGGATTGTGGCGGCGGCCGCGGCGAACGTGATGCTTATTTTCTGCGCTGAGAGGGAGGAGAGAAGGGCGCGGGATTCGGACTCTGTGTATTGAAGCCGGATGCAGTGCGTGCCGTGGGTGCGGGCTGCGGCGTCGGGTTCGGGGTACATGGCGATGGAGTGGGACATCTACAGGTTTATTAGCATGATAATAGGCTGTGGGAATGGTATGAAGATAAAGGTACCTTGTCAGCATAAAGCTGCGTCTGCGCTAGCGCCCCGCGCAATGCCTCCTCCTTCTCTGCCCGCGACGGCCGATACGTCGCCTCGTAGGGCGTCACCGGCGTAACGGGTAGCCGAGATGCAAGACCAGTGTAATCCAGCTCGCGGACATCCAGGCCCCGATCCCCAGGAACCTCCGTCACGCTCTTGAAGAAGTTATTGAAGAACTGCACGGTGCTATAGATATCCGCGAGGACATGGCTGAAGTTCCACACAAGACAGTGACGATCAGGAAACTCCGGATCTGCAGCACCCGCAAGAACAAGATAGAGCATGTTCCGCTTTCCCTTCGTCGGCAAGCGGCGGTTATACGTCATGCTCGCGACCTGCTGCGCTGATTGATGCGAAACAACGCGGAAACTCTCGTCTAGCCAGGCTGCCGCATCGGCGTTAGAGCGCAGCGGCTCGAAGGACATTGTCTGGGGCAGGTCGGTCCCTGTTGCCAGCTGTACGGCGATCTCCGGGTGTGATGCGTGGCATCGGAGCCAGGTGTTGCGGGCGCGCTGGATCAGGGCTGAGACTGGAATGGTCGTGCTGAAGGGGACGCTCAGCGTGAGTTCTGTGTGGCCGTCGCGGACGTTCTGGTTGTAGTTGACGCCTGGCTCGCCGCCGGCGCAGTTGCGAGTCCAGCGGTTGTTGAGCTGGTGCCAGCTTGATGGGGGGGCATTGCTGGTAGGGGGTTGTGGCTGCGTGTGTGAGATTGGGGAGGACATGTTCAGCTCTGTCTTGTGTCGAAGCTAAAGGAGCTGTGACAAAGATCAGGAAGAAGAATGGAGGCTTCGCAGAGTTTCAGGGTGGAACTCGACAAGGACAGGATCAGGAACAGGCACTGTGCCCTAGATCCAGACCAGACGGCTCAACCATGGCAGTACGTACTGCATCCCTGGATCGGAGGTTGGCCACCAATATACAGGCCCACTCTGTACCTGCTGCACGATGATCGACGTTGATCGGCATTAGACAAGAGGATTTGGAAGCGCGTGGAGACGGTGGAGATGGACAACTATGGATTGCCAGACCCGCGAAAGGGGAACGATAGTCCGGCGCACTATTGCCACTTCAACGCTCTACTGCTGCCGATCGTCGCCTTGTCAATAAGCTTGTCTGGCGTTTAATATACCACAAGTTGCTAAGGCGAGGTGTAGGCGCTGCAGATTGATGCAACCACTTCACCATGACTACCACCATCGCAGAACCATACAACATCACACGGCCACACTCTGTGTCTGAATGGAAGCTGTCAGGAACATGCCTGGTCCGCCCTCTCCGCGGCGCAGAGCTGCTCGTCCGGTCCTCAGAGCACTACTGCGATGGAAACGTGCGTCTACCCATCCCGCTGTCCAGAATCATAAGTTCATACCGGTAACCAACAGCCCAGTTCAACCTCACCACCAAAGCAACCATCTCGTCCACCCTAACCGACGCCCAACTCCTCCGTCGCCACCAGGCAGCCTGGTACCGCACCCGCCTCGTCCACCCCGTCATCGGAGTCCACTTTCCCACCCTCGAACAGGCCTCATACGCGCTGCACCAGACCGCAAGCGAAGCAAAACAATGGACACAGCAGACATGCCTCGTCGAGACCAAAACCACAGTCAACGACGTGTACCTCGCCCGCTCGCGCGCCAAAATGGGCGCCATCTCCATGACGCTTGTCCTCGACCCGGCCCGCGGCCCCCGCGGCTGCGTGCTGAATATCTCGCACACCCTCATGAACGCGGACTTCTTCGTCATCGTGCAGGAGTATATCGCGCAGCTGGGCAACACGGAGAACGAGCGCGGCGTCGAGGGGATATTCAACCCGACACTTGAGACTGTGCAGTCCATTTCACCGCGTCTCCCCCAGTCCCTCAGCAACGCATACACCCGCCTCACCCCTAGCCCTACACCCCAAGACCTGCAGGACGCAATGCACGCGTACGAACGCGCGCAAGCTCGCTGGACCCGCCCCTCCATCGGAATCCCCCTGCACCCCAACCACGCACGTAGAACCCGGCACATCCAGAACAAAACCATCGCGTTCGAACCGTCCGAGTCCCGCGCCGCATTCTCGTTCCTGAAAGAATCCGGCCTCAGTCTCACAGCCGCCTTCTTCGCGTCTATGGTCGCAGCAATCGCAACCCGGTACCCTGCCACACCCGAAGAACAGATCGACGGCGCACACCTGTGCTTCCCCGTCCACGGGCGCCGGCGGCTCGACACGGACGCAACTGAAGACGGCGCTGGCCCCGTGCGCATGCCCATCATCCCCTGCAGCGCGTGGGTATCATCGCACGAAGCAGACCTGACCCCAACCAGCCAAAAAGGGCTCATGCGCCTCGCGGCGCAGATCTCCCGCGCAATGAACGACGAGGTCTCGTCCCCGCACGTCATCGCCGTGTTCGAGCAGCTCGGCCCGGAAATGGCGAGGGCGATTGCGGACGCGTCTACGGCCCCGCCAGAACCTCCTGCTGCTGGGTGTTCCGCCGCCCGCGGCCGCCCAACGCTAACATCGCAAGGGCAGTTCTCGAACGCGCGGGACAGGCTGGCGCAAACGCAAACAAAAGCGGACGGAGAGAACGGGGAGGGGGGGACGGCCATGAGCGACTTCAACTCGGGCGGGCGCACGACGGATCCCAGCGTGTGCTTTGCGCTGAATAGCTTCCGCGACGAGCTACGGTTTAATTTGCTGTTTGATGAGAGGTTCTTTGGCTACACGGAGACGATGATGCTTGGGTTTGAGGTTGCGGGGTTGTTTAGGCGGTTGGTTGGAATTCATGGGGATGGGGATGGGGATGTGTCGCTGGGGTCTGTACGGGCGAGGTTATGAGTGGACCTAGGCAATCCATCATTTCGATCTTGCTTATGGCATTCTTTTCCCTCCCGAGTCATCTGGGGCCTGCGGGCGGGCTTCTAGTTTGACTCTAGTCTGAGGTGTGTCCTCGATGGATTTCTCAGGCTGGAGGTCGCGCTGTCTTCTTCTTGTACCATAGGTACCCTTATCTTTCTCCCTTACTTGTACATAATCTTGAGTCTTACGTTCTCTCAACTATTCTACTGCCTATATTTCTGTTTGAGCTTGACACTATGAGTGGAATACACCCATTACCTGCAGTGCGATGAATGTAGGAAATGATTTCCGACTCCAGCTCCCCGTTGCACGATCGAATGCAGCAGCAGCCAAAAGGGCAATTAGACATTGGCAATTATACGTATGTTCTACAGGAATCAATAGCGTCAAGTAACGTGTCTTGTTGGGACTTGACCCCTGTCTATCATAATTCGGTATTCTAATCTACAAATGAAAACAACATAGGAAACAGGCTACCTAGATCCTGGCAGCAGGTATCACATCACATCAGGAATAAATCATGATCTCCTTGACCTCGCCCTCTTCCTTGGCCTCCAGGACAGGCGATAACGGGGGTGTCAACTCCAGCTCAGACCCCAAGCCCGAGTCACTGGCCTCAGACACCCTCTTCCCCGGATCTCTCATCTCATTCTCAGCATGGAAGAGCACGATCTTTGCAGCCGCAGCTGGCCCTCCAGCCATTTGACTTCGGAATGCCCAAGCGCGGCAGTTGCGTTTGTATTCGTCCCACTTCGGCCCTAGTAGGGTCTCGATCTTGAGACGGATATCGTCGGCTTCGATGCGCGGTGGCCGGGCGCTGCGCAGGCCCAAGCCAAACCTCTCCGCGTAGAGCCCGTACTCATGTGTGTCCAGCCATTGGGAAAGCACCAGCTGGGGGATGGCGAAGTGCACGGCTTCGTTGAACGAGTTGCCGCCGCCGTGGTGGGCAAACGCCTTTAAGGCGGGGTGGGTGTAGACCGATTGCTGGTTCTGGATCCACGAGGTTAAGCGGATATAAGGAGGCAATTGGGCCATGTCGTCGAATTCGACCTTCTTTTGCTCAGATCCGGGGGTTGCTGTGGAGTCGTGGCGAATGCGACCGCGACTTCGACTGCGAGGACGGCCGTTGATCTTCACAAGGAACCGTACGCGGCCTCCTAGGTTTCTGTATGCTGCTTTGAAGCCCGCAACACAGGCTTCGAACTCGTCGCTCTCCCAGATAAACATTGAGCCCATGTTGATGTAGACGACGTCGTGGCCCATGTACGCTGCTTCGTCCATCCATTCGAGTTCGGGAAATGTGGTGGCCGGTAGCTCTGGATCTTCAGAGACACCAGCGCCAACGAAGACAAACTTGGAAGATTGCCTGGGGCAGTCGATCATCCCCGGGGTGTTGAAGTGGATGCCCGCCACGCAGTGGTCGTCGCTCCAGTGTGGTGGGAAGTGCGCCGAGTCGCGGTTGGCGCCGTACGATCGCAAACCCAGCTTCTTGATGATCTTGTGCTTCTCTCGGCGGTCGCGGTGGGTGCGGCTGTGGATGGATTCGCTGAGGGAGAGGTAGAGGTCTGCGCCATGTTAGAACTCTCCTTGGATCTAGAGAGGTGGGTGCGTACTCTCGAAAAACGTCCCCCAGGACCCACGGCGGTTCCATGCAACGACATGCGGATCAAAAGCTCCCGGTAGTGCGCTCAGTCCTGGAGAGCAGGGGATTGTAAGGATGAATTTTCGCTTCGTCAGGCGGGTTCCTGTTACACATGAGGGCGACAAGGCGTCGACGCAGACTAGCTTGTTAGCGATGGCGGGCATTTACATGATACGAGAGAGACTCACTCATATCTGGATCAAGCGCATTGAGATGGTCGCGCACCCTGATGGCCGTGGCGGCGTGTTCCTCTGCTGGGCCGAGCGCGCATTCAATGCACGTTTGCAGACTGACGGGGTCGCCGGGGACCCTGCGCATCAGGTGCATTCGCTCCTGGATGAACGGTGTGCTAACGAGCTTGTCAGCAGGATCTCCGTGGTTAGCAGCGTAGCATGGAAACATACACATCATCCACCGTATGCCCGCTACCAAGACTAATGAACTGGATTGAGTCTCGATGGCAATGCTTCTGAGCCTGGCGAAACCGATTGATCTTGGTTCGACATGACTCCGCTGAAAGGAATGTGACGGCGTGTCCTTGGGCCACGAGCTGCTCGGCCGTTGTAAGCTGAACGTTGAGCTCGCCCGAGGCCGGGTTGCTCAGGAAAGCAATGTGCATGGAGATGGACGGGTGATGACTCGGTCAGGCTGGTCGAGGATAGTGAGAAGGCTCAAAACTCCGCAGGCAAAGCATGGCGTGAGATTGACAGGTGCAACAGCAGCAGTCAACCACGGGGCCTGCTTCTCGCCCTTTTAAGGGGATCGGCCGGTCGAAGCATTCTGAGGCAGGTTGACGACTGGATCAGCAAAACGTGGCCCGTCTCGATCCACCTGGTACGCAAGATAATAGAGCCAGGGACAGCCTTGCGATTGGAGTTCGTACCAGGGATCGACATGACCTGACTATCGAGCAGGGAAAGACTTATTTCCCGCACGACATCAATGGAGGCAATCCGGCCGAATTGGGAAGTGGCGATGGTCCGAGATCGGCAGAGGGACGGTGGAGCAGGCGCACACTATCGATCTTCACAGTCGACTCTCAGGGACCGCGGATTTGGCTCGGGCAGTTCATGCTGATCGCTATTCCATCTGCCCGTCTGCATCTGGCTATCTCGCTGTCAGTCTGCTATCTGCTCCGGCTGATCAGATCCAACCACTATCAACTTGCGTCTACGTCTACGTCCACATCGTCAGGACTTGAACTGCCCCTGTTATTGCATCCCTTGCCCCTTGCACTGCTTTCATCTCCATCTCGTTTTTATCCTGCTTCTTGTCTCCTGCATCTTTGCTTGCCAGATTCGGAGTCGCCATGGGTGCTGATGACTACACCGTCGTCCCCCTTACCCTTTTGGATGCGACCGTGGGAAAGTGAGTTGCTCATTAAAATACGGAATGGAGCATTGCTGACGTGTGAAGCGCCGATATCATTGTGCGTACCTGGCTGACCAGTTGCCGACAATTTACTATACTGACATGACTGCCAGGCCAGAGCGAGCTTCATCTTTGATGCACCGCTGTCATTCGAGAAACTGCAGGAAACATGGCACCAAACGCTGAGCATCAGACCCATCATGCAGTCGCGGATACGCCGCTCTACAACAGCCCCCTCAGGGTTAGAGTACCACGTCTTGACGCCTAGTGGCATGGAAAGGTACTTGCAGAGCCAGAAGCAAGCACCCGACCATCTAAAAGACTTCTTTTGCCTCGACGAATGTGATCGCTCCATCACCGACTTCTGCGCCGGCTTTGGAGTCGGTCCCAGCGCACCGAGTCACTCATACAGAGTCTTTGTTGCCGACAGTGCCTGTTCAGCGGACGAAAAGCGTTGCATGGCCTTCAACGGCGCACAGTCTCTTGACGAGATTCTTGACGGTGACCGGCCAGCTACAACAATCCAAGTCACCCGATTCCGAGATGCCACACTCATCACTGCCTCTCTCACCCACCTCATCGGCGACCTGTTCACCGTAAAGGCTATCTTCAAAGGCTGGGAAAGCACACTGCACGGCAATCCGCCTCCGCCATTTGAAGGGCTCGGACGAGACCCCTTTACTGCCTACGGACCCGGAGGAGAGCTCGCAGGCAACGACATCAACTCCAGCCGGCCTCCATTACCACCAGGCTGGCAGATCTACGGTCCAATCGACAAAGCTCGCTTTGCGTCTCGGCTTCTATGGGACACCAAGATCTCACGGCCCGAAAACACCATCTCTCAAAAGTACATCTTCGTCTCCGCAGACGAAGCCCAGCGCTTGGAGGAGGAAGCAAAGCAGGACCTGGCCAAGCTGCAAGGGCAGCACCCGGCCACCGTCACCCGCTCCAACGTCCTATACGCCTGGCTCCTCAAAAACAGCACAACCCATCTCAGCCCAAACGAATGGAGCGCCCCCGTCACAATCGTCAACACCCGCGCCCGCCCCCCAACCGGCATGACGCCGCAGTCCGAATCAACCGCCTCCTTCCCCTCGCACAACTGGTACGGCGCCGCAATGGCCACCGGCCTCCCCAGCCTAAAAGCCCACACGCTGCGCTCCATGTCGCTCGGCGAACTAGCCCTGCACATCAAGACCGGGATCCGCGAGGCCTCAACACCCGAGAACACGCGCCGCTTCCTCTCGTACACCCTCCACAACAGTCTCTGGAGAAAACCCTCCGGCAAGCTCGCGCTCTTCTGCCCGCCCGGCCATAACTGGTCCGGCCTGACGGATTGGCGGCTGATCCAGCTGCAGGATATGGATTTTACGCCTGCTCGGTTAGATGGGGACGCGAAGGTTGAGGTTTGTGCGTTTAGCACGCATATGCTCACGGCGTTTTCGCAGCGCGATCGCTGGGTTTGTATGGGGCAGGCTGGGGGCGGCGTGTGGTTTGTTGGTATTGCCGGTGATAGGCAGTGGGATGATCCCAGGGGGTTTGGGAAGTATCCTAGGCTTCAGAGGAGGGTGAGGACGAGTAGGCTTTAGGTTGTTACTCGATTTGGTTGGTGGTTCGTCCTTCCAAGTCTGACATAATAGACAAGATTCATATGCATGTAAGATTTTGTTAAGGGTTTCCAGGAACACAGCAGGCTATCCCCAGACTCGCTATTCCCTCGAGATCAGGGGTATAGATATTACATTGGAGTCCAGGTGCAAAAATACCTTGCTACACCCTCGTAAACGCGAGCTCAGACACTTGCAGAACAAAGTATGAACACCCCTCAAACAATACAAACCCAATTCATAGGCGCTAGATGATGGGAAGCTTTTTGCTATCCATCCCTGTCCAAGCCCGGCCATCTCGGTAGCCTTCCTTTCCTGTCCACTAGCTAGCGGTCTGCTGTTCGCGCCAGGCAATTCCGCGTTATCCAGTCCGTCCTTAGCCTGTCAAGCTACCTGGAGGCCCGCCTTGTTGCGAGTCCTGAGATCGAGTTGGTTGGACATATTAGGTATTGTAGTCCTATTAGGGAGCCTGGTGGGTTTGCGTGGATAGGCGGCCTTTGTCATAGTGGAAGCCATTCATACCTTACGTGGCCAAAACACTATGTAGATAAAGGGCGAAGCAAAGGGGTATCAATGTACGCGCCCCCTTAGGGAGCCCTGGCACAGGAAATGGGGAATCCCAGGGCATCTACTGGCTTATGTTAAATGCGTTGATGTTAACGGAGGTATCTATATCCTCCTGCATTGGTGCCCCGGTATTGAATTGGTCCCGCTACAAAAGTGGCAGCCTTCTCGAGACGCAAAAACACGTATCTGGAGCCTCAGGTGTTGGCTGCCTAGTCCGTTAGGTAGCACATTGGGCTGGGGGTTTCTGATCCGGCCAGGCTTTAGCGTTTTTATTGCTGTTAGCCTACCCTAAGTAGGCTTCTGTTTTGTGTATATAAGGTAGGTAGGTACCTACCTAACGTAACTCAACCCCGCCTTATCGATGTGCACCGCTCCTCGTAACCGCCCTACCACCCCCATGCGCCATGCTATATAAACTCCCAACCGAGCTGCAGCTCCAAATCCTCTTTTACCTTACACTGGACTATCATGGGCGACGCAGATACCGCACCCCTCTTGCGCCTCTCGCGGCCGTCAATAAACAATGGCAGGCTCTGGTGGAACCGCACACTTTCTCCGCGCTGGCTCTGTCGACGACACGGCTTGCTGAGTTCATGCACATCGTCGTTCCTAGGCGGCAGCGGTACCTACGCAAAATCGAGTTCCTGGTTGTACTCCCAGTGCACCTACCAGACCTTGACCATGAGATCGAGATCGCTCGCGATAATCGCGTTTTCACGGATTCCATCCAGCAGCTGTTCTGCCTCTTACATGGTTCGTCGCTCGGGCTGAAGAAGGGGGCGAACCTCAGCCTCACCATTCAAGCCCGCGCACCCAGTGACTGCGATAGAAACTTTTGGCATTGGGGGCCGAATTACCTTGAATTTCTAGATGGAACAGATAGCCTGCCCGGTCTGCCATTCATCAACCATCTCGAAGTCAGGGGGCACTATGCCACGGGGAATCGAAACGTCGCGCCGGATGTGACGCCTATCCTGGTGTCTCGGCTTCCGGGCCTCCATACCGTGCAGGCTCAGCATTACGGCAGGCTTTATAGTTTGCGGAAAGATTACAGAGAGGGTAAGCATCTTCCGGGCCGTCTTCTCGCACTGCCTCGACATCAACATTAACGTGAGAGGGGATCGGAAACCAGATTTCGCTTCCCAACTCGCCTGTTGGCCAGCGCAAGTGCAGAACTTAGACTTAAAATACGACTCAAGCGGGCCGTTTTTCATGGGCGGGCATATCCCCGCGCACTCCGAACCGGGCCGGGACAGCATCTGCACGGCGCTCCACTCAGTCTCTCAATCCCTTGTTACCCTCAAGTTACGATCATTCATGGTCGCCCCGGAACTCTTCTGGCCTTTGGATCCCCCGGCTAATTACCGCCCGTCGTGGCCCCGCCTCACGTCCGTCATCATCGACTACGTCAACTATACTGCGTCCGGCCGGTACTTATTCGACCCGGACCCGGAGTGGTACGAGCTAGATCCGACTTGGGGGAGACGCGATGCTCCCCGGATCAAGCCCGTGCATGGGCTTCTCAATGATCTATATCGGGCTGCGGGGAGAGCTGCGCAGTACATGCCGAAGCTTGAACTGATGCTTTTGGAGTCAGACATTTGGAATCAGCCGGATACAGTTGATGAATACGGTGAGCGTAAGTCGCCGGGTCATTTGTTTATATATCGGAGGGATAGGGCGTATGTGTTGTGGGCTAGCTCGAGCGAGTTTGAGATCGATCCTAATGTGAGAGAGGTTTGGGAGGAGGTTGCGAGAAAACATGGGATTCCGCAGTGCTTAATCCTGGTATGTCTTGCAGTTCATCTAGTGCACGAACTTGGTAACTAACTGGTATTGTTGAGATAGAATCAGCGGCAAGATCAGGTTTCAGTTCACCCAAACTACTTTGATGGCGCTGGAATTGCCGGGGCAGGATGACATCTGAGTATGATTGCAGCACAGATCATGAAAAGTTTATATCTGAATATATACTTCACCGTACACTACCAGCTGCAGCACCTAGAGTCAATAAACATTCAATCAAAGGTTTCCTCGGATTCCGCCTTGCAACCGTAGACGGTCCAAGAAGGAACATACCACTGGTACTTCAACCGGATGCATCCAAGACATACCCAGCTGACAAACCAGCCTGTGTAGTTGCATCATGGTCCCTGAGGCTCCGAACCATCCCGCGATTCCGGCCTTCTGATTGGCTCTGCGCTGCGGCCCGGGAGAGCCTCGGCGGGACCTCGGGAGTCGGGAAGCTGGAGCTTAATAGAGGTCGGGCCTAGAGCCTCATCCAGGCACCCATTGAATTCTGATTTCTGATAGGACAAGCCCCGAGACAAAGAAAACTAACTTACCTAGCGCACCGCAAAAAGACGCGCCTGTCCCTGAAACCTCGCGCAAAACATTTTTCTTTTCCTTTCTCCCAACCAACACCACAGGCCTAACAAGCCGCCATCCATACTTACGGTCCACCATGCCCCCGTCCAGCATCATCACCACGCCTCTGTCCATCCTCCTTTTATCAGCATGGACAGGCACCGCTCTGATATTCACAGCCCTCAACGCCGTCATCGCCAGCACAACAGCCCTTGAAACCATCGGCTCCACGTCTCTCTTCACGTACCTCCTCTGTCGTCTCTATGTCGCATTCACATCGCGCGAGAGCACCTCGCTGCCGCGTACCCTAACAAACGCCTACACGCACTCGCGCACCGCCGCAATCACCCTCCTGGTCTTCGCAGCCGCATGGCTGCATCAGCTCTACCAGCGGGTCCTGATGCTCATGGTCGTGACGTTCTTCACAATCGGGCTGAGCATAATAATGCATCTTGACAAAGTCGCTTCCGCAGCCGGAGGCAAGTTGGTCGTCGCGGATGGAGCTGGTCCGGTGCCCATGCCCATGCGCATGTCCGGCACTGAAGCCTTCAAGAAGGAGTTTGGGTTTGAGGAGCTGGAAACTGAGTTGGAGGTGGATTTTGCGAATGTCTTTGAGAGTATGCCGACGGGGCTTTTGCTGTGGGGTGGACTGATGCTTTGGGTGGGTTTTTTGTCGCTGGGCGTTTACTTGCTGTGGGTTGGGTATCGCGCTGTGAAGGGCGTTTTTGGGGAGTATGATGCTCCTGCTCCCACGATCATGGCGCCGGCTGTTGAGTTGCGGCCGGTTCGGGCTGCTGATGCGGCGGATAGCATTGGCGTTCGGGGTGGTAAGCCCGGGAATCCTGGTCCAGGTCTTCAGACTGCTCAGGGCGCAGAGGGCGCATATAGTGCTCAAAGGCTCCCAGCCTTATATGAAGCGCAAGGGGGCCAGGCTTTTGACGCGCCGCGCAATCACAATGTCGCGGCGAGTCAGGCTGCCGCTCCGATACGCAACGATGCCGGCCCCGGGTTCTGGATCAGCTGGGGCTAACTTGCTTGACCTTTCTGGCTGCCGTTACTCCCTTTGAATATAACTTTGCTGAACGTACAGTGTACAATTAGTAGTCATCCCTGCCGGCAGAAGGGAAGTCTGCAATGAGTCGGGGTAACCAGGCCCTGCTGATTCCAATGACCATCCGTGGGATCAGGGAAGAGCAATAGTGTACAATAATGATATTATTACAACAGCCCAACGAAAACCCAGACAAGGCCCAAGACCCCCAACATTCCCGTCCACTCGATGGACTCGCGCATCCCGAAATTCCGACAATTAACCGGAAAGTCCGCCAGGCCGCCCTCGAACTCCTCGCAACGGCCCAGCGCGCGCGCCGCCGCAGTAACATTCTCCACGGCCTCAGCCGTAAAGTCCAGCGCACAGGGATGCGGACGGGTATGATTCACGACAGGACAGTCCTGGGTCGATTCAATGCGATGCGGGGGCGAGACCTCAAACGCAACGGCCCTCCGAGGCTCCATCTCGCAATCCCAGTCTGCCAGCAAATCCACGCTCTTCCCACCCTCGTCAATTGCAAAGATGACGCTGTTCCATGGCTGTCTGGCGGAATGCTTTTCGGGATTCCCCGGGTCCGTCAGCGAGCAGTTATACTCGAACCCGAACCGCCACGCGAGCTCCCAGTGGCCCGTTGAGAAGTTCCGCAGTTTAAGTGGGAAGTCGTGGAAGAAGATGGGATCTGAGGGCGTGGGTCCGTGCGAATACATGTCGTCCCAGTCCTGGTTTTCCGGGAAACGGCCGTCGCCTTCAAACACGAAGATCGCGGAGTCGGCTAGGCGGAGGCGCCAGTAGAGGGTGAAACCGTACGGGTAGGCGGTTGTGGCGTTCTGTAGACCCCATAATAATGGGAAGTATTTCATAGGAGCATAGGTTTCGTTGTGGGGGAAGATCAGGTCGGCTTCGACAACGGATGACGGTGTTTGGGATGCTGTCGGCGTGAGAAAGAGTGACAGTAAGCAAATGAAGAAGAAAGGAGTGAAAGCCATCCCTGGGTGGCAGTATTAGACATGAGCAAACTAACGAAGGACCGAGCGGACCAGGGGGTAAGTTGGGGCGGATATGGGAAATATATTAGGGGACCCTCGACTTGGCAGCGTCCAACGCGTTTATCGATGTAACCCTAAGGGCCCTGTCCACGCCGGAGATTGCCTCCATTGAGACTGGCGGAGGCAGCCAAGAAGCTCGGGGGGTGGTTAGCCCCTGGGCGCATCGCGGGCGGCGCCATGCTCTGGAGCTCCGGGGCCGTCCGACGGTCCGGTTCTTGGGAGATCCGCAGGGTCACTACGGAGTAGGGCGCGCGATAGTTACAACTCCTTTAAAACCTAGTTCTGCCGGCAGAACTAGGTCACGTGGGTAAATATTATTAAAACACGTATATTTTAGCATCACGTGTTTATTTAGCTTAACACGTTGGGTGTAATAAAAGTTAACTATACTTATTATAAACTAAAACTAGTTTTAAACTAAGTTAATATAAAAATACTAATAATTTAACCTTATATAAATACTTTTTTTATTATTATAAACTTAAAAATATTTTTAAATTTTATAAATTTTTTTTCGCAGGGCCTTGCAAGGCTAAAATATATTTTTATTTTAATATATACTAGTTATCCTAAGGTTTCTGGATTATTTTCCTTTTATATTATATATATATTTTTTTAATATACTTTATTTAGGCTCTGCAAGTATAATAATTTATTAAATATTAATATATAATTTAATTTTTATACTAATTATATTAATATTTACTATAAATATTATTAATATCTATTTAAAATATTTAATTTTTAATTTTAAATTAATAATTTAATTAATAATTTAT